CATTGTCATTAATGAGTTTTAAAGTTATCATTCAAGTACATTATAAAACTAGCACTACATTGATAATATATAATAATAAAAAGTGTAAACATCCAATATAGATCCTTTGGAGTATAGGAAAATATTTAATTACATTCTTGAAAAAAAATATCCAAATGAAACAAATGATGCAGAAAAAAGAAGAATTCGAAAAATCACACAGAAAAATTTCATAGTTGAAGATGAACATTTGTATTATATTGAGAATAACAAAACTACTGGTCAGTTAACCAAAAGACTTGTAGTTACAAAAGACAAAGTCCAAAGTATTTTAAACTTGTGCCATGACCATAGTGGGCACCAAGGTCTTAATAAAACCGTCAATAAGATAACAGAAAGATATTACTGGAAAGGTATTGTGAGTGATACAAAGCAATATGTTCAACAATGTGAAAATTGCCAAAAACAAAACAAGACGGCTAAAACTGCAAACATTAAATAGTCATGGTGTTTAAATTTTTTTATCACCGTTGTAAATCTTAATTTTGATCTTAATTGTGCATTTGTTTTTTAATCATATTATCTACTTACAACAGATATGCTGACCTTATTTGATATTTCAAAAATTTTTAACTTTTATAACGGGAATTCATCTGACTTTTTTTAAAACAATTTATATCGGAACGAAATTCATGGAGCTGTGATATTTGTTCCGGAACTTATTTCACATTTGGTTTAAAAATTAGTTCCGGAACAAATTTTACAGGGCTGGAACTTATTTTCTGTGATATAAGTTCAACCTTCTATCATAACGACGGCAAATCAACTTCACAAATAGATTACATATTTTCAAACAACGATGTTATTAATACTGCCATGGTAATGCAACAAGATCCTATTAACTCATCGTCACATCTGCCGGTCATAGCCAATTTAACAAAAAGATTAAAGGCAGAAGTGAAAAAAGGAAAGAAAAGCCACACAACTTACAAACTTTTATGGGAAAAAACTGACAAGAAAGAATAAAGAAACATACTCAACCAGATGATAGCAACTTGTAACTGGAACGACTGTGATGTGAACGAAAAAGTAAACCAACTTACCTTCATCCTTCACAAAACAGCGGACAAAGTAGTACCAAAATAACTCATTAAGCTAACTGGATTCAAAAACCAAAGCCTCGCCAAAAGTACGACAGCTGATACAAACCAGCAAACAGAAGCACAGAGAATGGGAGATTGCCGGGCGACCAAGAAACAACCATATACTTTTTGTGAAGAAAAAATCAGCAAAACGGGCTCTACGTCGTCAACAACGGAAAGAAGCAGCGATAGAAAAAGAACAATTTCTGCAAAGATTAGAAAAGGACTCAAATGATAAGGCTTTTTTCCAACTGATCAAGCGAAATCAATCCAGTGTAAAGAATAATGCTCCTGAAATTCTGATAGATGGCGTTAAAACAGCAAAAACGCCTTCAAGTCAAAGAGAAACTTTTGCAGACTACTTCGAAAATCTAGCTACTCCACAAGAAAATCCAAATTTCAAAGACGAATTACTTACTTGCAGCACAAATAGGTGCAATTTAATTAAAGAGGTCTCAAAAAATATTACCAAAAAGAAAATACTAGTTACCCAACAAGAAATATTAAATGCCATTCAAAAACTTAAAAATGGAAAGTCGCCTGATGAATATGGTATCACAGCTGAACATATCAAGTATGCAGTAAATGAAATAACCCATATATACCAAAACATTTTCAACCAGATCTTTGAGGAAGGAAAAGTAGCAAGCAGCTTTAAAACGGGTGTAATAACGCCGGTTCCAAAAAAGGGGAAATATAACCCAAGCTACAAATTACAGAGGCATAACAGTTACATCTGCTCATGGGAAAGTATATGAGTATGTGCTGATTGAAAAGGCAGGTTTAAAGAATATCAATCAATCAAACCTACAATTCGTTTTTACTGAAGGACTCTCACCTAATATGGCGGCGCTGATATTATCAGAAGTATACTCAGAAATCAAAGGAAAAGATTTATTATTTATAACAACACTAGACATTCAAAAAGTATTTGATGTGGTCAATCATCAAATCTTGCTAGACAAACTCTACTATCTAGGAGTAGATATTGAATATTGGGATGTTATTGAGGATATGTACAATGGTGTCACCTCAACTGTGAAATGGCAAGAAGACACAAGTCTGTCGTTTAGTATTGATCAGGGAGTAAGACAGGGTGGAATCTTATCTTCACATCTATACAAACAATATATCAATGAGTTACTCTCAGAACTAGAAGCTCATAACATGGGAATATCTATAGGGAATACATATACAGGGTGTCCTATCTGTGCAGATGATATTGTACTGCTATCAAATGACCAAAACGAAATGCAAGAAATGCTCAACACGGTGTAAGATTACTCTAGCTACCATAGATTCTTAATCCATCCAATAAAAAGCAATACAATAGTTAAAAGTGTCAACAAACGAACTAGTGAAAGAATACAGCAAACAACAGAAAATTTTACTTTAAGCGATAACATTATGGAATTTAAATCAGAAACAACACATCTAGGTCTTAAAAGAACAAGATCTGAGGAAACTAAAATTTAATATCAATGACAGGTTATCACTAGCACGAAGAACACTATACTCCCTGATCAAGACTGGCGTTCACGGTACAAATGGACTCAACCCAAGAACTTCATGCATGATTTACCAAGTCTACGTCATTCCACGTCTTCTATATGGTGTAGAAACCTTATATCTCCAAAACAAAGACAAAATAGCACTATGCAGTTTTCATCTTAGCACTCTGAAGCATATCCAATCACTTCCAAATAGAACAGCTACATCAGCAGTCTATTGCTTCTGGAAGCACTGCCAATAACTGCTGAGCTCCACAAAAGACAGCTGAGTCTTTTACACTCAATAGCAATGAGTCACAATAACTCGATACGAGAGATTGCATATAGGCAACATACAGCAGGTCGACCAAATAGCTTCTTCAAAAGAATAAATGACATACTGGACATGTATCAACTCCCATCATTCAACGAAATAATGAATCAACATTACAACAAACTAGACTGGAAAAACATCGTTCGAACAGTTATTTCATCTCACTGGCCAGTTAAACTCAAAGCAGATTGTGAAGAAAAATCAACACTCAAATTGCTTTCAAAAAGAAACCTAAATATTGGGCAAACTCACAACGTATGGGATACAATATCAAGCACCGTCAAAGATTCAGAAAAGCAACAACAAAAGTACGCATGTTAACTGGAACTTACATGCTTCAAACCTTAAAAGTAAATCCTACCTGCCCAATATGTAAACTTGAAGCCGAAGATCTTCAACACCTTCTAACAAGCTGCCCAGCGTATAGACACATTCGAAAATTTCATTTTCAACAGATAAAAGAATATGTTGTTAGTAAAATTGGAAGTAGAGTATGGACAATCAATTTCAATAACAAAATGGCCACCACGGAACTATTGATAGACTGTCAAAGTTTTGTTGAAAGGAACATTCTCCCAAATGACAAAATGATACTTAGAACATTAGAAATGAAATCAAGGGACTACTGCCACCTAATCCACATGAAAAGAATGAACATTACTACTAATGTATAGCTAGTGTGTGGCATGAGGGGGTAAATCCCTGTGTATGGTCAAGTCAGTCTCATATCTTAAATCTTAAATGTAGTATTCCATATGAACATTATTAAACCAATCAAAATAATGCTACTCAAACATCATAGTCATGATTTTAGATTTTATAAATTACATCTAATAAGGACACTTACCTTGAAAATTATGATTCCCAAGCTAAACGAACATGCTAATTATATTATCTCTTGGCATTTTAAACTAACGTTAAACCTATCTAAATAACACTACTAAACATCAAAGTTAATCATGCTTCTGATTTTAATATTGCATTTATAAAACACTTACTTTTAAAATTATAATTCCCAAGCCTAACGAACATGTAATTTATTTCTGTATCTTGCCATTTTAACATTACATTACTTTTAAAATCCCTATATAAATGCTTATATATAAACTCACGACTTGTTGTATATACACTGGATATTATGGTGGGGGATACTGTTCATTCATATTTTACAGAGAATTTATTGTGTTTTAATGTACAGATACTGTTATAATTTATCGGTCTCATCCGAGTGCTCCTAAACAGGAGGGAATTACGAAAGAAGAAAGAAGAAGCTACCAAAACTAGCCTGGGATCCTGGCTCACTGCTGATCGACGAAGTATAAGTTAGGGTCATGATGCCAGGCTACTACCAAACTCACCAATATATAGGCGTGTTCACGCAAAAAGAAAGAACATCGGATAACGAAAAAATAATCATGTAAAATATAGAATATTAGAGCGTTCATCAGCAAAGTCACGTATATTGAAAAATAATTGTCATAATCAAAACCATAAAAGATAACTCAAATTGGTCGTATGATAGGTAATTGATACGTGTTTATACGTGATCTTATGTCAGTGAAAATTAAGGCGGGAATCTGAAGATCCAAGTGATGAAAAAAAATACATGATTTCTTTCATTTTTCGTCGTCAGAATATTTAGTATTGACGAAAATTCCAGTGTGTGATTTTAAAAGTCTTGAAACAGTTTGTTTAAACTATAACAACGAATTTAACAAAATGCATAGGTTGACAATTACCGTTCCCATTAGGGATCATACGTACGTGTCATGTTATTGGTAATCTCTAATAAGGCTTAATGGCAACTTTAATCTCAATACTCGCCAACTGTATTACAAACCATCAAGCCAAAAACTTTTATACACAACATAAAATGATAAAGAAAATGATCTGTATCAATCTATATATATAATAACCAGTAAGGAAATTATAGTCATTCGTATTTTCATGTCTCACTCAAACTGGCACTCGGTCTAAACTCGTCCTATTCCGTTCCTCCATCCATCGGGTAGAAGGAGAGTGTCAAACTGGTTCGAAAAACTGTTATGCACTTACCTGATATTTCAGCTTTTAGTCGGATATTTTTTCCGAGTGGTATTAATTTCCCTGTTAATGAAACTCCATCGTAATCGACAACATCAAGCGTCAGATTAGTTGTTACATTGCTTGCTTTTACAGTAGTTAAAGCTTTAGCAGGAAAGTGACTGAAACAGAGGTTTGTGTGAACATTATACCATAGGTACAGTGTATTGATTTTGGATTTCTACTTTGTGTGTCCTATCTTTTTGTTAACCTCTATTTGAAAGGTGATATTTTCAAAAGAATGTCTTGTTCTTAAGAAGTGTGATAATAGAGGCTTACCAAAATTGGGACACACAAAGAAGAGAACAAAGAGAGATATTTTGGATGCACCAGTTAGATACTCTAGAACTTCATACTATTTACACAACACAGTTTGATCTGTTTGAACGTTATGTACGATTAGCTGCAAAAATATCATTTCAACCTCCGATTTCACCTGAATGGCTATACGCGCCTAATGAAGCTAGTTTCAGAGGCGGATTTAGGGAAAAATTTGGTTGATTATATAGGGAATCACTGAAGCATGACTGGAGCGGGCCCCATCTTAGGCAGTCAGTGGGCCCCCACTTATAAAAATTTCTGGATCCGCCACTTAGTTTTGTCTAGCAAAATATTGCGTGAATATATGATGATGGAAGTTTTTAACGACCTTGACTGGCTATACAGCCCTCGCACGGTCGGTGTGAATCTATAAAATATAACAACTACTTTTATTACACTGATAAGCATCCTTGACATTTATATAATTTAATTTAGTAACTGCATCAGTTTAGTGTAAAACTGATTCACCCCGAGATAGATTGAATGCTGTAATTGTTGATCCGGTCCCCTAATAAAATTCGTAAGGGTTCCGCGGAACCCAGTGTCTCGCCTACTTTTGTTGTTCGTCGCAGGCTCAACAAAAATGGGGAAATAATTATTAAAAATTTTCCTCTAGATACTATCTTTTGATTGTAAGAAGCTTCTGTTCAAGTTTGGTAAGAATCCAGGATGGTTTATGAATCTAATAAATGTTTTAAAAACTTTAACTGCAGACTGTATGTAATGTTAACTGGAACGAAAACTAAGTCCATTTATAAGTAATATACGGAAAAACAAAATTCCCTTCTAAATACTAGCTTTTGATCATAAACAAGCTTCTTCCAAGTTTGGTACAAATCCAGGATAGTTTAAGAAAGTTATTAAAACTTTAACCACAGAGTGAATGTAATGTTGACTGGCAGAAAAACTAAGTCCATTTATAAGTAAAATACGGATAAACCGGATTTTTTTTTACAAAATTTACTTCTGGATACTATATTATGATCATAAACAAGCTTCTGTCCTAGTTTGGTAGAAATCCAGGATAGTTTAAGAAAGTTATTAAAATTTGAAAAACTTTAACCACAGAGTTAATATTTGTGGACGCCGCCGACGACGGAATGTAGGATCGCTATGTCTCGCTTTTGCGACAAAAGTCGCAGGCTCGACAAAAATAATGACTAATTACTATAAAAGTCGAAAAGTTTTGTGAAGTATTTGTGTGTTTTCAAAGTTTGTTGTGCATGTACTGATTTTGTGTCATGGTTGGATACCCATATCCTTTGTTTTTCTATTAAGTGGAAATTTGTACCTGAAAAGTTATGTTAATTTCGTAGATGATTGGAGGAATACTTGGAAGCGATTTGGCAAGTCAAACAACATCTTTCAATTTGAATACTTTTTATAACTAAAAATTTTAGTTGGTTTTTTTTGCCACATTTTCTGTTGGCGCCCCCTCCCCATTTTTTGTTTAGATCTGACATTGATTACATCATTAATTGTATTGTAAGTTCCATTATTTCACTCTAGTGCTTTGAATTCAAACTTTTATTTGTTGTATTCTACTCATTTAATAATATTCCGTATATTTTTTAGACCTCATAGAGAAAATGTATAGAAGTATCATACCTGTCATCGATTTCCCTTGCATTGGCATGTCCATCTATTTCATCTCCAAACGAACATGTTAAAGAATATACATCGTCAGCATTTTGAATTAATGTACCATTTACGTTGTGAGCAACTTCAATGTTCACGCTATAGACATCTATTCCAGGTCCGTAAGTTCTCTAATATAAAAACAAAACTACTGCTGTCAGTATTGTATGTACAAGAAGTAATCGACTTGATTCGCAAACGTCTTTTAGCTTATGCATATGGCTACATGGTTATTCGGTCTGTTGATCGAGTATATTTTCTTCTGTATTAATGGAAATATCGCAAAACAGTAAAAACCGGTAAATATAATTGTATTTACTAATGAAATAAATGTCAAGCGAAATCATGATTAGCCACAAATATAAGGCATCAATAAAATGAAAGGGATAAACATACATGCAGACTGCCGAATATTGCCTTTCTGATATGCTAAATTCCTGTTAATAAAACGGTAATTTGTATAATAGATTATAGATTAGTTATAACCAACTTTTTGCGATCATTAGGTTAGGTGTTAGTGTTTAGTGTGGCCTATTGTACTGTTCAGTATATTTAGTTATTTCTGTTATCCATTTAATGCTTTATATTTGTAAGTATAAAATATAAACCGACTATACATTTTTGTTCTCGATACAGTATTGTCTACATAGAAACCTGCCCGTCTTGTGAACTTTTCCAAAATAATGTTGTCGAAAACAAAAACACAAAAATTCATGTTACCTGCAACTATTTGGTTGAAAAAAGCTTCTAGAGTCTTACTTAAATGGACACACTGATTTTTTTTAACTAAGCCAATTGCTACTGATTTTTAAAGTTCTTATGTTATGCTGTTACACCACTGTCCCAGGTAAGGGGAGGGATGAGCGCTCACAAACATGTTTAACTCCGCCACGTTCTATGTACCTGTCCCATGCCAGGAGCCTGTAGTTCAGATGTTGTCGTAGGTTCATGTCTGTCATATGTTTTTCGTAAATTCTTTTGTTATAAATTAGGCCGTTGGTTTTCTCGTTTGAATTGTTTCACATTTTTCATGGCGGGGATTTTTATACCGTTTGCCTATAATTGCTTGCATCCACTTTATTTGAACTCTGGTGGATCTCCTCATTTTTATATAGTTCTTCAATACGTATCCATATAACTACGCTGGAGATGTGTTTTTCAGCCATTTACACCCAACATTAAAGAACAGCATTCCAATGTCCCCCGCGTTGCACATATTTTATCTGCTGAAGGGCAATAGCTAAAAAAACATGTTTTTTACTTGTAATAAATATCTTACAAGAAGTGTAGGCAAGAGGTCGCTCACATTGTTATTTAAAATATATTTCTATTTCAAGGAGCATAACTTCTATAAAAATAGTTGATTCTTTCCGCGTCAGTCCGGTTTTAAAGAAGTTAATTTGGGAAGAAACTGAGACTCAAAATGCCGATAACAGCTCACATGGTCCTTTAAGTCAAGATGAGCATATATAAATAAATCTACATAGCCTTTTTATGTCGATTTAAGTCTGCACACATCGCTTGTGACCCCTCTGTCCAGGGACTATTATACTAATTAGTATAATAGTCCCAGCTCTGTCATAAATAATTTACCAAAAATATACATCCGACTTCTGGTCCTCCTGGGTAACTGGCATTAATTGTTGATCGAAAGTCATCGATAGGGGTCAGTATTACTTCCGTTCCATTACATAAGGCGACACCTGTGACGTAATCCACGTCGGTGAGAAATGTGATGTTAGCTGTATCATTTATGCTTTCGCCGCACTCTATATCAACTGAAATTGTATTATATATAGGAAATGTTATATAATTTTTTCCACAACTACACAATAATTTATCATGAAGTACAGACGATGGATAACAAAATATATAAGTTAATTACAAAAATCATATACACATTGAACCTACCAAGACATGAAAGATGGTAGTTAGTGTATATCTGAAACATATGCAATTCGACACCCGTCAGCTGCATGTAACGTTGGTAAAAACAAGGACAAGGTGAAATAATAGCAATAGTAGACAACCTTGACTATTGCACCATGTCGGCCATTTAATTTATCACCAAGTTAGCAACTATATATAGGTCGCCGTAAGGCCTTTAATAATGAGCAAAATCCATACCGCAAAGAAAACTATAAAAAAGGACCAACATAACAAAATGTAAAACAATTCAAATGAGAAAACCAACGACATGGTTTGCGTACAAAACAATAAAAGAAAAACAAATATGGTATATACAATAACAAACGACAACCAATGAATGACTCCTGACTTGGGACAGACACATACAGAATGTGGCGGGTTTAAACATCTTTGAGGGCACCAAACATTCCCCTTAACCTGGGACAGTGGTGAACAGCAAAACATAAGAACAAACTATAAAAATAAGTTGAAAAGGGCTTGACTCATCAGATCGATACAAAGTAAAACAAACAAAATACCGGTCTGAGAGTACTCGCAGTTACTGAAAGCTAGTTTCAAGCCAATAACAACTTATAAAAGAATCGCGCATCCAAGGCAAAAAGACATATAATTGGTCCTACGAAAAGTGGTTTTTGGACAGCTATCAAAAGAAAAAAAATTATCGCGCAAGTATAATAGGGTTTAACTATTGTTTCAGATTCACACTTTACTAATGAAATACACATCGTCTTTCAAATTTTGCCGCACTGTGAATTGTAGAGCACGAACGGCAATGAAAGCCTTGTTCCTTTGATCAGTGCGCGTAGGGCTTTGCGTAATGATTTAAGACACCTTCATCCGTCATTTGGATTATAAAGTAGAATAATTAAGCAATTTTACCACTAAAATAAACGGAATTTTGCAATTTTGATATACAAGACCAGGATATTTTACCAGGAAAACCCAGCTTCCAACTATTTAAAAGATATTTCACCCGAAAATGCAAAATTATCAACTTGAAGGTATTTGGATTTGAACTGAATGTTAAAACACAATTGGTACATTATCTAAACAGGATGTACATATCAATGGAAGAAGAGCTGAACCAGTCATCTATACTATACGACCAGGACCAAAACGTCACGCTAAAAGAATATATATAGAGAAGTAGCCTTAGGATAAATAGTAAAGCTAGTACATTTGTTTTTTGCCTACATATACAGAATTTCTACTTTTGGAAAATATTTGGTATAAACCTATGAGTACTGTCTTTGATTCAAAATATATTTCGATGTATAGTGCAGAGAATGCGTTTATTGCTTTGTACATAAATATGGTCGTTTTTTCACATTTGAAAAGTTTTACATTTTGCCATGCCGGAGTCTACTGTGTGGTAAGGGTTTTGCTCATTGTTAAAGGCCATATGCTATGCGACGACCTATATATATTTGGTTACAGCTTCGTCGTCTGGTCTCTGGTTGATAGTTATCTCATTGGCAATCATGTCACATCTTCTTACTTTTATATTAATTCTTTTAAATGAAATTTACAATTCTAAATCAAGTGAACAATAAACGAACGAATCAAATTGTAATCAACGACAAAGGTACAAGGACAAACAAAAGAAAACATTCGAACAAGAAACACTCAAAACTTAAACTATGGACAAACGGACGCAAAAAAAAATGAAAAACACAACTTTGACTTTAATATTTTTAAAAACAGTTGGAAAACACAACTTGAACTTAATATTCTAAAAACTGTTGGAAAACATATTATACTGCATCATAAAACAGAAGACCTTTATATACTAGTAGATGTAAATATTTCAATTAGTAACACGTGATATGTGCATAGGTCATTAAAATACATGTATGTACAGAGGTCTATTAAAACTTATATGGGTGCAGAGGTCTATTCAAACATAAATGTGCAGAGGTCCATTAAAACATATACATGTACAAAACTTTAAATAGCATATGTACAGAGATCCATTAAAACATATATATATGTGCAGAGTTCCATTAAAACATATGTGTACAGAGGTCTATTTAAACTTATCTGGGTGCAGAGGTCTATTCAAATTCAAACATATAATTATGTACAGGGGTCAGTTAAAACATGTATTTGTGCTGAGGTCTATTAAAACATGTGTACAGATGTCCTTTAAAAACAATTCGGCAAATGCTCATTAAAACATATCTACAGACGTACAGATCTCTATTAGACCATAAAGATGTTCAAAATACAAAGCATTCAGATGTCTTAGTAGGGGTCCATGAAAACACATAGATGACCATCATATCCATTAAACATATTATAAGCGCATACACTTCCATTAGAAGCATATAGATGTACAAAGGTCCTTTCAAACATAGATGTACAAAAGGTCCTTTCAAATATAGATGTACAGGCCGGTTGAAAAGCTGTTTGCATCTTATTCATTGAACTCTGATCTCTGAGTTATAAATAATTTGTCTTAACTTAGATTGATACGTAGACGATTGTCTCAGGTTTGACATGTGGACGATTGTCTCAGGTTTGACATGTGGACGATTGTCTATATTCGAGTTTGGCATGTAGACGATTGTCTTACTCGGGTTTGACATGTAGACGATTTTCTATATTCCAGTTTGACATGTAGACGATATTCTATACACGGGCTTGACATGTAGACTGATTGTCTATACTCGGGTTTGACATTTAGACGATTGTCTATACACGGGCTTGACATGTAGACGATTGTCTATACTCGGGTTTGACATGTAGACGATTGTCTATACACGGGCTTGACATGTAGACGATTGTCTATCACTGGATACGTATGTTGATCTCTGTTTTGTCGTGTCTTGTGTACATTGACATGTTTTTTCTCTTGCTTATACAACCAACACTATGACTTCCGTTTTAATCTTACGGAGTATATGATTTCAACCTGCTTTTAGAATGGTTCGTGTTGAAATTCTTTTTATTTTTCTATTTTCTTTTGGCCGTAATGCAAGTGTTGGATTTATTAAATGCCGATTGTCACGTGTGACGCTATGTAACTCATTTTAATATATTTGAAAAAATCAACTTACAATTGATCACAATGCCTTGTGGTAGACTTTCTATCTGCAATGTATGTAAGATAAATTTGAACAATCAGGTTGATATGTTGCATAAGGAAAAATGAGGCTCGTATCATAAAGGCTAAATGTCTTTAACAATACGAATGAGTCATAGCTAAGATTTCAAATATATGTATCAGGAAAATATTTGAAATTGATGGATTCCCAGATGAATTGATTTGTGCTAAATTAACGTTCAGTGGCAAATATAACATCTATATCATGACGTGATATAAATATGAACCATGTTTTCCACTAGACCCAACCCGCTGAGACGGTCTACAACGTGCTACTTCCCAACCTTCTATATAGCTTTACCTGTGACTTGATGAAGAAAACAAACAGGATACACATCAGAGTTTTGAAGGCCTGAAATGAAATAATAAAAATTGTCCATTTGTCCATTTATTAACCACAAGGGCTGAAATACAAATTGAAAAATATTCGTTATTTGTATTTGGTGTATTGGAAACAAAATAGTACATTTTATATTAGCTCAGAAATATATAATTAAAAGCATGAATATTCACTTTTAGAATGACAAAATTTAGTGTAAACAATATTTTTATTGAGAAAATATTAACGTACACATTACAATATGACAGTTTTACTAAGATTGGAAAATAATAGAATTTTCACTTTTACAAGTTCCTCTTCCTCTCATGATAGAATGACAACATTTATTAAAATGTATGACAACATTTATTAAAATGTATGACAACATTTATTAAAATGTATGACAACATTTATTAAAATGTATAAGAATACATCTACGCGAGATGATATTTTTGCATATATTTATGAGATCTAAAATATTTTTGGCGTTTGTTTGCAATATTCCTCATTTGAAAGATAGTCATTCAATTGTGGGAGTATTTTGTATAGAAATCATTGCGGTCATCCTACTCAGACTCGGAAATCGACCTATCAAAATACTGGATCAGGTGTTTCGAGCACAAATTTTGTACTAATAATGAGTAAAGTTTAATGAAAAAGTACTAAATATCCTTCCAAAATAAATCATGAAAAATAATATACAGTTCATTTGGAAAAGTTGAGGTTTTAGTGGATGCGCTCTTTACGTTAAACACGGACCATTACAAATCCCTATAAAAAGTATAAATATGATTTGGATATAGCAATGATATACTATCTGAGGAATAGACTGTCCATGTTTCTGTCATGTGAGATACCAAGAAATGTTTGTGCTTCATATGATTTGACGAACCATGTCTGCTCATTTATTGATCATTTACAAAATATACAATTGATTTAAATTGAAATGATGATTGGGCGCATTTATTACTTTATTCTAAACATGATGAACTTACCATCCTGTAACGTCCACCTAGATAATCAAGTACACCTTAGGTTATAAACCACGTGATTGCGTGTATATGTTACGCACGGACGTAAAACGGGAGCTTTATGATATCAATGACTATAGATATTCCATCCTTAAGTTATTAAAACTTAACAAAACTTCTGAGTAAGATTTTTTGCTGAGTTGTGACGAATGATATGATGAATGGCGACCAAAATTTTGGAACCCGGAATTCTTTGTCTAGCCTTCTGGAAAATCTTTACTAAAAATGGCTTAAGAGGAAGGAAGACACTATTGACTGTGGGGTCATTAGGTTAACGGTTAAGGTCACAACTTTTATTGAAAAAAAATGAAATCTGGGCAAAAGTTTTGTTTCCAGATGTTGTTAAACCATACGTCCAACCTTTACCAAACCTATATAGGATCATGCACTAAGGGGCGAGGATGACCTACCTATATTTTTTAAGGATTAATAGGTCAAAGGCCAAAGTCAAATCAGCTACTGATAGACTTAAATTTTGACATAAATTGGTTTTCAGGATGCTATTTTTTGGACTATACGTCCCACTTTTACCAAATTTGATTTGGTAATGATCAATGAGATGAAAAAAACTGAAAAACACCCCTTTTGGCTTTGAATTCACTTGATCAAAGACCAAGAGTACAGTATCAATTGATAGAATGGAATTGACGCAAAACTATTGTTTTGGTGTGTTATCTTTTGGATCATATGTCCAACCTTCACCAAAACTTAGCTGGGGTGACATTTGGAAAACAAATTCTGATATATGTTTTAGTCGGTAGGTCAAACGTCAAGGTAACAGTACTTACAAATAGACTGAAAATTTTTTCTTCATATGTTTCTTCTACTACAAATCCATTCTGATTCTCGTATCTTGACTTATGCACCATCGGAGTCGCTTTAATTTTTTTTTTATAGTTTTCAGACCGTAATTCTCTGGTCCCCTTTTGCAAGAGTAGTTTCATAATAAAAACAGTAATACAACATATAACAGAGGCTGTTTTGCACAAAACTCATAAAATATTTCTTTATTAAAATATCTCAACAATTAATTAAAATTAATATACTTGTTATTAAAAGGGGATGTGGCCATTAACAACAAATGAGACGGTAACACCAACATTACAAATCACAAACAACGTCTTTATAATCAATTATATTTGGTGATGTATTACATTAAATTTTTAACTGTTAGTCCCATTTTAGTACTATGCATACTTATCTTATATTATATATAGGAACATTATGCATACAAGAATATGTTTGAATGCGTTGTTGACTACGGGAACAGCCAATACTTAATACATTGGTCGTAAGAAATATAAAAATGAGGAGATGTGGTATGATTGTCAATGAGACAACAGTTTCTGTCCACCAGAGTCCAAATGACGCCGACGTAAATAACTATACGGCACTACATTTGCGGCCTTCTACAACGTGCAAAACCACTACCATATAGTAAGCTTTAAAATGTCCGACATGACAAAATTTGTGAAACAATTCAAACTAGAAAACCAACGGCCTAATTCATGAGAAAACAATTAACAAAAACCTAGTATGACCGAAAGCAACCAACGATAACCACTGAATTGCAGGCTGTTGACTTGGAACACATACAGGTCCATACAGAATGTGGCGGGGGTTAATATGTTTGTGAGCGCTGAACTCTCTCCCTAAACTGGGACAGTGGCGTTACAGCACAACATAAAGAATAAACTGTAAAATCATTTGGAAATGGCTTAACTCAACAAATTGGTACGAAGAACAACAAAAAAAAACCTGACATACAAATAAAAGACACAAAGTACCGATCTAAGAGTACTTGCAGTAACTGAAGACGTCACGCCAACAAACTGTACTAATTTCGAAGAAAGATGAACAGCATGGCAAATAAAAAATGTAACAATCCTGAGACTATTATTAGACTTTTATATTTTAACGGCCGTTTGTTTGCGATGTTTACATGTAAATATGCAGACTCTGTTGTAACTACTCTACCGTTGTCAAATTTGAAATATTTACAAATTTAGATCGTTCAGTGCTGTTTATTTGGAATTCTTATTGACGCGATCGTTCTTGTAACATCATAACTGTCGTCACCGTTAAAGCTTTAGAATTGTGCTAGTTCATATCGCACATTATTATTTTTATTTAAAGCATATATTTGAACTCTCTGTTGTAATTAGTCATATAACCTATGTCGTGTTTAACACATATTTAGAATTGTGCAAGCGTCTTACCTGATGTTCGGTTTGACTTTTTAATTGTATAAATTTCAAGATTGTTATAGTTTAATCTAAGTAGACTGATATGATTATGATTCATTCAACATCACAATCATATTTACTGATGAAGGATATCTGTTATCCGAAATATTTACAAATAATTACATTTATAGTTCCTTTTTTTGTTATTGGTGTTGTTGTGTACACTTTTTAGGCGTTCATATATTGTATAAAATAAAATTGAGAATGGAAATGGGGAATGTGTCAAAGAGACAACAACCCGACCATAAAACAGACAACAGCAGAAGGTCACCAACAGGTCTTCAACGCAGCGAGAAATTCCCGCACCTGGAGGCGTCCTTCAGCTGGCCCCTAAACAAATATATATACTAGTTCAGTGATAATGAACGCCATACTAAACTCCAAATTGTACACAAGAAACTAAAATTAAAAATAATACAAGACTAACAAAGGCTAGAGGCTCCTGACTTGGGACAGGCGCAAAAAAAAAATATATATATATATATTAGTCTCAGAACAATCTAATTATATCATATGTCACGGTAATTTACTGATTGGACTACCCCAAAATTCTGCCAAGAATCCCAATTCCACTGAATAGTTTATGGCAATGATGACGTAGAAGTGTATGAATAACTCTAGATCCTTAATATTTATCTAAACTATTTTATAGTTGTTCAATTGTCACTCACTACGCATTAAGATCATCTTCTCAAAGTAATATATTTGTTCGACAACATGAGACTAATTATAATTGAAAAAAGAACCTTTATTTATTCTGGAATCTTGTTCATGTTGTGAAACTCGTCGATCCCTGCTTTTATGTAGCTTGGAAAGAAAGTAAAAGTGTAAATGTTTAAAATCGATTTGTCAATTAAAGAGGGTCTGAATGGGGGTCCTTCATTTCTGTATACAATTGTTTAGGTCATTTTTCTCTATTCTTTATACTTTTGGCCCATTATTCTCTATTCTTTAATTTTTTGGTCCATTTTTTGCTATTCTTTATATTTTTTTTGCCCATTATTCTCTATTCTGTATATCCCAATCCACACCCTCATTAAAAATACATGAAGAGAATTTGTCATAGTGATCTTGTAATGTGATGCTTTTACTATAAACAAAACTTTATTCGAGTCAATGGTATTCTTAGTAGTCCTTTGGCAAGTTCATTTATGCATTGTCATTTTGCTTAGTTTCTTTTGTTACCTGTTCTGACATCGGACTCGGACTTCTTTTAAACTGAGTTTTACTGTGCGTATTACTATGTGTTTCTTTATTCTACATTTGCTAGAGGTATAGGGGGAGGGTTGAGATCTCACAAACACATGTTTAACTCCACCGCATTTTTGCGCCTGTGCCAAGACAGGAGCCTCTGGCCTTTGTTCGTCTTGTATGTTTTTTTTAATTGTAGTTCATTTAAATAAATATGTTTTGGAGTTTAGTGTGTAGTCCATTTTCACTGAACTAGTACACATTTTATTTAGGGGCCAGCTGAGGACCACCTCCGGGTGCGGGATTTTCTCGCTGCGTTGAAGACCCATTGGTGGCCTTCGGCTCTTGTCTTCTCGTTGGTCGGGTTGTTGTCTCTTTGACATATTCCCCATTTCCATTCTCAATTTTATTCGTCCATTTGTATGTATACAGTGGATTAGTATTCAGTTTTGCTCAGGCTACTGTTATTTGTAGTATTGTCTTTTAAAAATTGCGTTTTTGCTTATAGATGACGGTTAGCCATTGACTTCAGTCAGAATCAGTATATCCTGTAAACTGAATATCAGCCGGCACTGAGGCCAGGGTTGGACAAACTTATATTTTGATGTAGAAGGCAACGGGACATTTGTTAAGGGGGTGCTCATTTCCCAAATCCCGCTTTTTTTGTAATTTGTCCCGACTTCCTACTTTTTTTCCCATCAGTCTTTTTCCAGATCCCACTTTATTTACCCCCTATATATCCAACATCCCACAAGCGTGTCATTCCCTTTTTGTTAACTGTATTGCCTTCTGAAAATAAAGAATCTAATATTATCATTATTATCAGAAGTCCATTACTAGAATGTCTGCTATCATTATATTAGGCTTTGGATGGGGGTCTTTAATTTCTGTATTCTTTAATTGTATAGGTCTTTTTCGCCTTAATACCCTCCCCCCCCCCTTTTCCCATTATTCTCTAATCCTTTAAATCTTAGCACCCCATTCTCAGTCTCTATATATTCTCAATTTTTGTTCTCTTCTTTATATTTTGGTCCATGCTTAGAACTGTAGATTTGGCCCGCTATTTTCTATTCAGTGAACCCCATCCACTCCCTCTTATCAGAGCCAGATATGACCCAGATATATACTGTAATTTGGAAAATAAAATATTCTATTCTATACAATTTATTATAATGAAAGATAACAAAATACAAGTCTTGAAATGTTTTCAACAATCAAGCGGTTGGGTAGTCCAGAGACACAGGTGTATATATGTCTCTGGGTAGTCCCAGTAATAAATTTACAGCAAGCCTTGTACCTGCATTTTATTAGTCAGATAGAAAGCGTGTGATTATGACGTCAATATTCACAGTGCGTCATACCCCCACTTTCTACCAGTCTAATTATAGCACAAAGAAAGACCGGGATTCCTTAATTATCGAGTTCGTTTAGAAATTATAAGTCAAATCAGTCATTAAGTCCACAGTACAATTTGCAATTTTAATTATACTCGTCCAAAATATTACGAATAATGGACATCTTCCCTTCTTAGGCGAAAGCTGATGCAATAAAGCACTGACCGTCACATTTATGAATCTAAAAATAAACAATAAATTATTACGCTTTCGGAAAATTTTGCTCTTTTGGAATATCTCTTTAATTCTTTTGTCTAAAAAATTGTTACTAGAAATATTTGAAAGGATCTTAATTACATTTTGGATTTGAATTTTGTGTGTTTATTTGATATATGGAAATATGATTTCATGCAAGTCGGAGAACTATATTATGCGAACGAACCGGACTGTGGAAATTCTCGAACTTCCGGGAATTATCCATGTCGAAAAATATAAAACCAACATGTTTACCGTTAAACAGATCATTTTTAAAGCAACACACATAGAAGATAATAATTAAATAGTTCAAAATGTATGGAACAATTGAAAACAGAATTTGGAATTTATATAAACAATATAATAGTGTGATTTGTGTTTCTGATAACCAAGAACAATACACCTTATCGCTATTTAGTCCTATCCGGAAAAAACAGTCATTTAGACAACTTCCTGTTTGGGTCAACAGGCCGCAAACAAAGGTCATCAGTAACGAGCTGAGGGAGGGAAAAAATTAGAAAGCGATCAATAGGAAACTTTGATAGATTATGATCCACTTTTTCCAAACTCAAATTAAAGTCAAAAAAATATTGTGTTTGAAGTATTTACGATGTTTTAAACAGGTCTCATTGAAAAGTATCATGCATGGTGCATTGTTTAAACAGGGTCCCAGATAGCGTCAACTGGATGAAAAAGTTGTGTAATTTTAGAACTTATCCGGAATGGAATAAATAGCGATTAGGTGTATCTGGCTGGATATTTTGCGGAGTAAGTCGTAATTGTGATCCCAGCACACCAGAAATTGTAAGAAAAGTTATTGACAGTTCATTGAAGGAGTATTACTTTGCCAACAACCCTGTGTCAGACGGTTGGAACCATTATTCAACAAACATTTCAAGAGAAGCCGCTGGATAAGTAGTTTGATTTAAAATTATGCCATATGGGAAACGTGTTGACCCTAATCACGTAACGCGGGTACCCTTCATGAGACTCGACAGTACGGGTGAAATTTCGTCAGACAGTTCGTCCAGTGACACTATGATTGACCATAGTTCTAGGAAGAGTGTTAATAATAAACAATTGATCAATTGTAAGGGAGTTGACCTCAGGAACATGTTTAATAGAAAGTACACGAACTTAGGTGCTTACAGGAATAACTTGACTGCTGAGGACAGCCATAATTCATGTAAAATATTGAAGGATATTGTAAACAAAACAATTATAGACAAGTCAAAACCAATAATGACTGAATCAAAAGGAAAATCTTATTGTCCGCTCACATGCCAGAGCAGTATGATTTGGAACAACAAGCCAATGTTCCATCCTGCTGTAGTGGCATCAACGTTTGGGATAACAGCACCATCAAGTACAACATCGGAAAGATCATACATTCCAAAAATGACTTATTGTAATTTGAATCGGTGCTATAAAAATAAATTTAAGCAAAATTATTTAACAAAGATTTCTTGCAGTTCTGCTGGTGCTTCAGGAAATTTCAATCAGACAAAACATTCCAGAAAAAACTGTGATAAAGACAGAACTGTAAACGAGGAAAAAACTAATAAAAAAGAGTCTGTTTTAACATGTTCATATGCTACTTCTAGTCCAGATACGAAAAGTGTGCAATCAAATCCACAGCATTGTGATGAAGAAAAATGTGATAAGAAAAATGACAGCAAAAAATATATTTTGGAGCAACCCATAGAAGGGGGAAAAAGCAACCGATTGGAGCAACAAATAAAGGACAGCGAAGAAAATTGTGAACTATTAGAGAACAGTGGTGAAGTTGTAAACAGTTGGTTAGATTTATGTACAGATGATGAATGTGAAGAACTGAAGACTCAGGTTGTACCTGATTCAAGGGATTACGAAGAAGGGCAAAATGCCAAAAATATAACATGTGCAGAGAAGTCCAATATTGACAAAATTGGAGGCACTGAAAAGAATGACAAAAGCTTCAGTTTCAGGAATCAGATTCGTGACTCCGATGGAAAGCCTTCACAGTTTCAAATTCATATCAATGCAATTAACTCTCAACAATCTTCTAGTAGTGAAACGGATAAAAATAGTGAAGAAAATTCATTAGAAGATAAATCTTTTATACTGTTTATTAGGAAAGAAAATAAAAAATGTAGACCCTCAGCTAAAAAGCGACGTAGATCCAAAGCTAAGAAGGAGGATGCTACAGAGGAGACAACTGAGTCGGAAGATTCTTTCCGAAAGTGCCAAAATCCAGCTGTTGCTTTCATGTTAGGTTTTAGTCCAGACAATGACACTAGTGAACCGCAAAATCAATCTTCACATTCTTTTTTTATGACATTTGAAGATGATGAAGACTTTAGTGATTGGTCAGATGATGAAGATGATGATCAAAATGATGGAAACTGTATAGGTTCAGATTTACTTGCCTCTGGATTTAGCATGCCTTTAAATTTGAATGTTATTTGCTCTGTGAAACAACCAGAAACAGATGAGCATTCCAAAAAGTTAAAAGACATAAATCTTGCGTGGGAGGTTCAGATTAGTAGACATCCTCAATCAGCCAATAATGATGATAGAAAAAAATCTACGAAAAAGGATAAAAAGGTATATATTTGCAAATACAAATGTAAGATATTGTTGGAATGGCAATTAACATGTATAATAAGATGTGAATATTCACACAACAATTCAAAAAAACAACAACACCAAGTTTTCATCAAGTAAAAAAACGTAAGTATGGACCAACAGTCATTCACCACTCAAAAAAATCTGGTTGAAAAAAAACACCACAAACTTGTAATATTTTTTTCTTTTGAATTCTTTTCACATTATTGTCATGCCGAGGCCTTCTGTACTTTACATGGTATGTTAAAGGTCATACAGTACAGTGTTAATTAGTTGGGGTTTAGTTTTCTGATTGGCAATCATATGACATCATCTTATTTTTATGATCATGATGATGTTAGTCATTTGAAGGCTGGTAAATTGATGTGAAAATTTAAAAATAAAATTTTGCTAAAATTCTGTATATTTATATATATATGTTGTACATTTTAATTTGAAATTTATGGTGTTTATATATATTTCAGGTACACTTTCCAGAGGATGCAAAGATTGCCAAAGTACACCACATGATTACTTGGGCACACGCATATCAGGCAGCAAGAAAAGGCCATTGGCGAGAAGTTGTACTTGATCATGAACGTTTTCAAAGACGCATAGATGAAACAGAAAAAATTCTTACTCCAGTATTATTAACAGAACATAGAAACAAAATGTTCAAATTACTATCAGAATCTTAGATGAAAACAAAAACTAAATATGTTATAGATATGTTGAAATAGGAGGTAAAAATGAAAAATCTGAATAATGGTATTAATACAGGTAGCCTGAAAAGATGGATTCGGTTTGTTTTACAAATTTTGTTTACAGTCCCAATTATCCATTCTAAAAATTTAAACTCTAAAATGGTTTTAAAATGTTTTTTAGGCAATTAGTTTCAAATTTTAGTTGTGATACTTTTTTCGAGATATTATACATGTAAATGACTTGATATTAAAATATTTGTATTTTTTATGATTTATAAGACATTAAGACTTTGCAGTTGAAAGTGATATACCTCAAGAATACAGGAACAATTTCAATATACATGTTCTGCTATTTCCTACTGTCATGACTGTTTATTACTATTTACGACTGGAATAATTCCCAAACATTACTGTTTAAAGGTGAAATTTAAACTTAATGCAGAGTATTTTCCCTTTCTAAACATACATTTCTTTCACTTATGTGGGGTATTACAGAAAAATGGATAAATTGTTTTGAATTTGGTGATGGTTACATTATGATTTTTTAATTGCAGTTTTAAGTTTGCATGTTAATCATGTTAATGAATATGATGAATGTTTCCAAACATTTATACTTAAAATTAAATTAAGTTTGGAGAAAAAAACTGAATTGATTTTTCAAAATTATTATCTACTCTGTCTTCCAAGATAGGATTGTAAAAAAAAAAATATAAACATATATTTGCTAAGTATTATTTCTGCATGCATGTTAGATATGAGCAGGGTTTGTTCAAGATTACACTCTGTATATCATTATATGTAAATAAGTGGCTGCAAAAATCTGTGATAATGTGTGATTAGTAAAGGGTGTGCAAAAATAGCTGTTGAAATTTGATATTTTTTAAAAGAATGACATTACAGTTTCTTTAATGTTGAGCAACTTTCAAGTAAATATAACCATTGGTCCTAAACTTCAAAAATGGTTAGATACATGTACATGTATCTCAGTCCTGTAATGGTTTGAGTTTGAAAATGTTTCAGGACTCCAGAGCTTGCACACAATTCGCCGTTTCGTAATCTAATGCATTCTGGGTAATATTTTCAAAAGCGTACACCTAGTGATTGGCTAACAACGTCCCAAATAATTGAAATTCAACAAATGATGTGACGCTTTCATTTTGGGGTACGAACAATAAATTACCCATAGTCCTTCAGATTATGAAACTGAATTATGACAATGTTACTGCTTTTAAGCTATTTTATATTTTTACTTTACATCTTCATTGCTTCATTGTTCATTTGATTATGCAATAGTTCATGATATTTACCCAATGTTACGTTAAGAATTTAGGGGATGTAAGTTCCTGGCTCACACACAAATGTTTTGTAATCATAAAAAAAATTACACTTACAATTGAAATTGAAACAAAGGACTAGATTTGTATTATTTTTGATAAATTATATAATCTTTAAAAATGTAAATGATTGATCAATAGGCATTCAAATATCTAAGTGGAATTACCGCAAGGAGTTAATTAAAATAATATATATGCATGTATACATTAAATTTTGAAAAAATCAACCAAAATTCTCAAAATTATGTAAGGCCAAAATATGTTTTGAGTCAGTCAGCTGTGGCAAACTACAAATTGTAATGTTGGTCCAGCATTGATTAAATTATACTCATCAGGCTTATTGGAAAATCACTTAGAACTTGTCAGCACTTTATATCTCCTCTAATTTCTGGTATACATGTATTATGTTTCATATTTGCAATTGCCTTTTTCATGTTCATTTTAGTCAAATACAAATTTTTGTTCACTCATACAATGGTGTCATTTATGAATGAATAGCGCTTGATATTTTATTGAAATCCTGTTGCAGTGATGATTTTATTCCGTCAGTAGATATAGTTGATCTTTAGGAGCTATCTTGAACTTACAGTGATGTGTGAGCTTATGCTCTAGTGAAGGCTTCACTGTTGCATTTTTAATGCATGAAAATTAAATTACAGACAATTTATATACATTGTGTATTTACAAATTTAACTGACTATTTTAATCAAAAGAAAATATATTAATCTTTCAAGCATTTTCCATTTGATACTTAATTATGTAGGTGAAATATGCTCAATTAGAACACTGAAAAATATTGAAATTTGTGCAAATTGTTGATTGTTTTTATACGACCGCAAAAAAATTTTGAGGTCGTATATTGGTATGACGTTGGCGTCGTCGTCGTCGTCGTCGTCGTCGTCGTCCGGCGGCGTCGTCCGGCGTCGTCGTCCGAATACACAATGGTTTTCGCACTCTAACTTTAGTTTAAGTGAATGGATCTCTATGAAATTTCACCATAAGGTTCAATACCACAATAGGAAGGTGGGGATTGATTTTGGGGGTTATGGTACCAATAGTTAAGGAATTAGGGGCCAAAAAGGGGCTGAAAATAAGCATTTTTGTAACTTCCAGATATAACTTGTGTGTTAGCATATGGATCTCTTTGACATTGTACCACCAGATTCCATATCACAAAGGGTCAATGCTGGGATTGATTTTGGGGTTAATTGCCTCAAAATTTTAGGAATAAGGGGCCAAAAGGGGGCAAAAAACAAGCATTTTTCTAGTTTCATGACAATAACTTGTGTGTAAGTGTATGGATCTTTCTGAAATTTTACTACAAGGTTCCATTTCACAAAGGGAAAGCTGGAATTGAGTGTTGTGGTAATTGCCCAAAACGTTTAGTAATAAGGGGCCTAAAAAGGGGTTTAAAATAAGCATTTTTTAGTTTCTAGACAATAACTTGTGTTCAAGTGTATGGATCTCTCTAAAATTGTATTACAAGGTACCATACCACAAAGGCAAGGCTGTTATTGAGCTTGGTTTGGGGGGAAAGGGGGGTGGGGGTGATGAATCATAAGGGGGGCGGGGGTCAAAAAAGGGGTAATTTTTTTTTTCCTTTTTTTTTTGTTTAAAATTTACATTTTAAGTTAGTTATTTTTTATCACGAAGAGAAAGTAGGAATTGAGTTTTGGGGTTAATTGCTCAAACATTTATGAATAAGGGGCCAAATATTGGTCAAAAATAAGGATTTTTTTAGTTTGCAACAAAAACTTGTGTTCAAGTGTATGGATCTCTGTGAAATTGTATTGCAATGTACCATACCACAAATTGAAGGTTTTGATTGAGGTGGGGGATGATGAATCAAAAGGGGGTTGAAAAAATGTGTGGGAGGTAGGATTTTTTTTTTTCATTTTTTTTTCTTTAAAATTTTCCATTTAAAGATGGTTGTTTCAGATTTATATATGAAAGAAAATAATAATGATACGGTTATTATCATGAGGAATTGAAATTTAAAATTATGTATATTGGAAATTTAAGTTACATTGGAAAGTAATAATTGGCTTTGGGGGGGGGGGGGGGGGGGGGGGGGGGTGGTTATGGCTCTAATGTTTAAGGAATAAGGGGAAAAAAGGTTAAAAAACAAGGGTTTCCATTTTAATAGACAAATAATTGAGTAAAGAACATTATTTAAAAGCAGTGTAAGGTTGGTAATTCAAACTCATTTAAATATCTCATCTACACTGCTTTTAAATTATGTAAATTGGAAATTTGCCAATAACTTTATTGTTAATAAATGCATTGGAAATTTGCCAACAATTTTAGTGTAATAAACTTCATTGGAAATTTGCCAATATAAAATTTTGCTGATGAAGGTTTTTTGTTTACCTTTAGCCTTGACTATGAAGTCATTTTCTATTTTTATAGCCATATGATGTAGTTGAATTATTTAATACTTTTATGATGTGTTTAAATGGGGTTTTATCATGTTTATGGTTGCAAATTTATTGTTTTAGTATAATAAACTCCATTTAAAATTTGCCAATAAAAAAATTTTTTGTTTATTTTTAGCTATGATTATGATGTCATTTTCTATTTTACTTTTATGGTTGCAAAGAAATTTTTATTTTTAGATATTACTGTTAAATGATGCTGATTAAGGTTTTTGCTATGTTTAGCCATGACTATGATGTCATTTTCTATTTTAATATCTGTTATGATGTATTTAAATGGGCATTTATGGTTACAAAGGAATTTTATTTTTAGATATTACTTTAAAATGTTGCTGATGCTGATTAAGGATTTTGTTTATTTTTAGCCATGACTATGATGTCATTTTCTATTATAATACCTTTATGATGTAATTTCCATTTTTAGATATTACTGTTAAATGATGCTGATTAAGGGTTTTTAGCTATGTTTAGCCGTGACTATGATGTCATTTTCTATTTTAATATCTTTATGATGTATTTAAATGGGCTTTTATGGTTACAAAGGAATTTTATTTTTAGATATTACTTTAAATGTTGCTGATTTTTAAAGGATTTTTGTTTATTTTTAGCCATGACTATGATGTCACTTTCTATTTTAATACCTTTATGATGTATTTAAATGGGCTCCCATGTATTTAGATTTTTGATTATTTATACATGTTACCAAATTGGTCCACATTGAACAAAAACGGTCCAAATTTCAACTTTATTACATTACATCAAACATTGAATTCTACATATTCTTTGATATATTGAAATTAACAAACAATTTAGTTTATGGATATTCCACCATAATAGGTAAATTAAATTTTTTCCAGTTCTTACACCACATTCATCCTGTGTCAGAAACCTATGCTGTGTCAAATATTTAATGACAATCCAAAGTCATAGCTGTATCAAGCTTGAATTTTGTGTCCATACTTGCCCCAACTGTTCAGGGTTCGACCTCTGCGGTCGTATCAAGCTGCGCCCCAGCGAAGCATTTTATTAAATTATATTATGAATGATTAAATATATATAGAAAGAAGTATCTTGTTTATCTGTTAGCCTATATAAAAAATTAATAATGAGATGTAGTATGATTGGCAATGAGATTATAATTATCTACCAAAAACCAAAGGACTTGGATGTAAACTATACATTTTATAGGTCACTGTATGGACTTCAACAATGAGCAAAATACATACTGTAGAATAAGCTATAAAAGGCCCTGCATGACAAACCCTCAAAACAAACACACTATAAAAGAAACACACTATGCCTTTGTCTTGTACCCTTGCTGTCAGAAGTGGACTTCAATAGAATCTGTTAGCCTGAACAAATTTGAGAGTGGCTTTTGAAATATCCGTCCTAAAAAGTAACTTCATCCGTGTGTAAGAAAGAAATTATCCGACTTGGAATGAATATGTTGTGTTCTGAATCCTCTAAATTCTAATAAAAATTGGGACATACCTATATTTAATAAAGGGACTTTCAGTGTTGATACTGTCATAAATATATACAATACTAATAGATGCAAGCTGTACCATTGTTAGAAGGTCAATATTCAGACAAAATGATCACTTACATGCCATATTGACTGGTTCAAATTTGCATCAAACTGGAGGATAAAGGATCATCTGAACTGGTGGGAACCAGCATATAGGCACAGGTTCAGGGACTCTTCATTTTTGGCCATGGTGTGTCCAATAGTAAGAAGAAGACATTTTCAGTCCCCATGACAAAATAAAGCAAGGAATGACATAAAGTTCATATTATTTCTAAACTTTTGTCAAAAAAATGATATTTGTACTCAGTTAATACGACATCTTACAATCTTGAAGCATCTTTGGACTCCTCAGTTTTGAAAATGCGGAGTCCAGGACTTGTGGACTTGCCTTAGTGAGATCCCCGAGGCAATAGCAGGTTGGTTTTGCCAACCTCTATAATCACTGACTTTGGTTCAAGTTCACATGAAAGTTCATTAATCTTGGGTACCAGAATAAACTGGATACAGTACACGCAAGGTGATTCTGTTAAAAATCCATCACTGATGAGATTTAGTTTCAAAGCACTAATTATAACCCTGTTATATGTATCGAATAAGAAAATAATCACATTCACTGTTTCAAATCACAAGAGTGTGTGCTGCTACACAGTTTTATGATATATTCTCTGCAGTATAGAGTTATTTTCTTTTTTAATAGTGTGATAACAAATCAAACTTGGCAAGAATATCGTGTATCATTCCATATATCAAATATTGTTGACATATTTCTTATTGTATCTGAGAAACAAACCTTTAAACAAATACCCTAGTTGACATTAACCAATGAACCTTTAAGATGAGGTCAAGGACAACTGATATATGCCAGATCAAAACTTCAGAACATAAGGCATCTGTTACAAGAGGGTCGTAATGGGGGTACCTTCATGACGAATAACGGTAAAAATTCTTGCCAAATGACGTTAACGGTAATTTTTGGTGCATGACGATAAAATGTACACTTTCTTTTAGACGATAAAAAAAATAGACTGATTTTGACGAATCACGTTAAATTTTTTCCAAAAATAACAGTAACGATAATTATTTGAGACCTCTGATGAATCACGATAAGGATAATTTGATGAATCACGGTAAAATTTTAACCAATTTGACGCTAACGGTAGCCAAAAAATGATCGTTTGACGCCTGACGGTAAAGGGCATTCCTACCCTCTTACAAGATCTGGAGTATCAAGGTCTTAAAATATAAAGCTTTATGCAAAGAGCTAACACAGCATGAAGTAAAAGACAGATGAACCCTGCTGGATGCATATGTATACAATAATTCAATTCACCAAATATAGTTGACATATTGCTTATAGTATCTGAGAAACCAACCTAGTAGCAAAAAAGTCACCTTGATCACCCATCCCTGAAAATAATGTTGAGGTCAAATGAAATCTCACAGACAGACATGTTCAACTAACAATCATTCCAAAACAAATATATTTGACATATTGCTTATAGTATCTAAAAGAGAGGCAAAAGATACCAAAGGGACATTCAAACTTGTGTCGAAAAAGGAGGTCAAGGACAAGACATATGCCAGACAGAATCTACAGAACATAAGGCATCTGTATACAAGATATAAAGTATCTTCTGAAATATAAAACTTGATGTAAGGAACTAACACGTCCACCAGATAAGCATCCTTATGTCTCGAATTCTGCAACATTTATAGAGGCGAGACAAAAATATTCGGTGAATTTTAAGTTTTACAAATTTTCAATAGAAACCAAATATTTTTTTCACTCCCCTAATGAAACAAATTAATTTTTTTTCACAGAAATTTAAAATCAAACAATTTACATAAAAAAACAACCCATCCCCCCACAAGATGAAGGGTCTATGCCTTACGGCAGAAGAACTTGCCCGTTTCTAAACTGACAAACAATCGACACATGAATTAATGCAGACAGACAGATTCTATGGATAAAATAATATTTTGTTTGACTGATAAACTAAACCTAAAAATACCTTTAGTGCATATGATGTAATTCTACAGTGATTTCTAGTTTACCTTTTAAACATATGGGGAATATGATGGAGTAAACTGGTTATAGTTTATCATACAAGTGCAAAGAAAACCATGCTCACACTATCACATTTCCATGTTCAGTGAAATTTGGGTGAAAACTTTAATCTGGCATATACTTGAAAAAGTTCACATCATAATTAACATGGAAAACCACCTTAAACCACAACTTTTATGAACCTGATAAAGGGTGGATGCATAGACCTGAACACATAACAGGCCATTTATTTTGTAGATGGGGCATAAAACAATAGTAATGCAAATATAATATTTTTTATTTCTCATATATATAAAACAAATTTGGTTTTTTTTCTGAATTCATCTCAAAGGTCTGCATTTCTATATTTAAATAAGATCTATATCTGCTTCTCTATCTTTCTTATCATACATAAACAATATCATTGAGTTTTCATTTAAAGTCACATCTCTATGGAAAAAATACACAATTTCTCAACAAATATCTTTGTTGATGGCAAACAACAGATTTTCACTACCTTTGTCTATGATGTTGAAGCAACATTACTGCAAATGTGACTTTTATAACATATAATAACATTAAAACTTACTGTCAAAAAGTGGCAGTATCAAATGAAAGATGTTTATTAGGGAGCTACCATTGGATTTTTATGGGGGGGGGGCTAGGATGAAATTTGAAAAAAATAGGCAGGACAGGAGTTTTGAGTAAAAAAAAGGCAGGATGAGACACTTGCAAAAAAAAAAGACAGGATGACAATTTTGGTAAAAAAAGTCAGGATAAACTTTAAAAAAAAAAAGGCAGGACCGAATAGAGTGAAAAATAAAAAGGCAGGACAGAGATAAAAACTAAAAAAAAATGCAGGACAAAATTTTTCATCCTAGGCCCCCATAAAAATCAAATGGTAGCTCCCTTATCCATACAAAGTAATTCATACCTTCATTTGACCTTTTTTTCCATTTTATACATCAATTTACCACACAGTAAAGGTTTAAGTCATATGAAACAAATTTATGGTAATTATAATGTTAAGGAACTTATTAAACCAATGCATGAATATATACTTAACTAGGACCTCTGTGGAATTATTTTATATTTTATACTATCAAAAATCTGTTTCAATAATCGACAAAAATTATTTCATTCATTGATTGTTGGTAGAAAATTTTGGCAGCTAATTAACTTTCAGGTTTATGTGCCGAAGTCTACAGAATGTGACCTTGGTAAAAAATCAACGTATAATCATGAAGCATGTGAAGTGAAATGAAAGAGACAAGTTTTTTTTATATTGTCTGCACATTCCTATTAGTTAATTTAACATTGTCATTAAAGTTGTTAAATGATTTGGTGTGGATAATTTTTTTCCCCTTTTTTCTTTCAGAATCAATTATTATGAAGGAAATTAAACTTTCCCTAATATCAGATGGTGTTTACCCGGCCACTGGAATTTTTCAAAAGGTAATTGCCCATTGAAGAAATACATTAACTATTGGGCTCTGTGGAGTTCATTCTAAGGGAACATTAAATTTCTCCTTGAAAACCAGTCATTCATTGATTAATTTAATTGGCTGTACAAAAAAATAAACTCCTAGCGATGATAGATTTATACTTAAGAGGCAATATTTTATATGGGATATCTGTAAAATGGTCTATCTTTGTTTAAAAAAAAATTTTATACATAAAAAATCTGTCTTAATAGTTCTTCATAAAATTCATGCAAAATTTAAAAAAAAAATAGTAAATTCTATCATGAACTGACTATAGATGGTGCTTGATACTCTTCCAACTGTTCAAAATGTCTGACAGTACTTAATAATTCTAATTCATATTTGTCTATGCCTTCTTCAAAATTTCCAACCTGGTGAATCTTTACATTTGACGTATTAGCCTGTAAAATAAAAATAAATAAAATGAAAACATATACTAAGGGATGGGGATTAAGTACTCTCAGAACTAATTTCATCACACGTTAATGTGACTATCCAAAGTGAGAAACATTGTCAGAAGTTGGTTTTAGTTATATCAGTGTTTTTGTCCTTGTAAAATACTTGTTTGGGCTTCAGACAATTTCAAACTTCACATATGGTTAAGATACTGTAAATTCTGAAACTATTGCATGCATTTATTATTGCGATTTTTGAAGTACGGACATAACTGCTAAATTAATTATTGTGATTTCATGAAAATCTGCATACAAATATATATATCAAAATCAGAATGTGAGTTCTTAGTATTGCCATACTAACCCGGTGGCATTATTCACATTAATAAAAACGTCACAGTAATTTCTGAATTTACAGTAGTTGCCTACTGCTGACAACCTATGGAAAACTTTGGATGTCTTTTCTGTTTTCTTTGTGTTGATTGATTGCTGTCGTAGATTTCTTATCTCATTTTCAAAGATATACTTATACAGTAATTTGCACAAGTATTATAGACTTGAAACAAATATGTTCAAGAATTGAATTTTCCTTTTACATTTTTTTTTATCCATTAATATTGAAACTCTTACATTCTCTTACATAGGATTTAAACAATGGCACAAGGAAATGTGTTTGAAATATCTGAAATCAGGACTTATTATTTAACTTACCAGCATCAATGATGCTAAAAATGTCCGACAAACATCGTATGTTTGTTTATGTTTAACAATTTGTGTGAATGGTTTGGTTTTCTTTTTCTCCAAGTTTTCTATAATAAAAGTTCCATAGATATTGATATCAAATGGTGGTCTCTCATCCTGAAATAGAAAAATAAAACATTTTATATAAATTACAACATCAATAACAAAATAGTTGCATTTCTTTTAGTGCTCAGATATTGAAGTTGACTCCCCTTATAAATTATTTCTTTTAAAAGATACAAGATGCAAATACTCTTTTGTAAATGGCAATCATAATATTTGCAATATTTTTTGGAAACTGCAAAAATCTATTTTATTAAAAACTAGATTATGAAGAATGTATAATATTTTTTGGGAGAGTACCATTGAATTAAAGTAGGTGTCCCAGGTTAGGAAGGGTTGAGAGATCACAAGCCACATTCTTCAAGTACTTGTAGTTCAGTGGTTGTTGGAACATGTCTATAATGTTTGATTTTTTCGTAAATTGTATTGTATAAATTAGGAACTTAGTTGTCTTGTTTGAATTGTATTAATACATTTTCATGTCAGGGCCTTTAAAAGCTGACTATACAATAAGGGTTTTTTCTTGTTGTTGAAGGCTGTATGTTGATCTATTATTGCTTTTATCTTTTTCATTTGAACTCTGATGAATAGGTGTCTCATTGGCAATTACACCACTCATTATTTGTATATTTAAGGTTTAAATACATGAAATTTTCATTAAAATACAGACAATGGTGTAAGGAGTTCAAATAAAAAAATAGACGTGTATCAATGACCAGTTCTCAGACACATGGAAATATATTAAATTAACAATTTATAATGTATTCTAAATCATTGGTTAATAATAAAGTTATTCAGCCAAATTAATTGAAATCTTACCTCTTCTGCTAGTTTAGGTAAGACTTTGTCTTCCCACTCGGAGACTCTCTGTGATAATTCTGTTATCTGAGCATATTCTTGGGCACTGGCTAAATACTGGTCCTGTAATTATTATGTTATAGCTTTTAAAATTAGTCCACATATCAATATATTTACTTGCAGAAATTTGAGAACTTTGTTTAACTTTTGATTATGCTATTGTTGACTACTATTTGTTTTGATTAATGCCAAAGAATTTACTTATATCCAATTGCTAACAAACTTAAAATGAATAGAGTGGGTGGATTATATTCACTGTTTAGTGTTTTTTTTTCATGTGTGCACTATTTATTTGCTTTAAAAATGTCCATATTATCAATTCATACACATCTCATGTATTTAATCATCGGAGTGGTAAGTTTTTCCAGGCATTTAAGAGTAAACTCGCAAAAATAAATGTATCAATGCTAAAAACTGTGAGGTTTGCATGCGAAACCCTTACCCTAGTCAAATAAACAGCTGCTGTCAAAATGCACATTGATGACCAAGAAATTTTTTTTCCTTCTGCTAAATGAATAGGAAAAGATTTCGTTTTTTTTCACAAATAATCTGAATCAAGTTTTAATTATCCATTTTTAGATGGTGACGTTCCCTTGTCACCATCTTACGGTGTTTATATATCTCAACTTGTACGATTCGCTCGTGTATGTAACAATGTTTTAGATTTTAACGAGAGAAATTTATGAATTACTGAAAAATTATTACACCAGGGTTTTCGATATCACAAACTAGTCAAAACATTTACTAAATTTTATCATCGGTATAAGGACATCATTCGTAAATATAGCTCAACATGCAGACTTCTTATACGTTCAGGTATTTCACATCCAATTTTTTATGGAAATATTCTTTATAAAGCACAAAAATGTCAGTATTCACCTCTGAAACTAACAAAACCTTTAAATAGACTTATTAAGAAGGGATATAGTTACGATACTGTTGTCAGGTCATTAAAGATTGCATATTTTGGCGTTAATATTGATTCACTTATAGGGTCTTTGCATCGGCACTAAACACATTTATTTAAAAACCAGTTGTTGGCATGACACGGGTTATGTTCTTCTCATATATGTTATGATGGTATGATACTAAACCCCTAACGGGAAGGATTGTGCCTGATATTCATATGATGAAGACATAATCTTTCAATCAGTTTAATTGAAGTCTGGAGCTGGCATGTCAGTTAACTGCTAGTAGTCTGTTGTTATTTATGTATTATTGTCATTTTGTTTATTTTCTTTGGTTACATCTTCTGACATCAGACTCGGACTTCTCTTGAACTGAATTTTAATGTGCGTATTGTTATGCGTTTACTTTTCTACATTGGCTAGAGGTATAGGGGGAGGGTTGAGATCTCATAAACATGTTTAACCCCGCCGCATTTTTGCGCCTGTCCCAAGTCAGGAGCCTCTAGCTTTTGTTAGTCTTGTATTATTTTTAATTTTAGTTTCTTGTGTACAATTTGGAGTTTAGTATGGCGTTCATTATCACTGAACTAGTATATATATTTGTTTAGGGGCCAGCTGAAGGACGCCTCCGGGTGCGGGAATTTCTCGCTGCATTGAAGACCTGTTGGTGGCCTTCTGCTGTTGTCTGTTCTGTGGTCGGGTTGTTGTCTCTTTGACACATTCCCCATTTCCATTCTCAATTTTATTAATTGCAAATTCTTTTCTTTTCATGCCTTTCCATACTCATATTTCTTGTGTGCATGTGTGTGGTGTTTTCATATACCGTGTAGATTTTTTAGATGGTAATCTATGCCCTCCTGGATAGTTAATTTATTCATTTTAAATATGTGAAGGTGCTTCTTTTAAAACAAATGCAGCTCAATTGGTTTAATGGACAAAATAAAAATATGTGGAAAACTACACATGCACAGTAAGTAAGCAAATATTTTATGTCAGTTTTCGATTTCTACTGTGTGTTAATTGCTTCGAGTGAATTCCATCCATTAATATGTTGTTAAATATAACAGGGTTAATGAATATTTTCGATTTATAGATTAAGGCAAAAATGTGTTCCCCATGGTATGCCTATTTTCAAATCTATCAAGGACCATAACTCCTGAACAACAAAAGTGAAAATCATTTATTTGAAATTAACCTCCATTTAATCATCAGTAACAACTTATTAAAGTTTAACAATAATGTGTCCATAGTACACGGATGCCCCACACGCACTATCATTTTCTATGTTCAGTGGACCGTGAAATTGGGACAAAACTACTCTAATTGGCATTAAAATTAGAAAGATCATATCATAGGGAACATGTGTACTAAGTTTCAAGTTGATTGGACTTCGACTTAATCAAAAACTACGTTGACCAAAAACTTTAACCAAAAACTTTAACCTGAAGCGGGACAGACAGACGAACAAACGGACAGACAGATGCACAGACCGAAAAACATAATGCACCTAAGTGGGGCATAAAAAGCATTGGTTGAACGGTTCATAGATTATTAAATGAAAACAACAATAAGTGCAATTTTAAAATCTATCAAAGACCATAACTCATGGACGATAAAAGTGAAAATTGTCAATATTCATCTTGATCTCCATTTTGTAATCAATAACAACATATCAAAATTTGAAAAGCATTGGATAAACAGTGCATAAGTTATTACACAGAAACAACATAAAGTGTCAGTTTCAAATATATAAAGGACAATTACTCCTGAAAGGTAAAAGTGAAAATTGTCAATATCGAATTTGACATCAGTAACAACATACATGTATTAAAATTTGAAAAGAATTGATTGGAAGATTTGTAAGTTATTGCACAGAAACTGTTGGCACCTGCCCACCCGCCAGACATATTTCACCAAATTAATAATTCAATTTTTCCTTTAAAAACCAATTTAAGAAGTTTCTTTCTTATTCATTTTGAATATTTGAACTGTAAACAATCAAATTACAGTATTTTCAATATTTGATCAACTAAAGAGTCATAACTTCATGATGTTACCAGCTACAACTTAAACTTTTTGCAATACAACAGATAACATGCCAATGTATATGTAGGTCATGATTATCAAAATGTTCTTGAACTGTATTAAACAATGTAACAAAATGCATTAAATGTATTGTTGATATACCACTATGGATGTCTATAGTATGGAATTAAATACGAAAAAAAATCATATGCTGCTAAAGTTGGAATCGCAGGTAGCTAATAAACCAAATTTTATAAAAAAAAGACCTAGGATTCTATTTGCCAAACTTTGAAAAAAGTATCTAATCAGTTGAATGCAGTTAAATGTCAACATATAAATAGAAACATCATATTTTATTTAATATGAAATACTTAGTTTACTCTTGACTCAGTGATCGGGAAGGACGTGCGCCATGCGCCAATTGCGCTTTTCGACCATAAATGTCGCATAGGGTGACAAATGAACAAATTTAAATTTGTGAAATTTGGCTAGTACAGTCGAATTTTTTCTCTAATTATAATCTTTTAAGTAAGCTTGCTATTATTTCGATTAAAAAACCCAAAAGCCTTTTTATGAATGTAGTATTTGTTTCCATAAAAGGCGCTTAACTGTCCTTGTCAATTTTTTGGTCTTTGGCTCGTTTGAACATTTTGTAAACATGCCTTCAGCGAATTGTTGTTGTGTCTTATCAATTAATGTTACTCTCTACTGTTATTCTTGTCATCGTGATGAAGTAATAATAATACAAGAAGTGCAGAGGAAATGCCAGAAACGTCCTCTAATACAGAACGTCTGGAATAAAGTATGGCAATCGACGAAGACCCAAATTTACTGTAAAGAAAAACATGAACATGAACAAGGTAACAGTACCAGTTGTAAATAAAGGTTATCGTAAATATTGCCCGGTTTGGAAGAAATTATTGTATATTCATTGAAATTGAAATTACAAAGCACAGGAACAATAACCATGATATCAATTAGAATCATAAAGGTACTGTAAGTACCACTGCCTCGTTGCTGAAATATACATTTTATTTTTAAATTATTTATTGTAAACGAATGGCCCACTCATTTGACAACATGGCCCATTCATTCTAAAAATGGCCCATTGAATTTATTTTATGGGGGCCCTGGGCCCATAGAGAAAAAATCCTTCCAGATCACTGTTGACTATTCATGACCATCAACAGTAGCAAGTTCTTATATGTTAAATAATTAACATAACCATATCTTTATAAAAATCTAAGGCTAGACCTTTATGCCAAAAGCAATTTTATTGTGGGGTATAAACTGTGTTGGCATTTTCTTACCACATGCTGTCGGACCAGCTCTTCATAATCACTTATAACTGTGGACTTGTCAATTACTTGGGCCTCACCTGGTTAAAAAAAAGTTTATGCAAATGATAATAGCATACAGCAAAGATAAAAGAGATCTACACTAAGCACAGCAACATATGACTACAATTATCACCATGCAGATTGTTGGACAACTGCTTATCAAAATCAATTGTGGATTAGTATGCCTGAAATAGTATTATCCTTGACACACCATGTAAAAGTGTGATTTTTCATTCTGTTAGCCTTTTTAAATATAGCTTGGAAGCTGCAAGAGTTATGAACAATTTGCTGACATGTTCCTGAAAGCTTAATCCATATAGCAAAATAAATATTCAATGCACATTGTGTAGAAGCAATTAATCTGTTAGCCTCTTATAATTTGAAAAGTGTAACAGCTAGCACAAATCTAACTGGCAACTGCAAGCGGTTTTTTTTAAAAGGATTTCAAAGAAAAAATTGTATGAAAAAAAAATTTAAAACACCAAAATGGAACCAATACAGCTTGGGTATCTTCTTATTCAGACTGGAATAACAGTTAGTAACATTTCGTATGATGTATACAAACTTACTCATTCTTCTTGAAACTTCAAATCCAGCATGGTGTGACTCCATAGCTAATTCCATGGCTTGGAATAGTTTATCATCTATCAATGGTGACTCGTCTAAGTCTACATTGTCTCCTGCATCAAATCCTAGCCCTTCATCTGGAATATGAAATATAATAAATTACCAAAACACTTGGTACATTTGTAAAGCAGAAATGCAATCCAACTTTCTTCCATACAAAAATACAGTGAACAAACAACACAAAGTCTCCAGGCATCCTGCTTCTGTTGCAAATGTAAGGTTATGTTTAAATTACTGTTGATATCACGAGTTCAATTTGTGGTCCTCCTTCGTGGTCCAACTTTAAGTCATGTCAATTTCATTGAAACACAACTTTAATGGGTGGGATCTAAAAAAATCTATATGATTAAGCTTGTTAAATTGCGGGATAAAAACAATATTTGTACAGTGTATGAAAATATAAAATTTATTTGTACTCACTACATCAGGAGAAAAGCTCAGCAAGCCTGGCTTTTATTTCTTTTCTAAAGCCCATACAAATAAATTCTATATTTCCCTGCATTGCGTGAATAGGTATATGTATGTTTGACTGATTACTGGCTTTAACATCATATGGCAAATATGACATACATATTCAGGAAAATTACATGCTAATGAGATAGGAATATACCCTTGCTTTGTACTTGGACTAACACATAAAATCAGATTTTTAATGTGCATGCTTACAAAGTTATAGTCTGCAGGAATACATATTACTGTACTCAAATTATTCCAACTCAGAGCCGACCAGTTATTGATCTTATATGTTGCACACTTGGTGGAAAAGCAGCAATTACCAGTTTTGAAGTCTTTGGTTTGACCAAGCCTGGGATTGAACCATGATCTTAAACAAATTAAGGCAGACACAACCACAAGAAATGGTGAAACTGTATGAAAAGCATAGTGGAAGTATTGATTTAGCCTGTAAAGAAGACTGAATGAAAATTATTCACCTTTTTACCATACAATGAAATTATTTCTATCAAGTACAATGTGAAACTTGGAAAAAATTTCTTAAATGATCAGTATCATCTGAAGAACTTTTATTTAACATCTGGCATATTTTCAAACGGCCCTTGATAAAAACTATTTGCATGTAAATTGTTTAACACATGTATTGATTCCATTATAAAATGATAATTCATACCGCCAGGATCATCTATCATATTCTCAACATCATCTTCTTCTTCTTCTTCTTCTTCAACATCTTCTTGTACCAATGTCTGGGGAAAAAAACTTGAATTTCAGAAAATGACAATTAGCTGTTTAACAATTTATTTACAAAATAAAAAATGTTTTGCCATACAGAAAATTGTTTTTTTTTAATAATTTCTTTCCACTGGATAAAATACATATATTCAGATATTTGAGTCAGTGTGTTTTCATACTTTATTTGACATGACTCCTAAAATTGTGAATTAGATTTCACACCATCATTCCTGACAGATGTAGCTGCATATTTTTTTACCCCTCACAACCAAACTGAAGGTCTTACTGCTTGACAATACCATACTTCAATACCCATGTCACCTTTGGGGTTAGTGAACATCAACCTTATCAGTATTTATTGATCTATTGTGTTAATGCTTTACAAGACAACTGGTTAAAGCAAACTTGTATCAGTATCCAGCAGAGAAATCACAAGTTTTCAGACAGATTTACAATAGGACGGCAGAAAGCCTCTCTAAACAAAAAATGAAGATAAAAAAAAAATTGTATTTTACCCTCATTTTTCTTTCATTTTTATGTATTGATAATCTTCTCTTGTATTCTTCATAATATTTCTGTTCAAACTCTGGAAATGTTGGACATTTCAGCTTGTTCTTTGGAAACTTTGATCTTTGTGAATCTATTTGATAAAACATTAATAGTATAGTTTATTATATATCTGTCACTTCACATATAAATACCAGTTATAATCTGAAGTCAAATAACGTTTTTATGTCCTTTTCATGATATTCAAGCCAGAACAACACCTCTTGTTCTTCAGATCACAAAACTAAACACTTATCCTAATAAAGTAACAACAAGCAAGAAAACATATTGCCCAAGTCTGAAGCATTTATATAGCATCACATCAACTTAAGCTGCATTCCTTAGTAAACACAAGAGTGCACACACTGAAATGTCTTGCCTTCTTTACTAACCATTGATATTATGTTGATAGTCCTAAATATAAAGCTTTACTACAACTATTACATAAACTTAACATGATCCAAGAAAATGAGGTCAAGGTCATATAAACCAAACGAGAAATACATGTACACCTTACAACCATTCAACACACTAAATATAGTTGACCTATTGCTTATAGTCTCTAAGAAACAGACTTAACCAAGAAAACTAAACACTGACCAATGAAACATGAAAATGAGGTCAAGGTCAGATGAACCATGCCAGGCAGACATGTACAGCTTACAATCCTTCCATACAACAAATATAGTTGACCTATTGCTTATAGTTTAAGAAAAACAGACCAAAACATAAAAAACTTAACATTGATCAATGAACCGTAAAAATGAGGTCAAGGTCAAATAAAACCTGCAAGACTGACATGTACATCATAAAATATTTCCATAAACCAAATATAGTTGACCTATTGCATATAGTATTAGAAAAAAAGACCAAAACTCAAAAACTAAACTTTGACCACTGAACCATGAAAATGAGGTCAAGGTCATATGACACCTGCCAGTTGGACATGTACACCTTACAATCATTCCATACACCAAATATACTACACCTATTGCTTACAGTATCTGAGATAATGACTTGACAACCAAAACTTAACCTTGTTCACTGATCCATGAAATGAGGTCGAGGTCAAGTGAAAACTGTCTGACAGGCATGAGGACCTTGCAAGGTACACACATACCAAATATAGTTATCCTATTACTTATAATAAGAGAGAATTTAACATTACAAAAATCTTAACTTTATTTTCAAGTAGTCACTGAACCATGAAAATGAGGTCAAGGACATTGGACATGTGACTGACGGAAACTTCGTAACATGAGGCATCCATATACAAAGTATGAAGCATCCAGACCTTACACCTTCTAAAATAAAAAGCTTTTAAGAAGTGAGCTAACGCTGCCGCCGCCGGATCACTATCCCTATGTCGAGCTTTCTGTGACAAAAGTCGCAGGCTCTACAAAAAATGATTTGGAAACGGATATTCATTCCTTGGTAAACAAAAATGATTTGGAAATGGATATTCATTCCTTAGTATACAAAAATGATTTGGAAACTGATATTCATTCCTTAGTATACAAAAATGATTTGGAAACAGATATTCATTCTTTAGTAAACAAAAATGATTTGGAAACGGATATTCATTCCTTAGTAAACAAAAATGATTTGGAAACGGATATTCATTCCTTAGTATACAAAAATGATTTGGAAACTGATATTCATTCCTTAGTATACAAAAATGATTTGGAAACAGATATTCATTCCTTAGTAAACAAAAATGATTTGGAAAGGGATATTCATTCCTTAGTATACAAAAATGATTTGAAGACAGTATTTTCACTATCTAAGTATCAAACAATACTGTTCTTGGAACAGTTATCAGAAGTGAACAGATAGACATCTCTTAATTAATCCAATACTGCAAACGTTGAATGATTATGCCTCATTGCTGATATGGTCTTTTCCATTAAAAGGAATGTGGGAGGGTAGAAAAGGAAGGTTTATTTTCTGACATTGGTCATATATGATTGTTTGTCCACTTGATGTTTGTAAAAAGGAAGGTTTATTTTCGGACATTGGTCATTTATGATTGTATATCCACTTGATGTTTGTAAAATTACTCGAAAGAAAGTATAAAAAAGCCTATGTCAGGCCAAAAATAAAATGTTTGATGTTGCCTACCCGAAAAATTTTATGACACAAATCGTTTCAATTCTTTTTTAAAAGATTTTTTCCTGTTCTAACGTCGTTTTCATGACTAAAACTTGTAACTTATCTTGTTAACCGAAAAAAAAAAACAACAGTCCCTACCTACCTACTCAACCCTATGAGGCATGGGTAGGTAATATCAAACAAATAATTTTTTACCGGTGGCCTCAAAGAGTTTTTTTCGTAAAAAAAAGGTTATGTTGCCATTAAAGAATCAAAGTGCTGGATAGCACCTTTGGAAAGTTTGCAACGGTAGATGTGTAATATTTCAAATAGGTTGAAAATGTGTAGATTGGGTGTTTAACTTTTTTTCTGACTTTAAAAAAAAATTACTTAATACAAGAAATAATTGTAACATGATGCTGTTACGAAGTCTCCCAAACCATGGAAGTATTATATTGACAGGAACTACTACGACCCAACTTCAAACGTTTCATCTGCGATGCAGCGCACAATTTAATGACATGTTAATTAGCTTGAAACATGGCACGTTATTTACACACCAGTGTGTGGTGCCCTACAATATCATCATTCTCGGTTGCTTTCGCGATTACAGAAACAAACGAAGAAACGGAAGTTGTGATAAATTCTTAGGAAACAGCAATCGGCAAACCTCGGCAGATTCCGTTACCCTACATCTGCATATGTGTGCCGTTTGATAGATTGATGGATTTGTGCGAGACATCATTAATTCTATAGAAAAACACATTGACGATGGAAATTTGTACCATATTAATTGAATAAATGCCCCATGTTTACTGTTTTATTTTTCGGAAGAAATTGCACTATATGTAATATATATCCCAAGTTGTGATGATATAATTACTGTTTACTCCAGTGGCACACATTTCATGCATATTTAAGACGATTGTAAAATGATCGTTCTGATAAAAATTAAAGATCAAAGTGATTTGAAATAAATGTAGAAATTATCAAGCTTCGCTCTAAATCCAGATAATTGGTTGGTATACAAATGTTTCAGCTGAGCCCTGATGTGTTGAAATTTTGTAAGTACTGCAACTGTTCAATAATATTTACTAGCATCATTTGGACAGATAGTGATAAAATTTTATGGGACAGAGATGCTTTAGCTATTCCATAACATTTTATAAGTCTCGTTTTTTTCTCAAATTGATAAATACAGGTCAAATCATTAGTCATGATTGGTACATTCTGAAATGACAAATAGAAATACTGACACCGGCTGCATATTATCAGATAAAATTCGTTCAAATACGAATATTTTAGCAGTTTTGAATTTCACAAATGTCAAAAAATTTAAACCCACTTATATATATATGATTTTTTTTATAAATAACGAGAAGCGTTATTTTTTAACCATATTTGTTATGTATAATTTTTGTGATATTAAGTCCTTGATCGATTAATTTTCGCATTTAAAACTGAAAATTTCTACTTTCCAGGGTAATCCAGGTCCGTTGCTATATACATTAATCGGGTCGTCACAGTGTATATATTTATTAAGAAAATTTTCGTGACCCGGCAGTAACCGGAACACACCCTTTTGACAGTTTTAACTTAACCCCTGAAGAAATAAAATAATGTCACTCACTATTTTGAATCGTTGTAGAATAATTAATTCTATGCCGATTTTCATTTTTTATGCATCAGTCGATTTGTTTAAATAAGTTGTTCATGAATAAATGTCAACCTACGCGATTGAAATAAGTAAAGGTGTTTTCTGACAGGTATTGATGTTAATCTGTCTGGATAAAAACTATGTGATTGATAAGAAGTATCTCTGGTCAATTTATGACCGTGGCATCGCAGATAGTCACAACAGAAATTAACGACAGCGTACTAATAAGACAGTTTCCATATCTTTTCTACAGTGCTACCCGGGTTATAAATAAGTGCTAATTAATTGTTGTAGTTCCTGTCAATATAATACTTCCATGCCCAAACAAAGCTCCCATAATTAGTCATTCCCAGGAAGGGGGTGGGAGTGACCCCAGTGGATTCACCTTTTATTTCCTTTGATTTGTTTTATTGTCCCATACAAGAATATATATGGTTTTGGGGTGGGGATCTTGACCGTTTAAAAGTTCTCAAAACAGGATGGGGTGGGGGTGACCCCTGTGGACTTCCTCTATATTTCATTTGATTTGTTTTATTGTCCCATACAAGAATATATATGGTTTATGGGTGGTGATCTCGACCGTTTACAAGTTCTTAAACAGGAAGAGGGTGAGAGTGACCCTAGGGGACTCGCCTTTTATTTCATTTGATTTGTTTTATTGTCCCGTACAAGAATATATATGGTTTCAGGGTGGGGATTTCGACCGTTTACAAGTTTTCAAAAAGAAAGGGGGTTGGGGTGACCCCTGTGGACTTCCTCTATATTTCATTTGATTTGTTTTATTGTCCCATACAAGAATATATATGGTTTATGGGTGGTGATCTTGACCGTTTACAAGTTCTTAAACAGGAAGGGGGTGGGAGTGACCCCAGGGGACTTGCCTTTTATTTCATTTGATTTGTTTTATTGTCCTGTACAAGAATATATATGGTTTCGGGGTGAGGATCTTGACCTTTTACAAGTTCTCAAAACAGGATGGGGTGGGGGTGACACCCAGGGACTCCCCCTATATTTCATTTGACTTGTTTTATTGTCCCATACAAGAATATATATGGTTTAGGGGTGGGGATCTCAACCATTTACAAGTTCTCATACAGGAGGGGGTGGGGCTGATCCAGAGGGACTCCCACTATAGTTCATTTGATTTGTTTTATGATCCTGTGATCATTACTGAAAACCGTGTGTGTCTATCACTTACTGTTTTCAAGTTATAGTCATTTGAAAATTAAAAAAAAATAAATCCCATAATTCTGTTGGCCCCTCAAAATACCCCTAAACAGACCTCAAGAAGAAAAATAATAAGAACTGAGCAAAACAATAAGTCTCCAAACTTTGTTTGAGAGACTTAATAGCAAGTAGTATAATTACTAATTTTGTTATAGTCCGATTTTCTGATGCCGATTATGTAATAGGTTGAGTTTATTATTGTCCAAGTTTGTTGTGGGCCGAGATGAGACACCGGGATACTTTCGATACACTCAGGCTTTTACGTCTTTAATAAACATTGTAAAAATCGTAGTAAGCGTCGAAAAATTTTCATTCATGAAATATTATAAAAACGGTATTTATTTTCTCTTCAACCGGAGGACGGGAGGAAACCCCTGAAACTGGGATTATAGTACTCCCATTGATATGGATCTCACGCATGTCTGGGGAATACCGATAAAAGCATAATGTAGAAACTGCTGTCTTGTGTAGATGTGTATTGATTTTACCTTCCGCGCAGCACAGATCCGCGAAGTAGTGTTTGTGATAGCCATTTTCAAAATGAAGTTGAATTATTTGAATTATCGATGAACATTCAGTACATTTTAATTCAAACTGTAAGCTAATCAAAATAGAAGTAACTCAAAATTTCAAAAGCATCTTCCTAGAATTAGTTGTCAAACACCAGTACTACATTATCTAGGAGTAGAACACACATCCTAAAGTAAGATAGTCTGTCACTTCCAGTTTGAGGCCGATGCCTTAGGAAAGTTTTTGCTATAGCAAGCTATAGCAAACTTTCCAAAAACTTTCCAATATCTTGTCCATCAACAGCACTTTATACATCAAATCAAATCTCATCAATGAACCAAGAACTAGTATTTTTTAAAATAAATCTTACTCTGTTGCATAATGAACTCTGTTAGAGGTAGTTCTTTAGGAGGAGCAGGATGGCGCTTCCTCTTCTTACTTGTAGGATCTTCTAAACATGCTGGTATTCTCAAAAAAGATGTACCTGAAAAAATATAATCTTTTTCTTAGAATTTTTAAAAATGTTTGCTAGTAACTTCACCAGAAAACAGCTTTATTATACCTTTTCTCATTATTAGTTGTTTATTTTTGCACTCTAAATGTTGGTCAACAATGGAAAGTAATGCTAATAATTGCCAAAATTATAAGAATCTTTGCTGCTCTTTTAAATGATAAACCGACATTGATTCATCACCTCTCTATGAAGAACTGCAATTAAATGTTCTCTGGAATTTCCTTGTACATTAAATAAAGTCTCATTAACATTCTTCCAAAGTTGATTCCTGTCTATAAATTCTTATACTCAACGAAATGTATATATTTGGTATTTGCAAAGTGTGATATTTTTAAATTTAAAAAAATCGTCAACAAAACAATTTTCCCAAAACCAAGAAACAAGCATCAATATATTACAAATTCAAATTTATATTCTTTATTTCCTAATCACAGGGCCCTTTCAGGCATTACAAAATTTAACACAATCATTCATACTTTCATACCAATCTTTCTCACTCCACTCGATCTGATTATGGTAACTAGATACAGTACATTAGAACATACATAAAAGTCATCATATAAAGTATAAATCATAAAAGTCCAATTTGTGAATAAATAGAGATAACTCTGATTGTTACAGATATTTCCCAAAATGATGATTACCTTTTTTGAAAGGTCTTTCTACTATTTTACCAGCATCATGAGGTTCTATTGGCTCCCATAAGTTAACATTCTGTAAACATAACATACACAGCTTCCTTACACAATAATATAATAACTATAAGACAATCATATGAATTTTAATTTGTGATTGCTAAGGTTTTGATATACTTATCATTATTGTCATAGATAATCATTAACACAAACATGCTGAAACAATCAATACATTGTAATTGTACCTTGATCTTTTTTTTAATTTTAACATGTAAAACTGTAAGCTACTGCTCACTAATCAAATCCCTGCTTTAAGAAATTAGTAGAAAGTAAGTTGAAGAGTGATGAATCTGAAAATGCATCACACATTAAAGCATGTTCACACAAGGCCCAATAACAAATTTTAAGATGCTCGTAATTGTAGTTCCCTAGAAAATTTCAAGAAAATTTCTTACATGGCTATTATGTGTTAGCTGGTAATCCATGCAAGTACGGGCATAATGGTGTAGATTTATATTTTTACAGTTATAGCATATTTATTCTTGAGATAACCTCTCTTATGTGTACTACTTCATAACAGATGTCACGGGTATATTTTTGTACTTTTTTGGTCACATCTTTAACTTTGACATTCATAAACAAATCATACTTCCTTAATTTTAAAGAGTCTTTGGATAGTAAAGCTATGTTTTGTCATGCAAGTTGTATATATTCTATTGCGAAATACTGAATGGACAAAATAACTTGCATGTATTTTTGAAGAACCTTTATTTTACTTTGACTTACCTGTTTAGGAGGTATAATCTTGACTTGTTTATTTCTACTCGATCTTTTCAACTCAACAATATCCTCTGTAGTAGCATCCCCAGTTTCCTGTAGAAATGGTTTATGAAAAAAATTGAAATGTTACATTATACAATACAGCTATAATAAACTGTTGACACAGAGATATGTTCGCCTGTCTGCATAAAATCAGAAAAAGACAATCTGATGGACAGCAACATTGCTAATTTATTCAAAGTCGCTGGACTATGCTTACATCCACTTCATTTGAACTTTGGTGGATAGTTGTCTCATTGGCAATCATACCACATCTCCTTATTCTTATATGAACCAGTGGGCAGGGCCTTGAAATGGTCAACAAACTGAGATTTTCAGACAGTACTATAACTTTATAAAAAATATTGTTGTCTATTGTAAGTAGTTCCTATCAAACTAACTTAAGCAGAGAACTTAACAATGAAAATTGGTAATTAATTGAAAGTCACTGGACTATAACTTAGGGGCAGGCCTCAAAATAGTCGTCAAACTGATATGTACTGATAGTAACGCAACTTTATACAAAATATCATTGATCTATCACAAGTAGTTTCTATTAAACTAACTTAAGCAGAAAACAATTGTTGACCCCGAAGTCGCAGGAAAACAACACCTGTCTTGCCTACCACTACTTTCGTTGCAGGCGAGACAAAAACCTCTGCCCCATCAATAAATCTATTGGACACTCATGTGTTTCTTATATTCAACAGATATGTGTAATTTCAGACATATCAGGAATGGACAAACATATCAACACCATGAACTGTATATCCTTTTTGCTGTTATAATCTGGGGTAGAATAGACTTATTTACACTTATGGGTATTTAGCTGAATTGACTCTGAATTACCCAGGATCAGTCTCTGAATAACTTTCTGGCATCTCCAAATAACATTTAAGGTGCCAATCTTTCATTCATTTTTTAATTATGACGTCAAATGATTTAAATTGTCGCAAAATTTTGCGGGAACTTATTTGACTTTAATGGTTCTTGGTGGACAAATTTGCATATAAGTGTAACTATGTCTACTGTATAATGTATCACTTACCATGGCATTTTGGTGAACTTCTTCAACAGGTGGACCACCATCTACTTCATCTGTTGGTGGCATGTCTATATTGTTATCATCTGACTGTGGCATGTCCATAACATCTTCAAGCAGAGGTGGTTCAAATGCATTATCATTATCCTCATGATCAACTACAAATACAAATAATTGGGTTTATAACAGATGTTACTAACTAATGTAGGGTTAAATCACTGGTAATGGTTAGTCTGATATCTCCTGTTCATTTTTTTTTTATATTGATTACTATGGTCAATTTTCATTAATCATTATTGAATAGGTGATAACAAAAAGACAGATTGCTGTATTTGACCACTTTGACAAGAAAGTCAAATATTAAAAATTCTTTGATTTGGTGTAGGATTGAAATCATAACTAAGTATGAACGTATTACTTGTACTTCTTTGGATTTTACCATAAATTATAACAAGTATAAACTTTCATGCATCAATGTAAATTTCAAAATAGGAATATTTTAAAATATTTGTTATTGTGACCCTTTAATACCAGTTTAAACTTAAACCAGCATTGCTCTGACTATCAGATATCATAACAGCATACAATTTAAATCACTGTCAAATACTGTGGATGAAATCATTCCAATGAATTGGTACTTAAGAAATTAATGCTCATTCTATTCCAATGCCAGCAATTGAAAAAAATCTGATGCATTAACTTTATCCGTAACAAATTCTTTGTAATTCTAAAAAAGAATATCACTTTATGTTCCATCAAAATACTTTTACGTTAAAATGAATTCCTACAACCAGTACTGTCTAAAAGATATGAAGTTGACAAATGGTTTGACTACAACACATATTTGATTCTTCATGTTTTTGCTTGTGGTACGTTAACAGACACAGGGATATCAGAATGCACTTTTGATGGCAGTTAATACCTGACATGTTCGCTTGGTCTACATTGTTTGGTATAGCATTTGGTTCCGAGTCTGTAAGATGTGGATCAATGTGCATCGATTCTGAAAATAAAACGGACCTCGGTAATACACATATTGTAATATTTCAAAATGTATACAATTGCATAATTCATTAATTATGAATAAAAGAAGTTGTGCAGCATATGTCAATAAGACTGAAACTCAAGGACAAAAAATAACCATGTTGCATCTAGAGGTCATATAGATGAATCATTAATCATATTAACTATAAATCTAGAAGTCATTTAAATGTGTAAAAAAAGAATTCAATCTATTTTGATGCTTACAGAAAATGACTTAAATTTAGACTGTTTTACTTTCTTTGTTATAGTTGAAGAAACGTCACCTATGTTTTTTTTATAGATGAGAAACAGTAGGTACAAATCAATAAATACAATGATTGTGGCTTAAATTTTGGTTAAATAAGAATTTTTTTTGGATACAAATCAAATTTCACTTGCATCAACTTGGAGACGAAGTTCTAGAAACTAATTCTAAGTTTAATTGACCATTGATTTTTCCTTACCATGTGTAGTAAAAGACATCTGTAATGATTTTTCCAGGAGTGCTAAGTGGGTCATATCCAGGAGTAAAGTTCCCGTCGTGTGAACAGAACATGTGTTCATCTTGAAGTCATTTCTACTGGCTAACACTTCTCCTGATTTACTGAAATGGTACGAAAAAGATTTATAAGAACCAAATCATGGTGATGCATTATGTGCAGGCCATTGTTTTAGATTCTTTAGATTATTCAGGTAGTGGCTTTGTGATCTAGTTTAAGAGGTAAATATCCATTTTAATGGTTAAAATGATAATTTAAGAATTGTTAAAAATCATCCAGGAAACAAATGGCTGAGGTCATGCTTGCTGAATTGTTGAAGCCTCTTATAGCTAACTTCATGTTTTTATATGTAATTCATCTTGTATGTGAGCTTGCTATGCCTGAGGACCAGTTGGTGGTTTTTTGCAGCCTCTTTTATAGTTAAGTTGAATTTTCTGTTTTTTGTTGTTGTTGTTGTTGTAAGTCATGTTGTTAGTGAGCTTGCTGTTATTTTTAATGCCTGAATTAATTTTTAATGTTGAGTGTATTATTGTTCAACCATATTAAAAAAAAATGTTTTGAATATGAACATGGGTCTGCATAAAACTGACAAGGTGAACTGGATGCATAAACTCTAGTGCCAAACGTAAAATCCCCCAAAAAATCATATACCCAACACAAATTTTTTTTTTGAGAGAGAAAATTTTTTTAAATTTTATATTGAATTCCATGTATATGCATGCATTTAACTATACTAAATTGTCCATTATGAATTAAAAGATGATATACTTGTGATTTGACTATGATTAAAAAAGGACTAATTAAAGTTAAACAAAGTCATCTTTTTTTTAATTACTTTACTTAGTATGTTGACAATAAGTAGCTGTTTACTTTACAATGTTGTATTACACTTTACATGCTTTACCTAAGAAGTGGTTTATCTCCCTTATCACAGTCATCAAATGGAATTAAGGATAGAGGCATCTGTGGTATAGGTGGTATGGACTAAAAAAAAGAGCACAAATCTAATATGTCATAGGAACATGAAAATGCAAGTAAGTCTCTTCATAAATGATAGACACATGAAAAACTAGATATCATTGAGATGGGAGCCATCTCTGTGGGCCCCGCTGTGAATAATATGTGGTAAAAAATTGTATCTTTATCATTGGACATGGGGTTGTCAACTGAAACCAAAGTTTTTGACCTTGACCTTTGACCTAGGAAGTTGTACATAAATTATGACACACCCTCTGGTGTTGGTTTATATACATGTCAAGTATAAATTTTGAAATCATAACGGTTCTCAAGATATAGAGCAGACACGATCTTTACCATAGGACATGGGGTTGTCAACTAAAACCAAAGTTTTTGACCTTGACCTTTGACCTAGGAAGTTGTACATACATTATGACACACCCTCTGGTGATGGTTAATATACATGTCAAGTATAAACTTTGAAATCATAACAGTTCTCTAGATATAGAGCGGACACAATTTGTTACTGACGGACAGACTGATCACTATAGGGCGTCTGCCATTCGGCGGGGCCCTAATTACTGAAATATCAACTTTTATTTCAACAAAATCCAGAGATATATATTATTTGAGTTGTGCAGAATGCCTATAAATGCTATTATTTGTAAATATCACCACATTTTTTAACAAAGAGAATACTGACTTGTTCGTAATACTTGTTCTTAATATCTTTTACATGTTTCAAATGTCTGGCTACAAACATTCCTCACTAAATAGGAAAGTAGAATTATTGAATAACAGTAATTTCCCAAATATCAAAGTACTGCCAAAAGCTTTGCAATTTCTGCTTTATTCAGGTATATGGAAAAAAGTATGACTCAGACTACCATATCCCTGATATATTTCTTCATTTTCTTATTTTAGTCAATTCAATGTAAAAAAATGCATTTATTTTTAGTCAAACAAACTAAACATTCCTATACATATATATATATATATATCTAGTATGATTTTACCTTATCTTCACTTTCTTCTTTCAAAACAATATTCTTGTGTTCTTGTATGTCATCCAGTGTGAGAAACTGAAAGTACACAAAATATCAAACATTACAAACCAGTAAAAGGCAATACAAATTCAATCATAGTATTCTCATGTCAATTTTGAAAACTTAATATTTTCTTACTGGTACTTTTCTATTAATATCGCCCTATGGGAGAGACACGGGAGATTGGAACTAGCTGAAGCGGAGAGAGGTTGTAAAATGCAAGCTGTCGTACACTATTGAATCTTTGTAATTTACATAACTTTTAAAGATTATTCATGAAAATTATGGTCTTGTGTATTTATAGTGAAGCATATTTGAATAATAGCAAGAAATATCCAATTTTTAGAAGCATTAAGCCGGCAACTTTTCTTGATCTGAACTAATAAGTGCCTCATTTTTGAGATACTAGATAGTAGTTTTCTATCTCCAGATATTATTTATGCTGATGTCTTAATATTTCTAAATGATTTGAAAACAGATCAATTTCCAACATATCGTTATACAAATCTTTAGACACATGCAATAATTACAAATACATAAAAAATTGGAATTCTGACCTGTGATTACCAAATTTTACAACCTCTCTCTACTTCAGCTAGTACCAATATCCGGTGTAGCTCCCATACGGTGAATATTCAAGTATTTATTCCTCACCCCTTCCAACCCACCCCAAAAAAATATCCCCAGATACAATTTAGTACAGATAAATACCTCTTCATCTTCACCTTCATTGTCCCCCTGATCATCGTCATTGTTGTTACCATCTTCATTTCCTTGTTTCTGTTTTCTACCAAAATAAGTTGTATGCACATTACAACATAAATAGCAGGTAGAAGACCACAGCAAACTATCATTGACTGTGTAAAAAGGGGGAATGCCATTCATTCAAGCTTGCTTATAATACGTGAAAATACTTTTTGAGAGCATTTGATGTCCTTGCTAGTTTAAGATAAGGCAAACTTAAGACAGATTGCAATTTCCCAAGTTAACGGGAATAACTCTAGAACAGTGACTTACTGCCCAAATTCAACCTCTGTCTGCCTGTTTTGGTTCTCAGCATTGTGAGTTTCATAAAATTTGCATGAGGCCAACTGAAGTTGGAGTGCGGATACGAAAAAATTTGCAATTTTCCAAGTTATAAAAGGGAATAACTCTGAAAGATAAGTGACTCACTGTCCAAATTTGAACTCTGTCAACGAGTTTTGGTTCTTAGCATTGAGTATGAGTTTCATATAATTTGCATGAGGCAAACTTAAGGTAGAGTGTGGAAACGAAAAAATTAGCAATTTTCCAAGTTATAAAAGGGGCATAAATCTAGAACGGTAAGTGACTCACTGCCTAAATTCAAACTCTGTCTGAGAGTTTTGGGTCTTAGCAATGTGTATGAGTTTTATAAAATTTGGATGAAGTTAAGAGTGCTGAAACAACAAGAGGTTCTCAAGAGCCTGAATCGCTCACCTGTAATTTTTTGCTTAAATCTTTCTTCGATGATTATTTTTGCTTTTCAATATATATTAATGAGTGGCTTAAAAATGCCATTTAAATGTTCTTTGTATTTGTCATATTTTCTTCAAAAGCAAAAAATGCATTTTACCCCTATGTTCCATTTTAGCCATAGTGGCTATGTTTCTTGACGTACAAAGAAATAAAATACAAAATTTATACAAGATATTCTGAAACTCATTCAGCCCAAGTTTGGCTGAAATTGATTCAGCAGTTTCAAAGGAGAAGATTTTTTAAAGTAAGCAAACTAGATTAGATGAACAAATTGGGAAAAATTGTCTTTAAAGGACAATAACTCCTTACGGGGTCAATTGACAATTTTGATCATATTTATTTGTAGATCTTACTTTGCTGAATATTTTTGCTGTTTACAGTTTATCTTTATCTATAATAATATTCAAGATAATAACCGAAAACTGCAAAATTTCCTTAAAATCATCAATTCAGGGGCAATAACCTAAAAATTAGATACCTGATTTGGCTGATAATTTCAGGGCAGGTGGACCTTGACCTAATGAATACTTCAACTTCTTGTCTGATTTGCTCTACATGCTTTAGTTTTTGAGATATGTCAAAAACTGCATTTTACCCTATGTTCTATTTTTAGCCATGGCGGCCATGTTTTCTGAGGAAACAGAAAATAAAACACAAACTTTATTCTAGATAACCTAATTATCATTCAGTTTATGTTTGGTTTAATTTGGTTCAGTAGTTTCAGAGGGGAAGATTTTTTAAAGTTAGAAAACATGATAAACAAATTGTGTAAAATTGTCCTTAAAGGGCAATAACTCCTTAAGTGGTCAATTGACAATTTTGGTCATATAAACTTATTTGTAGATCTTACTTTGCTGAACATTTTTGCTGTTTACAGTTTATCTTTATCTATAATAATATTCAAGATAATATCCGAAAACTGCAAAATTTCCTTATAAATACCAATTTAGTGGCAGCAACCCAACAATGGGTTGTTAGATTCATCTGAAAATTTCAGGACTGATAGAACTTGACCTAATGAACATTTTTACCCCTGTCAGATTTGCTCTAAATGCTTTGCTTTTTGAGATATAAACCAAAAACTGCATTTTACCCCTATGTTCTATTTTTAGCCATGGCAGCCATGTTTTTTGACGAAATAGAAAATAAAACACAAACTTTATTCTAGATACCCTAAGGATCATTCAGCTTAAGTTTGGTTGGAATTGGTTCAGTAGTATCAGAGACGGACAACGATGACGGACGCCAAGTGATGGCAAAAGCTCAGAGTTCCGAAGGAACGGTGAGCTAAAAATGGGACGGACGTGAGGGGGAGGGAAGGTCAAGGGTAACAATTAATATAACCTTTGCCTAGCAACAGGGGCATAAAAAACCCTATTAACCTGTGTAATGAATAAAAGATAAATTTTCACACATTTTAACTGATAGCAAAACTAAAGCACACATGAAAATTCCAACGTAAACAGTAGTTGTTATCAAACTTATCTATACATAAAATGCTTACTTTTTATTTGCAAGGAGGTCTAAAGTCTGATATACTAAGGTATATAAATATTCAACCTGAAAAATATCAATTTAAACATATTGTACATGAATATCCATGGTAAATATATGCAACCTAGGGCCTATTATGCTCTGTGCTTATCAGTACAGTAAAATATCAAAGTACAGGAAAATATGAAAGCTGTATTGTCGATCTTATAATTGAGTATACATGTACAACTAAACACTATCAAGCTTGTAATCAAATATTTATAACCATTCCATTTCATACAAGCAAAGAAAACTTAATGAAGAATTCCATGTTTAAGTATTGGTACAGTACAAAGTACATGTTACATGTTATCAGAAAAAAAGTAAGTGGACCTGTAAATCATTCACAATTTACAATCATGTTAAATGAACTTTGGGGAAAAAAATACTCTAAAGACAATTTTCTAAAACAAAGTAATTTTTTTATTGAAAGCAATTAAGCACCACAGAACACAATTTTTAAAATTAATTCATTATATATATTGAACACTGTGTACCTTTTTACTGTAAACACAAGCTGAACCTTGAATTACCATAGCTGCTTCAGCAAAGTTCATTGTTGTCAACCCTCCATCAAAGGTTATTGTCACCTTCTCTAGCTAAAAAGGAAACACAATTCAACTTAAATTAGAAAATACATAACTTACTCTGTTAAAAAGTTGTCTATTATAGAATACATAGTCCAGTATTAGTTTTTCAGTCTCAAGCCTGAGATACAGAATGCATGAAGGAATTGTGTGAAAATTAACTCTTGGTGGGGACTTTTCACAGTAACATGTGTTGCATCAATATCACAGTGACCTAGTTTATAACTGTTACATTGAAGATCTGTAAGGAGCACCCTTTCTTCATGATTATTTTTTGCATATCAAGATTAATGAAGACTGAACAGACCTTATTGCTTGTTATACACTGTCCAGCCTTTTGATCTTGACCTCTGAACTTTGCCACCACAAAAACCTGGTTGTACCTGTATGAAGTCAGGAATACAACAACAGTTGATAATTTTTCTGGTGAATTTTGTGAATTATTTCAAACTTTCAAAATCATGTGCCATTTTTATTTCACTGATCAAGTTAGAGGTCATCCTGTTGGAAGCTGCACTGTGAAGGTTTTTTGTGTGTTTTGGATTCACTGGGTAGTATGAATAGTAAAAGGGGGAGGTTTGTGTGCAAGTAAAAGTGGTTTAATCCCCACTCCTCACCATTCAGACTTTCTAGAAAATGTGTTGCTTCTCTTTGTCTATTCATTTTGAGAAGTCAGGTATTAGTGGTTGGTGTAGTTTGTTGTGCTGTACAGTATATTTTGGTGTAGTTTGTTGTGCTGGTCAGTATATTTTTGGTGTAGTTTGTTGTGCTGTACAGTATATTTTGGTGTAGTTTGTTGTGCTGGTCAGTATATTTTTGGTGTAGTTTGTTGTGCTGGTCAGTATATTTTTGGTGTAGTTTGTTGTGCTGTACACTATATTTTGGTGTAGTTTGTTGTGCTGGTCAGTATATTTTTGGTGTAGTTTGTTGTGCTGTACACTATATTTTGGTGTAGTTTGTTGTGCTGGTCAGTATATTTTGGTGTAGTTTGTTGTGCTGGTCAGTATATTTTTGGTGTAGTTTGTTGTGCTGGTCAGTATATTTTTGGTGTAGTTTGTTGTGCTGTACAGTATATTTTTGGTGTAGTTTGTTGTGCTGTACAGTATATTTTGGTGTAGTTTGTTGTGCTGGTCAGTATATTTTTGGTGTAGTTTGTTGTGCTGTACACTATATTTTGGTGTAGTTTGTTGTGCTGTACAGTATATTTTGGTGTAGTTTGTTGTGCTGTACACTATATTTTGGTGTAGTTTGTTGTGCTGGTCAGTATATTTTTGGTGTAGTTTGTTGTGCTGTACACTATATTTTGGTGTAGTTTGTTGTGCTGGTCAGTATTTTTTGGTGTAGTTTGTTGTGCTGTACAGTATATTTTTGGTGTAGTTTGTTGTGCTGTACAGTATATTTTGGTGTAGTTTGTTGTGCTGTACAGTATATTTTGGTGTAGTTTGTTGTGCTGTACACTATATTTTGGTGTAGTTTGTTGTGCTGGTCAGTATATTTTTGGTGTAGTTTGTTGTGCTGTACACTATATTTTTGGTGTAGTTTGTTGTGCTGTACAGTATATTTTTGGTGTAGTTTGTTGTGCTGTACAGTATATTTTTGGTGTAGTTTGTTGTGCTGTACACTATATTTTGGTGTAGTTTGTTGTGCTGGTCAGTATATTTTGGTGTAGTTTGTTGTGCTGTACACTATATTTTTGGTGTAGTTTGTTGTGCTGTACACTATATTTTTGGTGTAGTTTGTTGTGCTGTACACTATATTTTGGTGTAGTTTGTTGTGCTGTACAGTATATTTTTGGTGTAGTTTGTTGTGCTGTACACTATATTTTTGGTGTAGTTTGTTGTGCTGTACACTATATTTTGGTGTAGTTTGTTGTGCTGTACAGTATATTTTTGGTGTAGTTTGTTGTGCTGTACACTATATTTTTGGTGTAGTTTGTTGTGCTGGTCAGTATATTTTTGGTGTAGTTTGTTGTGCTGTACACTATATTTTGGTGTAGTTTGTTGTGCTGGTCAGTATATTTTGGTGTAGTTTGTTGTGCTGTACAGTATATTTTGGTGTAGTTTGTTGTGCTGTACACTATATTTTGGTGTAGTTTGTTGTGCTGTACAGTATATTTTGGTGTAGTTTGTTGTGCTGGTCAGTATATTTTGGTGTAGTTTGTTGTGCTGTACACTATATTTTTGGTGCTGTACACTATATTTTTGGTGTAGTTTGTTGTGCTGTACACTATATTTTGGTGTAGTTTGTTGTGCTGTACACTATATTTTTGGTGTAGTTTGTTGTGCTGTACACTATATTTTTGGTGCTGTACACTATATTTTTGGTGTAGTTTGTTGTGCTGTACAGTATATTTTGGTGTAGTTTGTTGTGCTGTACAGTATATTTTGGTGTAGTTTGTTGTGCTGGTCAGTATATTTTGGTGTAGTTTGTTGTGCTGTACAGTATATTTTTGGTGTAGTTTGTTGTGCTGGTCAGTATATTTTTGGTGTAGTTTGTTGTGCTGTACAGTATATTTTGGTGTAGTTTGTTGTGCTGTACAGTATATTTTGGTGTAGTTTGTTGTGCTGGTCAGTATATTTTGGTGTAGTTTGTTGTGCTGTACACTATATTTTTGGTGTAGTTTGTTGTGCTGTACACTATATTTTTGGTGTAGTTTGTTGTGCTGTACAGTATATTTTTGGTGTAGTTTGTTGTGCTGTACAGTATATTTTGGGTATAGTTTGTTGTGCTGTACACTATATTTTTGGTGTAGTTTGTTGTGCTGTACAGTATATTTTTGGTGTAGTTTGTTGTGCTGTACAGTATATTTTGGTGAAGTTTGTTGTGCTGTACACTATATTTTGGTGTAGTTTGTTGTGCTGTACAGTATATTTTTGGTGTAGTTTGTTGTGCTGTACAGTATATTTTGGTGTAGTTTGTTGTGCTGGTCAGTATATTTTTGGTGTAGTTTGTTGTGCTGGTCAGTATATTTTTGGTGTAGTTTGTTGTGCTGGTCAGTATATTTTTGGTGTAGTTTGTTTTGCTGTACAGTATATTTTGGTGTAGTTTGTTGTGCTGGTCAGTATATTTTGGTGTAGTTTGTTGTGCTGTACAGTATATTTTGGTGTAGTTTGTTGTGCTGTACAGTATATTTTGGTGTAGTTTGTTGTGCTGTACAGTATATTTTGGTGTAGTTTGTTGTGCTGTACAGTATATTTTGGTGTAGTTTGTTGTGCTGTACAGTATATTTTTGGTGTAGTTTGTTGTGCTGTACAGTATATTTTGGCGATTACTGTTATCCATTTCTATGTTACTTTCATAAAAATCAACAACAAAAACCAGCATTCAATTATATCATTTATAGATCTTTCCAAACATCCCATTATCTTGCGAGACATCATCATATATCATTACTTATTTTTCGACGTTTCCATAAAATCTGTTATTAACATTTTGAATTTGAAAGTAAAACTGTAAATGCAAACTTCTACAGAATTTGTAAAGTGATAGGAAAGCAGTATCATCCAACGTGAATTATTTGTATGGCCATTTCAATTTAGATAGCTCATAAAATATTTATAAAATTTCCATTTCTATTATATATCAAAGGATAATAACTTATTAATGTTCCATATTTCTCTAAATAAATATTTACAAGATGTAATGTCAGCTACTTTTTTTAAATTAATGAAATTTGCTATTTTTTAAACATTTAATATTTGCAGCAAGTATATGTACGATATGTAAAATAGCGTTGATTCATTAGGTGTAGCCTATAATTCTATTCATGGGTTATACGTTACTTTTACATAAATTGGAAACATATGACAGAATGAGATGATTAACTTTGCAGCCAATAAAAAAACAGTTGTGGGAATTGAGCACTTACTGTAAATAAACATATTTACAAACCACCTTTAGAGTGTATTAAGTTTGTTAGCTCCATTCCAAGTATTCTTGAAAATATGAGATATCAAATATGATTAAATTTCAACAAGATGTTTAGTCTTGACAAAATTTTGAAAGGATACCTGATACATCATGAAATTATTTTTATATATCAATTATGGCATGTAATCCTCATGGTACAATGTAGTTATACATGTACATACAAAGTTTTATCTTTGAAACCAATATAAATCAGCCTTTTTCATCAAGTCATAGCCAAAAATGCAGAAATATATCAATATCTGTCAAGGAATACAGCTCCATAGACAATCTTTTTTTCAAAACCCAGTGTACTATAGAAAGTGTCTAATGTTGTGCTTTTGTGTTTTGGGGTTTTACCATTTCAAGAAGATTTACTCATGTCATTTGCCCTCAAAAACATCTTTTAAAACTGAAATACTTACATCATATGTTTTATTATTTTTACCTCAGACAAATAATCTTCCAGTTGCTCAGCTATATTTACATCCCAGTTTTTGGTCAGATCTCTAATGGGTTGTATTAATTGAGAAAACCGTGTCTCCAAATCACCCTGAGTCTGTGAAGCCGAAATCGTCATCCTTTCTGGAATGATAATGGAATACATTAAATAAAATCGAATTTAAAGCAGTAAGAATATCTAACATATTATATTTTCATAACAGAAACTCAAAAAGTGTTTTTATTTAGTTTGAATAGCAATTACATAGTATGAACCTTCATATGTTCAGAGAAGGCCTCAAGCTAAAATGTTGTAATTATATGATAGCCTGCTATCTTACTTTCCTAAGAACTTCAGTTGGCTTTTAAGTCATACAACTACCACATTCAGGAATGGGTGCTTTTTAGGCTGGTATGAACACAAAAGTGTTTTAAACTTATTATTACATATTAACCCTTGTATAAATTTCTAAAATATTTTTCGAAATGTGACATTCGAAAATCACCAATATTCATACATTTATTCAAAGAAGAATCTTGTGATTTTATCTCAAATTTCTCATGTACACATGCACCAATTTTTTAAACAGAATGAAAGAGCACCTTTAATTGTCTGGCAACACTCTTTGAATGTCATTTTTCAATGACTGACAAAATTTTGTCCTTTTTTCAGAGTGTTAAAACCTCTCTACGTTAAGGTCCACTGTATTAACGTGGCCATAGAAATCATATCTACATTTTGATATTTCACAGTCACATGATGAAGGAGAATTATTTTCTATACTGGTGTATGATGAAACTGATTTATAATTAAAAATTTGTAAGGGTTCCGCGGAACCCAGTGTCTCGCCTACTTTTGCTGTTAATCGCAGGCTCAACAAAAATGAGGAAAAAAATCAATAAAAATATTCCTTTAGATACTATCCTTTGATTGTAAGAAGCTTCTGTCAAAGTTTGGTATAAATCCAGAATAGTTTATGAATCTAATAAATGTTTTAAAAACTTTAACTGCAGACTGTATTTAATGTTAACTGGAAGAAAAACTAAGTCCATTTATAAGTAAAATACAGATAAACAAGTACAAATTTTTAACAAAATTTCCTTCTAGATACTAGCTTTTGATCATAAACAAGCTTCTGTCCAAGTTTGGTACAAATCCAGGATATTTTAAGAAAGTTATTAAAATTTTAAAAACTTTAACCACAGAGTGAATGTATTGTTTCCTGGCAGAAAAACTAAGTCCATTTATAAGTAAAATACAGAAAAAATGAATTTTTTTTTTTAACAAATTTACTTCTGGATACTATCTTATGATCATAAACAAGCTTCTGTCCAAGTTTGGTACAAATCCAGGATAGTTTAAGAAAGTTATTAAAATTTTAAAAACTTTAACCACAAATTCAATTTATAATTCTTGGGAGGCATATTTTCTCTGAACCCTATATATATCGGGGGAGAGTTAAGTGCTTATCCTTGACCATTTAATGTTGGGTTTTAACAGACGGGAGGGTTACCTAAAGCTTATCTCCTTTCTACACTGGAGAGGTTTAAGGCAGCTGACTCCCAATTCGTTAATTTTACACGATTTGTTTGGGGGACCTTCGGTTTGGCAGGTTTTTTGAAAGATAGGTTTTTGTACCTTCTGTTTGAGTAAGTTACATGTACTTGTGTTGTGACTGTCATTTGTTTTTTGTGTTGTGTGTATAGTTTATGTTGTGTAGACCTATAAGTTATTGAGATGCTGATCCAAGCATGTGAATGGTCAAATACGTGGAAATTGAAATATTACATATTAATCCTGACAATGATCAACAACGTTATACCATGTTGGATGATACAGAAAATTTTATTGCGTTATCTAAGGCGAATGAAGAAAAGGATCTTGGAGTGACTTTCGAGTCAAATCTAAAGTCTGAAAAACATATTAGTACTATTGTTAATAAAGCACAGAGTTTTATCTCTTATTCATCATTCCTTAAGCTTTGATTACATGGATCAGGATATGTTTCTTACTCTTTATAAGTCAATTGTTCGTCCACTGTTGGAATATGCTACATGTGTTTGGTCTCCGCACCTTAAAAAAGATATTCGTAAATTGGAATCTGTCCAAAGAAGGGCCACTAAACTCGTAAAGAATATAAATCATTTAAGTTATGAAGATAGATTACGCTCTTTGGGATTGCCAACCTTCGAATATCGTAGGGATAGAAATGATATGATACAAGTATATAAAGCATTGCATGGTATAGATGATATAAACTGGATGAGCCTATTTACTTTAGCACCATCTAATAATACTAGAGGTCACTCATTAAAACTCTTTAAGAAACAGTGTAAGACGAAACATAGACTAAATACTTTTTCAATTAGAGTAGTGGATCAGTGGAATAACCTGTCAGATTTAACAGTGACGGCAAAGACTTTGAATAATTTTAAGTCGGCGCTAAATGGCGAGAATTGGAACCCATATAAATTTATATGTTCATGTTAATTGTTAAGCTGCGCACACCTAAATAGGTTCTATTTTTATAAGTATAATATATATAAATATATCATTATGCGATTATTATGAGAGGAGAAATTGCATTTAATACGACAATCCAAGATGAGGGGTCAGTAAAAGCCTTTGGCTTATTTAAAGCAATAAAGGACCCAAAGATAAAGGTATAAAGCCTAAAAAATGTTTTTACATACTTTTCTTTTGTTTGAAATTTCCCAGAGAGTTAAAAGATCGCAGAGTAATTTAACATTTGTCATTTCGAGACCTTTTAAAGCTGACTATGAGGTAAGTTGAAGGCAGTACGGTGACCTTAGTTGATAGCTTTTATGTCATTTGGTCTCTGCCTCTGGACTGGTGGAGAGTGGTCTCATTGCCATTGCCATTGGCAATCATACTTAACTGTATTTTCTTATTTTTATATTTCCAACTGTGACTCATCTTCCATCATGGACTAGAAAAGGACGGGCATTGATGTGAAGAACTTGAGCATGTTGCTCGTAATAAACACCTACTGTTTTACTATTTGTCAACTTGTCTTATATATTTTGATTTTGGATATCCCGCTTCCGCTAATACATAAAATGGTAAATATTAAAGGGACAATTTGATTGGATATTACAGGGCACCTTGCAATATTTTATCCAATCAAATATTGTTTAACATCAAAAGCGAAAGTAGAATATTTTATTCTTTAATCCGCTGCTTACAAAATGAAAGTACAATTGTACAATTTTGTCAATTTATATATGTTTTTGCATTAAGATTTATAGGTCAAAAACTTAAGCAAGAAAAAAAATTAAAACCTTCCGTAGTATAAATTTTTATAATTATGATCAAATAAACGATTTATCAAGTAGTGGACTTCTGTTAAACAGAGAACTATTTTTCAGTGCAACTGTGTCCGAAAGTGTTGTTAGGTCCGATGCAGCGGCTGTTATTGTGATTTGGTTATTAATATTATACATTAAGATGTCATCTTGCAAAATCACGAAAAATGCCTTTTTATGGGGCATGGCAGCAATTTATTTACTTGCATTTTCATCACTATATGTGCAAATTCCTGGTAACTATCCGTTTATTACGCTTATTCAGATTTTAGCATTTATAACCTTAAAGGGGTTTTCAATAGCTATACGGTAAATAGCTCATTACTTATCTTCCTCGTCATTTTAAATGTTGTTTCTTTCAATCTAATTTGGAAAAGACCCTCTTGGTTTCTATGTTCAGATACTGTCGAACAAATCTACCACCTTATTTTTAAAAAATTATAGAAATGAAAGATTAATAAAGAAAACTCCATTTGAAACATATAAAATAATATAGTTAGAGAGCATGAGACATTTTATGAATGAAGATTTCCTGTAGGAAAATTTTAATCAGTTTCTACACTTAAATCTGAGGCATTTTATACTTACAGAATAATGACCTTCAGCAATGTTCAGCATCCTCATGTGCATGTATACCTACACTGTAATATCTTATAAATATTGTATGGTGACATGTACGATTGACTTCGTTTCTCCCTGCATCTGTCATGTAGCAATTGAATCCAAACATCCCCATGCTCTAATAATATCTGCAACTGATCTGACTTGTGGTCAATTGAAAGATCAAAGTCACTTTTTCAAATATTTTTGTTTATATGCCCCCTGCAATGACTTAGTTGAGTCTGAGTACCATTGACTTTTGTAACCCTGAATTGGAAAGGGATTATATTATGTACTACTGAACTTACAAAAAGTTTTAGGAAAAATGCAGTACATTTTTGCTTTTACCCTGAAATAATTGGGATAAATGTTATAAATTTGGATTTTTTTTTCAGAAATATTAAAACCATTTTAACCATATTTCTTTCATTCAAGGTTTATATGGAGACAATGGAATATTGCCAGCTAGATTAGCTGTCGGAAAAGGTAATTAAGTTATTTTTTAAGATGCTTGTATATTTTTAAAACTTTGAGGAACATACTGTTCCTTATCATTTTTTTCTAATTTCATATCTATCCCTAGCATAACTTTCACTAAGCTGTAACATGCTATTTATTATTAAACTATTGTAACAGTACAATAGGATCCTCCTTCATGATCACTGTACCACTGGGGATCAAAACAAAGGACTCTTGCACAGTAACCACCTCTTTCAATCTGAGGTATGGGAAAATTGTACTATACCATAAAAACCATACCTGGTCAAATTTGATTAAAAGTTATCACTGGCTGCTGCAAATGTATAGTGCTTCTTCTTTTTCAGACAATTTTGTTTCAAGTTTATCAGTTTTTTGTTGAAATTTTGTGAACAAAAATGAATAGGATACTATAAGATAATATTTATTTCAGACTCAAAGGGTCCATATGTATATCATGTATACATATATACATGACACAAAATATATTCTGTCTAAACAGGATAAAATGTTAAAATATTTACTGTATAAATTGGAAGTTGTATATATGTCATTGAGACAGCAAACCCCCAAAAAACCAAAATGACATCTTGAGGTCAACATGCAGTTTTCCACAATAGACAAGAGTCTTTATCATACATCCAGCTCTAAATCAATCAGAGTCAAGACATTGTGAATTATTAACACTACCATTACAACTTAATACCATGAAATAGTTTGAATGAAAAGAAAATGAGATAAATGCCACCAAGAATTACAATGATAACAAACAAACAAATTCTAGCAGTTTAAAGAAATATTAGTTCATTGCAGAGAGTCTAATTGTGTTCATTTAGTTACTTTATCAGATCTGACTATTATCATGATTAGTAACTAACAATCTTATATTTTCAGCTGCAAGGTCATTTGCTGATTTATTAGATGGACATCCAACTCTGTTGAGATTAATGCCAATGATAGGATTAGATACTGAGACTGGCCTAGATCTCCTTTGTATACTGGGTATATTGATCTCCTTTGCAGCACTTCTTTTCCAGGCAGCTAGAGATGTTTTTGCCTTCACTCTTTTGTGGATGTTATATTTGTCTATATACCAGGTAGGTGTAATGAAGATTATTCTGTTGTTGATGTAATATCCTTCTGTATACAGGGTAGTTGTGATGAGGTTTACTCTGTTGTAGACATACTTTCTATCTATATACCAAGAAGGTATAATGAAGATTATTCTGTTGTTGATGTAATATCCTTCTGTATACAGGTAGTTGTGGTGAGGTTTACTCTGTTGTAGACATACTTTCTGTCTATATACCAAGTAGGTATAATGAAGATTATTCTGTTGCTGATATAACATCCTTCTGTATACCAGGTAGTTGTGATGAGGTTTGCTCTGCTGTAGACATACTATCTGCTTATATACCAAGTAGGTGTAATGAAGATTATTCTGTTGTTGATGTAATATCCTTCTGTATACAAGGTAGTTGTGATGAGGTTTGCTCTGTTGTAGACGTACTATCTGCTTATATACCAAGTAGGTACAATGAAGATCATTCTGATGTGGATGTTATATCTGTTTGATTACCAGGTAGGTGTCCTTAGGATTGTTTTGCTCTGTTGTGGATGTTACTTCAGTCTATATAACAAGTAGGTTTGCTCTGTTCTGTCTATTTACCAGGTAGTTGTCGCAAGGTTTGCTCTGGATTGTTTTGTTATCAAAGATTTTTAAAAAAAGATTGTTTTGTTGAGGATGATATACGTTAACTGTCGGCATAAAAGTTAGTTGTCATAAAGATAATTTTGTTGTGAATTTTATATCTGTCTGTATACCCAGTAGTTGTTATGAGAATTACTCTGTTGTTGACTCTCTGTTGGGGATACTGTGTTTATAAGGAAATGTAATTCACACTTATTTAGCTTGAATTTTAAATTGGAATAATGTTATAAACTGGATGAGTTAAGTATTGTTTGACTAGTGAGATATATAGTTAATACGCATGGCCTTTTATTTACTCTCTCACTTGATAATTTAAAAAAAGTCTATGAAATAATTGTATTTTTTTTATATAAAAAGAGTAGAAAGCCTTCTACCAATAAAACTAAATTTTACTAAGTTTAGCTGTCAGCAAATACAAAATTATATTGTGAATATATTTAGGATGAGTTATGGAATATCTAATTTAATTTTCATGCTACAGACCTCTATTTGAATTGTATATTAAAACAACTAAGAATTATTTTTAGTACTGATCTGATTGCATATAACATACTCAATTAATATATGCATATTCTATGTAATTCCAGGTTGGACAAACATTTATGTGGTTTCAATGGTAAGTTTTAGAAATAAGTTTTCAATAATATCAGTAAGATTACTTAAGATTGAAGCAAATTAGAGGACAAAACAAGACAAAAAACCTTATAACTATTGATGATTTGTAATATTTATGTTTTGAGATTGCGCATCATGTAATTCATTATTCCCCACATGTAAGGACTCAATCAAAATGTTTCAAATAAAATAAATCTTAGAAAACAAGATGTTTAATTATTGATAGTAACATGTCCATGTATATCTTAGATTATAAGGAAATTAAGACATGAATATAATGTACTAAATTGAAAAAGGATATTTTTGCAGGGATATTTTACTGTTGGAAGCAGGTTTTCTAACAATTTTGGTAGCACCATTAAATATACAGCTGCCAAAGAAGTACAGAATGTCTATACACCATGAGCATGACTCAATAACACTTTGGTTGGTTAAATGGCTACTGTTTAGACTCATGTTTGCATCAGGTGTTGTTAAATTAACCAGTGGCTGTCCTACTTGGTGGGGACTTACAGGTAAATTATCAACTTTTGTTTGTAAAAAATGATTTTCAAAATATTTTCTAAATACATTTACGTCATGTAATGTATAAATGGAATCGTGGTGTATATATCGAAGAGCCAGCAACCCAATAAGCCCAACATTTATACAAATATAAAGATTCAACAACACATAAATATCTATACGTCAAGCTCTAAATTTCCATGAATTCTGGAATAGTGACGAATAATTTGAATAGAGACTATCAAAGATCTCCCATCATTATCAAATTCTCTTAATTAGAATTCATAAAGATTGACCATTAACAGCTTGCAATATAAAACAAAGTACAACACCTATTTAAAAAAAGATTGTTTCCTGTTTTTTAAATTGAAAGAACGACAACAAATAAAGTAAACAGAACACATAACAAATAAAAAGGATAGGTTGCTCTCTCTGCTTTTTCTGAATCTGCACCCTCTAACAGTGAAACATTTTCATATTTTTGATGTCCTAAATTATTAAAACTAATGATGAAAAATAGTTCACTGGCTATTCAAACACGCGGCAGTACACACATTTTGCAACGATCAAATCTAACATTGCCAATATATATTAAAATTCAAAAGGGTTATGTCTAATTAAAAGATTTTTGAAGCAAGTATTTTTGCCATATTCTGTAAAAAAAAATTCTGGGAAAACTATAAATGACAAAGAAAGTTTTACCTAATGGAATAATGGCATAACATTTTTATTATTGTCCAATAAGAATTGTTGTTACAAACCATGTTTCATTAGGATTGTAATTTTCACTTACTGAAGTCTGTTGCCATCTGTTATATATCAATCAGTCACTGTTATTTGTCGTCCTGTAAACCATGCTATTATTTATTTTTCAGCATTATCAGTGCATTTTGAATCTCAGGTTTGTACACTATCATAAGTACCCAAAGATATTTCATTTTTATTCCTCACCTACTGGAGTATTTTGGCATTATGTTTTCTGGTCTGTTCGTTCGTTTGTCCATCCCCTATTATGTTAAAGTATTAGAGTTGTGGTTGCATCAACTTGAAACTAAGTACACATGTTCATTATGAAGTGATCTTTTTGAATTACATACTTTTTATTGTGAGGTAGACTTTTTATGTTATATATGCAAAATCACAATTTTGACCCCAGTTTCTAGGTTCAATCAACATAACATATGATAGTACAAGCAGAGCATGGTTTCCTATGGACACATATTCTTGTTCATTATGATATGTTTATGTTGCAATTGTGGATTTGTATAAAATGTTTAATGTGTGGCAAAATCTCTTTTTTCTTTTTGATAAGCTGAGTTGATATAGGTTCATTTTGTATTGCCATATTTATGGTTTTTAGATGTTTTAGATTGTTCAGTTTCTTGTATATTCCTCCATTAATTGTGGAGCACTACCCATAGAGTATAATTGTAGCAACTATATACACCTTAGAACATAAGGAAGCATTTAATTATGTACAGATGACTGAATTTAGGCAATAATAATTACTAAAAATTAATATTATAACTAATTCATAGGATTGTCATCATGAAATTTTAAAAATAATATTCATAATGTGCTGAAGTGTAAGAATAAGTTAAGTAAGAACTGGATATATTTACAAATAAGAATTTAGAATTTAAGTGGTCTTAAATTAAACTTTCTGATAATTGTTAGTTAAAGGTGCTATACGTACATCAGAATTTATAATGAGAAGGTTATTTTATAGGACTTGTGTAAAAGGGTTGGGGTTTAGAACAATTCATCATATATACATAAGTTTACCTTCACAGTTTAAAGTTACCTTATTTCGGATCTTATCATTATTCTTTAAGGGTAACTGGATATCTTAAAACTTTGCAAAATTTTTTTATTTAATTTAGGTCCTAATACGTCATAAAATAGTAAGATGGAAAAGTTGGGAACTATTTTATTTTAAAAAAGTTTATTTATACTGTACTTGTGTTCAAGTTTTTAATCCTTTTTGTGCGCAGCATGTGCATCTCGTATATTTCTAGCCAGAGTTTCAATGCTTTCATACACAGTTGAGTAACAGTTTATGTCCTTGCCAGTACAGTCCATTATGAGCTGCAGTAAATTCCCTTCTTGTATGTTGAGGTATCGATTTCATCCATTGTCTGTTCTATTTTTGAGCAATATTTAGATCTTATTTGCTCCAATTCTTTGCAGCGTAGAATAAAATGTTCCAGATCTTCATTTTCCTGTTCACAGATTGTACATATCGGGTTAACTTTCGGATCAAACTTAGCTCTTTTGGCTTGTAATATGTACGTTTGAGTACTTATTCTTGCTTTTATTTCTCCTGCCTTTACATCTTTACTATTGTTTTTTACGCTTTTCCATATATCGTGTGCTTCATTTAATGGATTGTTCTGTATCTCTATGTATTTAAGTGATGTTTTTTCCATTTTTTCATAGTGACATTCATTTTTCCAGTATTCCTTGATCTTTATTCCTACTAGTCTTTTCCATTCGATTTTCTTAAGTGGTTTTTCTATGTAGTAACTACTAGATTTCAAATTGTATTTTGATAGAGTTTTTTCCACTCTGTTGATAAAGTCTTTTCCTCTTTGGTCTGAGAATGCTATTTGTCGACGCGGAATTTCACATTCTATGGTTCCTGAATTTCAAACAATATTCATGAAGAAGGTAAGTAGATTTTTGTCTAATGTGATGGCAATAGGTTCTGCTCCTACCAGGGTATAGACAGCCATATTTGCTGTATTATTTGGAAGCCCTTGAATTTGTCGGAGGATTTTTCTCTCTGCCAGTTCTAGCATATCCTTTTCTTTTGCAAGTAAGTTCATCACCTCAAGTCCGTAGATGCTTCTTGGTACTGCATATGTTCTCCATAGCTTGTATGCGACCATGGGTGAGAATCCCCTTCTGACATGTAAACCGGCTCCGAGAAGGCTGTATATTGTTGCCCTGCCGGTTCTTATTCTTTCAGAGATATTTGCCCGGTTTTGCTCGTTTCTTTTGATACCTAGATGTTTGGTTTCATTGGTTATATTGATGTCATCGTCTTCGAATTGCAGTGTTGTTATGTTTGAGCCTTTTGCATTATATAAAACCGCTTCAGATTTAGTTGGATTGATTATAACTAGATCTCTGCTTGTATGGTGCTGTACTATGACTAATATTCCTTGTGCGTCTGCAGTACTATTTGCCAGGACAGCAATGTCATCGGCACATGTGGGTGCAGGGACTTGTATATTACCAATACATGCTCCAAGTCCACTTTTTAAAATGCTATCCAGTATGACGTTGTAGCATTTATATAGCGTTGTAGATAGTTTTGCACCTTGTTGAATTCCTTGTAACACCATTACATCTTCTGTACATTGACCTTCCCATTTGACCTTAATGCTCATGCCTTTATACATGTTTCTCAGTAGTATCCAGAGTTTTCCTTTTATTCCATAATGGTACAACTTGTTGAATAGTATTTCATGGTTTAGTTTGTCAAATGCTTTTTCTGCATCAAGAGTTATTAAAATCATCAGTATCTTTAATTTCTTACTTTCTTCGATTGCTTCTGATGTGAGGAAAGCTGCGCATAGTGATGATACTCCTTCTGTAAAGCCTCTTTGCAAGGGGTTTTGTATGTTATTAAATACAGAGTCAACTCTATCCTTCAGTATACTTTGTAATATTTTTGCAAAGGTTTTAGTCACAGTTATTCCTCTATAGCTAGATGGTAATGTTTTGTCTTTTTCTTTCTTTAGGATTGGTGTAAGAATCCCTGTCTTTAGGAAGATTGGTACATCCAGATATGTTAAAATTAAATTTAGCAAATGTACTATAAAGGGAGTTAACTCATCCATCCCATATTTGTAGTGTTCTGCCGAAATTCCATCCTCATCTGGTGCTTTTCCTGCTTTAAGTTTTTCTATAGCTTTATCAACCTCCTTTACATTGACATGATCAATGCCTTGACCTTTTTCCCTTTCTATGGATTCTATTATATTGTTTTGTATTTCTACAAGCTCTAGCTTTTCAGTGTCAAAATTTTCTTCTAATGTTGGCGTAGCTAGTTGTTGGAAATGTTCTTGCCAAATGTTCATAATGCTTGGTCCATCTTCTGCAGTCTTTTCATTCAGTTTCAGTATCTTGGTGTTAGTAAGTGGTGTTTTTCTTTGCATGTTAATAAGCTTGTAAAAAAGTTTTGTGTCTGCATTTGAAGCTTTCATAATTTTTCCTGCTGTTGATTCTCTCTGGGAGGCATAAGCTTGTCTTTGTGCTTTTCGAAGTATTCTTTTTGCAGCTGTCATTTTGATTTTGAGCTAGTTACTTCTTTCTTGAGGTGCTCCATGTTGCCTCCATACTTTATATGCATTTTTTGATTGCTTTGATGCCTTTTCTATTTGTTCATTCCATATCGCCTTTCCCTTTGATTTGATTTTGATTTTTCTTTTATACTTTGGGATTGCCGCTTCTCCGGCTTTATGTAGCAATTTTTCTAGATTTCTTATATTTTGCTCAATGATTCCTTTTGATTTTTGCATGAGGTTTGGTAGATCTTTATTGATGATTTCCTTATAAATTTGATGGTCACAGTCAGTCCATTTAGGTTTTGCTATGATAGTTGTTGCTTTTTCCCTTACTTTTTTCAGTTGGCTATTCAGTGTCAGAATAACAGGTACATGGTCCGAGGTATTCTCTGGGTCAGTGTCAAGGACATCAATTTGTCTGATTTTATTTATTATTTCCGAGTTACTTTTGAAGAGGAAGTAATCAATTTGTCCTTTCGATTTACCATTCTGGTGATAAAATGTTTCTTTTAATGGGCATTTCTCAGTATTTCCTATACATTTTTCCTTGCAGAAAGTTTGTAGAATTTTATCATGAGGTGTAGAGCTTCTATGGAGTGACCCGTTCATGTCTCCACATACTATAATTTCGTGTGTATCTTTATATTTCTCTATCATTTCATCAATTTGTGCCAAAGTGTCTTTGTATTCGATATCTGCATTTTTGTTATCTGATGGCATATATACATTTATAAGACATATTGGTTTGTCTCCTTGTTGAATATGTATGGCTTGTATTCTATTTCCACCGTCTATCAGTTCCTTTATATTTTCATTAATTTCTTTTTTCAGATTATGGCTACTCCACCATATCCTCTTTTCATTGATACGTTGAAATCAGGGTCGTCATTATCGTCAACGCTTTTAGCTATGTATCCGCTATTTTCAGCAACTTCAGCTATGATTTTCTTTTCCGCATTGAAGAGCCAGTGTTCCTAAATGCATAACACCTGTACATCCCTTAACAAGTTTTTGATATAGAGATCGTTTGACTTCACATTTTGTACATTGAGTGTACCTATAATGATATCCTCCCTTTTATCTTGTTTGATCGGCCGCTGCCTAAAAAATGATTTGGTTTCTTTCTATTCCCATCTTCTTTTGTTTCTAGATTGTCAGCCTGAACTAGTCCCTTTAGATGCTTAGGACCACCAACATTAGCCCCCCTTTGAGAGGGAAACTTCTGATGGCAGTCCGCTTCCAGCGGGGCGTCCCCACTAGAAGCCGTTGTTATAAGACCAGTTCTGGAAGTGACTTCTGCTTGATGGTTTACTTCTGTATGGGTTTTATCTTCATCATTTTTCTCGGTAGTCAAAGCAGCTGAATTTGTTAGATTGATGTTCATTCTAGCTTCTTCTGTTGGTTCTTTATCTACTTGGTTGATATTATCAGCCTGATTTGTTTGTTGTTGTAGTTGATTTTGTCTTTCAATTTCTTCTGCCTGACTTTGTTTAGCTATTACTGGCATGTTTGTTCTTTGGTCATAGAATCTTTTATTGATGTTTCTTTGACTTTGTTCCTTTCTGTTTGTCTGTTGTTGACTATATCCTTGGTGGTAATTTATATTTTGTGGTATAGGTTGTGGAGCTATCCTATATTGCTGTTTGTATAAATGTGCATTTTGTATCATGTTAGTGTTGATACTGCCAGTTGGTATACCTCTATAGCCAGTGTAATAGTGGCTGCTTTGGCCATTTGCAGGTATAGCCTGTATTCTGCTATTGTGGTACGTTGGCGCTTGTATATGGCCATGATTTATTCTGCTCTGCTCTGTTGGTATCTGGCTATAGTGTGGAGGTGCCAAATGATTCATGAATAGTGGATTGGCTTGATTAGGAATCCTGGATTGCTGATTTGTTAGCTGTACACCAGTACGCTGATCACTCATTTGGTGTTGGTTTGTGTTCCTAGTATTATCCATATTCTGGTTATAAGGATAATATTCATGACTTCCTGGTCTTTGCCACATTCTTAGTTCTTTCTGTAGTTCCATTATTTGCAGTTTATTTCTTAATTCATTCATTTCCATTTGATGTTTAATTCTTAGGTCTCTATTTTCCATTTCTAGCCTGAAGTTGGTCAGCATCATATCTACTTTGTTTATAGTCTGCTCCTGCGAGTTGTTGCTACAGTTACAATTTGGTTGATAGGATTTTAAATTACTTTTGTCAATGGTGCTTTCTTCTGTTTGCATCCTAAGTAAATTGATTGTATTTCTATAGTCTCTATTGGTATCTTCCATTATGACTAATCTTGCTCTGCATTGTGCTAATTGATCTTCCAGCTGTTGAGTAGTTTCATTTATATTTTTGCACTTATATTGCCTTTTCGGTTTTGCTTTCATGTTTTTTGGCTCATCTACATTTTCTATTTGTTCATTTCTGCCATTCTGTAATATTTGGTTAGGCTGTTTGTATGTAGCCATTTTGTTCATTTCTAATTCTTCTGTGTTTGCATTTCCTGCTTCTTCCTTCGTAACATCATTTCTAGTTGGACAGTCTTTAGATGTATTGTCTGGCACGTTTTTAACTATATGGGCCATTTCTCTATATTCCTTTGTCGAGCCTTGTTCTTCTAGACTTACTTTTGGTATTGTTTCTTCTGTATCTATAATTGAGTTATTGCTTCTCATTGATATATTAACCATGTCCATGTCCATAATAGAGCAGCTCCTACATGAATACTGTTCTTCTTCAGTTTGGCTTATCCTTACAGGATCAATGTTTTCACATGTATAATGAAACAGTTGGCCGCATGCAATACAGTCTATGGATATTTCTGGTTGTGCTGTCTGATTGCATGTGGCACAGTAGTTATGTATAGTAGACATGCTGACTGCACTTGTGTCCGGACTTGGTGTTGGTTCATCTTCTGACCATTCAATGGCTCTATTCCAGTTACTTAGAAGTTCTTCGTCAGTATTTTGTATACATTCTGCCCCTTTGGATACTAGTATTCTATTACTGTGGTTGGTTTTAGGCTGATGAGCTGTTGCTTTTACATGTGACTCATTCTGTTTTGCTCTTATTTCTATATCGGCTTCATTTCTCTTGATTATGTTTATCTGTTCCTCTATCTGTTTGTTATATATCTTATAGTTCCCTCTTGATTTCATTCTTTCTTTTATATCTTCAATGTGTGTCAGGAAGTGTTCCATACCTTGGCCATTAACCTCTACCTTTGATGTAGTATGGAATAAATTGATACGATGGAGTTGTCTGTTACTACTTCTATTTCTGACCGAATGTGATGTTCTGATGCATAGCCCTTGATTATCATGCTGGTGTTTTGGCAAGAGCTTGTATGTAGAGTGTTGTTCAAAGTATATGTCTATTTTCCCCTTTATAATTTCATAAGCAGCTGCTGATAGCTCTAGGATGTAGTTTTGATGTTTCTGCTCAATTTGTATGTCCATTGTTCTATTACATGCTTCTAGCTTTTTGTCCAAGGCCCTGGTTTTATTGATACTAAAGTTTTCATATTTAGCTGGTGTATAGGGCTGAGGTTTGCTCTTGGTTCTTGCTGATGTTCTAGTCTGGATACTCATTTTTCACTTTAGATATTTATTTATTTTTTAACGAGGAAGTTCTATGTAGATTAATGTGCATTCAGCGGGGCGTCCCCACTAAAAGCTTGCTCAAATAAGAATTTTCCAGTTAACTATTATATCTTCTGATGTCAGGGTTTAATGAGTATGTAGATATATATCTCTATATTTGTTAGTTATACACTATGGACTAGGGTTATTTAAAAGCTGTTATATTTCTATATATGAATGCAATTAAATATGGTTGTTATAAAGTTTATATATAGTATTCTATTCTACTGTATTGATGATATTTATCTATAACATTGGTGGAGAATTTTGGTCGCTATTCTTCTCATCCAGAGCTTTGCTAATAAAGAGTTTGGATGTACCGGTACACCGTCAGTTTTGTATAGATTAAAATTGTAGTATTCGTCAGTACCGCCTTTTCTTTTAGATGTTTTTCGAATGTCTAGATCAAATTTTGGTGATTTTTCTGCAGATTGGTTTATTTCTTGGATGAAGGTGTTTAATTGATATAACTGGTTTTGAAGTGTTTGATCGTCTTCACTGAAAATGTCCGGGTTTTTGTGGCCTTGTGATCTGTTCCAGCACTGAATGGAGTATGGCGGTACTTCTAAGAAGATGATTTCTGATTTTGGTTTTATTTTGGTGATGACAGCCTTAAGTTCAATAAATTTTCTTCTTAGATATCGGACGTTTGAATCGTTTTGGTTCACAAGAGAGATGTATCTGGTAGTTTTGTTAAGTTCGGTTAAATTACAGGTTCCTAGCCAAATATAAAATGTGATGTTTTTGTGTTGATGACAGATAGATGGTAATTCTTTTTCGGCCCAATCAATAGTTTACTGTACTTTTTGTCCTTTTTTTGTGATAAATTTTACATTTAGGAAGTCTTCAGTTGTAATGGCTCTCTTTATGTAGTTGCCTTTACTATCAGATATAATTATGGGTTGGCTTTGGGCTGTTTTATCCTGAATATCTCTCTTATTTACTCTGAAGTATCTGCTTGACTTTACAACTTTAGTCTCAGACATATATCAGTCTTTGTGGGAACAGAGGACTAAATTTTCTTTTATCTTTCAAACACAGGATATTGGTTGAAACACAAGTACAGTGTGTTTAAAGGTTTGATTAAACTATATATATATGCAATAAATAGATTTAGCAAGAAAATAAAATAAGAGAGGGGGGGGGGGTCTAGACTACCGACTATGTGGTCAAAAATTTAAACTTAACTAGAATGGAAAAACAAATTATTTAACTGTTCGAAATGATTATAAAGATGTCTGAATTATTTATTTTAATTATTTATAAGTCACAAAAAGACTTAGACTTACTGTCTGAAAAAATAAAATTTTATTTGTCAAAATTCAAATATGGCGCTGGAAATTAAATGGCCGTCCGGCAAGGCCTGCAAGAAAAGATAGCTGGAAACACCGTGCAATTTACAAAAATGCCTGAAGTTATTAGTTAAAACAAGGTATAGTGACCTATAATATTAAATTGTGAGGATGCAAGTGCAAATAAAGACTTAGAAACTCTCCGTATTTGGATCTGTGATCTGTGCAAAATCTTCGTGCTGCTATACAACGTCCATTCGGAACACTAGAAGGAACGACATAAGATCTTGGAAAAATCACAAATGTAATATAGGATAGCACAAAATTTTCAACAAAAATAAGACTTTGTAATTTTTTTAGATTTCATTGATATTTCTGCCAGCTTGATAATTTTATAAATCGGATATTTTTGGTAATAAAAAGCCTAATACATGTAGGTTTTGTTTAAAAGCTATGATAAGGATATACTGGTAATTGAGAAAAAGAAAGCAAATGCTAGCAGTATTGATTCATTTCAAATAATTTCTTCTTACAAACAACATTAATTTATTCCAGCTTTACGGAGCAGTTTTGCAAGGTTCTAATATTGTCATTTATTTTTATCATTGTACATAAAAAAAAACAGAATGTTTCACCATGCTTACCTCAAAAAACTCTTTAAAAGTTCCTAGAAATTTGTTTCCCAAATCTTTCTTATAATTTGTTGGAAAATCACTTGGCGAAGTTTGGAAAAGTTTAATGAGGCCCCCAAACTGTGCAAGTGTAGGCATGAACTGTGACAAAATATAAATGTTTTCTTCCTTATTATTTGTAAAAGACTAAAACAAATCTGTACTTGATGGGTAATTTCTATACATTACCACTGTGTAGCATCACCACTGGAAGCAGTGGAAAAAACAAATGTGAAGTCAGGTAAGGTCGAATTCTTATTTTCATTATATTCTACATTTTGCTGACAAGTACAGTTTTGTGATACTAATTCCTTATAATGTAGCTACTATTAAGGGCTGATAATGATCCTTAATTGGCTTTATCTCTCTTCAAATCATCAGAAACAGACCTGGTGGTACCTGTTCAAAGAAGCATGTGACGAGATCAAACTTGTTAAAACACATTTATCCTGATGTTTTCGTAGAACAAAGTTATATCATATTTCGACATACATGTAAACTACTGTTTTTAGAGAAATTCATATAAAAAAGTAGATAAATTTGTAACAAACAAAAAATGGTGTTCCTTGCAAACTTTTCATTCCAGTATATGATTTTTGAAGAAACTTCATAGTAAAAGGGGCACAGTTTTATGCGTACACAGTGTTCCCACAGGAAATTGAATTGTTTATTTTATCCAAATGCAACCAACAAAATGTCTTAAAATGACTTAGAGTTATCTCCCCTGTCATATTGTTGTATTTTTAGTGTATTCCTACACCATTGGCCTGGTATTGGCACCAGTTCCCTGGCTTAGACTTAGAGTTATCTCCCATTTCATATAATTGTAATTTCAGTGTATTCCTACACCATTAGCCTGGTATTGGCATCAGTTCCCAGAGTGGTTTCTTAAACTGAGTTGTGTTGCTACATATGTGATAGAGATGGCCATACCATTCCTGTTCTTTGCACCTGTCAGAGGCTTAAAGATATTTGCTTTTTATGCACAGGTGAGTTATATTTGACATAACCAAAAGAATGTGAATTATACAATGTTTTTGTATTGTCTTGAAATTTTATGCCACAATTTTTTATTGTTCTTTTTGATCAGACTATAATATTTCTATTTTTATGCCCACACTACTATTTAAAGTGTTAATAACAAATAGTTCTATCAATGTAGGTTTTTTAGCTCACCTGGCCCAAAGGGCCAAGTGAGCTTTTCTCATCACTTGGCATCCATCGTCCGTCGTCGTCTGTTAACTTTTACAAAAATCTTCTCCTCTGAAACTACTGGGCCAAATTTAACCAAACTTGGCCACAATCATCATTGGGGTATCTAGTTTAAAAAAATGTGTCCGATGATCCAGCCCACCAATCAAGATGGCCGACATGGCTAAAAATAGAACATAAGGGTAAAATGCAGTTTTTGGCTTATATCTCTGATACTAAAGCATTAAGAGCAAATTTGACAGGTAAAAATGTTCATCTAAGATCTATCTGCTCTGAAATATTCCGACAAATCAGACAACCCGTTGTTGGGTTGCCGCCCCTGAATTGGTAATTTTAAGGAAATTTTGCAGTTTTTGGTTATTATCTTGAATATTATTATAGATCATGTAGATAGAGATAAACTGTAAACAGCAATAATGTTCAGCAAAGTAAGATCTACAAATAAGTTAACATGACCAAAATTGTCAATTGACCCCTTAAGAAGTTATTGCATTTTATAGTCAATTTTTAACAATTTTTCGTAAATTTTTGTTATCTTTTACAAAAATCTTCTCCTCTGAAACTACTGGGCTAAATAGAATCTAACTTGGTCAAAATAATCATTAGGGTATTTTGTTTTAAAAATGTGTCCGATGACTCTGCCTGCCAACAAAGATGGCCGACGTGGCTAAAAATAGAACATATGGGGTTAAATGCAAGTTTTGTTTATTATTCTAATAACCGTTATAAATAGTGGAAATCTGAAAAGGGTAAAATTGTTCAGAATGTTGAGCTCTACCAATTGTCCGTATATGTCAAAACTGTCAGACGATTTCCTTTAGGAGTTTATTGCCCTTAAATGACAAATTTTACCACTTTTTTTCATTTTTGCCTATTATCTTGAAAACTATAATAGAGAGAAACTTTAAGTTGCAAAAATGATCAAAAGGACTAGTTCTACAAAAAAAAATAAGTCTCATGGTTGAATTCTTCAGTTCACTCCATATTAGAGTTATTGCCCTTTGATGACGATTTGTACAATGTTTTTTGCATTTTTGTCTTATATCTTAAAACTTATAACAAAAATGATCAGCAAGACAAGATCTACAAATAAGACAAATGGGGAAATTGTCCGACGACTCCTTATTGGAGTTATTGCCCTTTAATGACAATTTTTTAACCCTTTTTTTTGCGTTTTGCCTTTTATGACGCCTTTTAAGACACACAATGGTGTTATCACAGATACTCAGCATATAGTTGATGCTTTTAACAAACATTTTATAAATATTGCCCCGAAAGATAGCCTATCAACATCTAAATCATACAAATTTGATAGTAATAAGATTTATGAGGAGGTAGCAGCAAAAGTACCTCAAGATACTTGGTTTTACATCCCCTTAATTACAGTTGCAGAAGTTAAGGACTGCCTTAGCAATTTAAATGTTGCAAAAGCTACAGGCATTGATCAGATCAGTCCTCGCATACTTAAACTATCATCAGAAGTTATTTCACCGTCAATAGCTTATATTATAAATAAGAGTATCACTGCTGGTATATTTCCTTCTGAGCTTAAAAATGCCCGTGTCATGCCAAGTCATAAAAAGGGTCCTAAAGATACTGTCGACAACTATAGACCAATATCTATTTTGCCTACTCTTTCAAAGATTTTTGAAAAGCATGTCTGCAAACACCTATACCGATACCTATTAAAATATAAGCTCCTTCATGCAAGTCAGTCTGGATTTAGAAGCCACCACTCTTGTCACACTGCTTTACTAAAACTTATTGATCAGTGGTTGAAAGCCATTGATGATGGAGAAATTATAGGTATTATCTTCCTAGATTTTAAAAAAGCATTTGATCTGGTAGATCACATTATCCTTCTTCAAAAACTGCAGTGCTACAAAATTTCAAATTTATCATGTAACTGGTTTAAATCATATCTATCTCATAGATTCCAACAAGTTGAAAATGGGACAATCAAGTCAAGGGCACTAGAAATAAAATCTGGAGTACCTCAGGGCTCCATATTAGGCCCCCTTTTATTTTTATTATTCATTAATGATTTGCCCCTTCATATAACCTCATCTCAAGCAGACCTCTATGCAGATGATACTACCATTCACTGCACAGGTCGTAGTCTCAATACCATCCAGGACAGCATTACAAATGATTTAAGCAGAATTGAAGAATGGTGCAAGGGAAATAAGATGTATATAAATCCAACAAAAACTACATCTATGGTTATTGGTTCTAGACAGAAACTAGCAAAAACAGACCATGTTCTTAATTTGACTGTTGGTAACTCCCACATAAGCGATGTTAATGGCGAAAAGCTCCTAGGGGTTTTTATTGATGAAAATCTTGAGTGGACAGCCCAAATTGACACTTTGTGCACAAAAATCAGTACCAGGCTAAATCTTTTGTCTAGGATAAAGAAATCCCTCCCCCTGGAAACACGAAAGATATACTTTAATGGTTATATTCTCCCTATTTTGGATTACTGTTGTACAATTTGGGGAAACACCAGTGACCAAAATACAAATAGATTAGATAAACTTCAAAAACGAGCAGCTAGAATTATTCTTGAACTTCCTTATGATACCCCATCTAATACAATGTTTAAAAAGTTATCATGGCTTCGATTTACTGATCGTGTAATTTACCACAAGGCCTTATATGTTCATAAATCTTTATATGGATCTGTCCCAGAATATTTGTCTAACAAAATCTCCTATGTTACAAATAAAAATGGAATGCAACTTAGATCAAATACTACCCAATTACTTAATATACCAAAGGCAAGAACAAACACATTTAGAAGATCTTTTTCATATTCTGGCCCAACTTTATGGAATAAACTACCAGAAGCACTAAGACACATGTCAAACATAAATACTTTTAAAACAAACTGCTTTAAGTTTTTACTTGAAAATCCTGGAATTATTTAAATGATTATGTATCAATTTTGATTATGTTTTCTTATGTTTATCTTTGTTATGATGAAATTGTGTGATGCATTGTGAGTGGAGTGTGAGGGCCTCAAGGGAGAATAGTGTTTGTACTAATTGAGCATACCCTCTTGAAATAAAAGATTATTATTATTATTATTATTATGAAAAAAATTATAATAGATAGATAAAAACTTAAATAAATCAAAAATGATAAGCAAGACAAGATCTACAATTAAGACAAATTGAGGAAATTGTCTGTCGACTCCTTATTGGAGTTATTGCCCTTAAATGACGATTTTTATACAACCGCAAAAAAAAAATTGTGTCATATAATGCTATTATGTCGTCTGCGTCTTCCGAAGACGCATTTAGTTTCCGCACAATAACTTTAGTTTAAGTGAATGGATCTCTATGAAATTTTACCATAAGGTTAAATACCATAAAAGGAAGGTTGGGATTGATTTTGGCACCAACAGTTAAGGAATTAGGGGCTGAAAATAAGCATTTTTGTAACTTCCAGACAATAACTTGTGTGTTAGTTTATGGATCTCTCTGACATTGTACCACAAGGTTCCATATCACAAAGGGAATCCTGGGATTGATTTTGGTGGTATTGCCTCAAAATGTTAGGAATCAGGGGCCAAAAAAGGGGCAAAAAACAAGCATTTTTCTAGTTTCATGACAATAACTTGTATGTAAGTGTATGGATCTTTATGAAATTGTACTTCAAGGTTCCATATTACAAAGGGAAAGCTGGGTTTGAGTTTGGGGGTAATTGCCCTAAACGTTTAGGAATTTGGGGCCAAAAAGGGGCCAAAAAACAAGCATTTTTCTAGTTTCCAGACAATAACTTGTGTTCAAGTGTATGGATCTCTCTGAAATTGTACTGCAATGTACCATACCACAAAGGGAAGGCTGAGATTGAGTTTGGGGGTAATTGCCATAAAATTTTTGGAATTAGGGGTCAAAAATGGGCAAAAAACAAGCATTTTTCTAGTTTCAGGACAATAACTTGTGTGTAAGTGTATGGATCTTTATGAAATTGTACTACAAAGTTCCATATCACAAAGGGAAAGCTGGGTTTGAGTTTGGGGGTAATTGCCCTAAACGTTTAGGAATTTGGGGCCAAAAAGGGGCAAAAAAACAAGCATTTTTACAGTTTCCAGACAATAACTTGTGTTCAAGTGTATGGATCTCTCTAAAATTGTACTGCAAGGTACCATACCACAAAGGGAAGGCTGGGATTGTGTTTGGGGGTGATGAATCATTAGGCGGTTCAAAAAATTGGGTGGGGGGATTTTTTATTTCCTTTTTTTTCTTTTTTTTCCTTTTGTTCCTTTTTTTTTTTCTTTAAAATTTTCCATTTTAAGTTGTTTATTTTTTATTTATTTATAAAAGCAAATAATAATGATATGGTTTGATTTCATCAAAAATTGAAATATTGGGGTTCTTTGATATGCTGAATCTGACCGTGTATTTAGATTCTTAATTTTTGGTCCCGTTTTCAAATTGGTCTACATTAAGGTCCAAAGGGTCCAAAATTAAACTTAGTTTGATTTTAACAAAAATTGAATTCTTGGGGTTCTTTGATATGCTGAATCTAACCTTGTATGTATTTAGATTTTGGATATTGGACCATAATAGGTAAATTATTAATTTTGAAGTTCTTAGACACATTCATTCTGTGTCAGAAACCTATGCTGTGTCAAATATTTAATCACAATCCAAATTCAGAACTGTATCAAGCTTGAATATTGTGTCCATACTTGCCCCAACTGTTCAGGGTTCAACCTCTGTGGTCGTATCAAGCTGCGCCCAGCTGAGCATTTTATTATCATTTTTTTTTGGCATTTTGCCTTTTTTGAAAAAATTATAATAGATAGATAGAAACTTAAATAATCAAAAAAAGCAAGACAAGATCTACAATAAAGACAAATGGTGGAAATTGTCCGACGACTCCTTATTGGAGTTATTGCCTTTAATGACGATTTTTACCACTTTTTCGAGTTTTGCCTTATATGATAAAAATTATAATAGATAGATAGAAACTTGAATTATCAAAAATGATAAGCAAGACAAAATCTACAATTAAGACAAATGATGGAAATTGTCCAAAGACTCCTTATTGGAGTTATTGCCCTTTAATGACGATTTTTACCATTTTTTTGTATTTTGCCTTTTATGATAAAAATTATAATAGATAGATAGAAACTTAAATAATCAAAAATGATAAGCAAGACAACCTACTAACAAGTCAAATTTTACCGATATAACAAGTAGACTGTTACTCTTTATAGGAGTTATTGCCCTTAAATAAGGATTTTTTTGTACCCGCTTTTGTGTTTGGAGCAAAAGCTAAATAAGATAGAGAGAAACTAAACAGACTTCAATGATCAGCAATATAAAATTAAAAAAACCCAGAGATTTTTGTCATTAATTCTATTCTCATCTACAATATTGAAGAGTGTCCTTTGTTGAATATGCATATAGACCAAGGTAAGCGACACAGGCTCTTTAGAGCCTCTAGTTTAAAGGTGAAGCAGTTGTCTTGAATTTTGTGTCATGACTTCAAGTATTGACTTCGGTTTTCTGTGTGAAGGTGAATATTTATAAATGATGAGTTACTATGTAACCATTTTGTTTTGTTCTGATGGACCTTTTTGTTGAAGGAATCACAGCACATAGACATACAAAATATCATGGACATCATACTACTTCACCTTTTATTAACAGTGCCTCTTGAAATTGATGTATTTTTATTATACGACCGCAATATTTGCGGTAGTATTATGTTATGGTGTTGTCTGCATCTGCGTCTGAAGACATTTTGGTTCGCAGACAATAACTTGAGTATAAGTTCATAGATCTCTATGAAATTTTAGCACAAGGTTCCATACCACTAACAGATGGTTGAGATAGTTTTTGGGGGCTATTGTCATGGCGGTTTTGTAATAAGGGTCCAAAAAAGGTAAGTTTTACTGGTTCATGGAAAATAAATTGGTTCACAGACAATAACTTTAGTTTATGTGTATGGATGTGTAAGACATTTTAGTATAAGGTTCCATTCCACAATAGGAGGGTTGGGATTGATTTTGGGGGTTATTGTCTTAGCAGTTTTGTAATTAGGGGCCAGAAAGGGGCCAAAAACAATTATTTGTCTGGTTTTAAGACAATAACTTGAGTATAAGAGATATTTATTTGGTTAATATTTTAGCACAAGGTTCCACACTACAATAGGAAGGTTGGGATTAATTTTTGGGGTTATTGTCATAGCTGTTAAGGAATTAGGGGCCAAAAAGGGTCTAACAAAAACATTTTTTTGTCAGGTTCACAGACAATAACTTGAGTATAAGTGTATGGATCTCTATTAAAATTTAGTAGAAGGTTACATACCACAATAGGAAGGTTTGGATTTATTTTGGGGGTCATTGTCATAGCTGTTTAGGAATTAGGATCCAAAAAGGGGCCAAAAACATGTTTCAGGACAATAATTGGTGTATAAGAGTATAGATTTCTATGAAATTTTACCACAAGGTTCCATACTTCAAAAGCACAAATCTATGCTGTGTCAAATAAATTCAATCACAATCCAAATCAGAGCTGTTTTAAGCTTAAATTTTGTGTCCATACTTGCCTCAACTGTTCAGGGTTCGACCTCTGCGGTCATATCAAGCTTGTGCCTAGTGGAGCATTTCATTTATATTGGTACGGATATACAGATGAATTACAGAACAAATGTAGAGTTCTGTCCCTTGTTCACATCTAGCGGAGGGGGCATTAAGTTTTACCCTTGTCCGTCTGTACGTATGTCCGACTGTCTGTCTGTATGTACATCCGTCCGTAAGTCCCAAATTAGGTTTCCGTTCTCTAACTTTAGTTTGCCTCAACCAAATATTATGAAACTTAAACACAATGCTTATTACCACATAATACAGATCAGGTTTGAAATTGGGTGGCGTCACTTTTACCGTTCTTGAGTTATGCCCCTTTATAAACCTAAAAATTGCTAAATTTTTCGTTTCCGTTCTCTAACTTTAGTTTGCCTCAATCAAATGTCATGAAACTTATACACAATGCTTATTACCACATAATACAGATCAAGTTCAAAATTGTGTAGTGTTTCTTTTACCGTTCTAGAGTTATGCCCCTTTAAAATGGAAAAATTGCTGAATTTTTCTTTTCTGTTCTCTAACTTTAGGTGGCCTGAACCAAATGTTATGAAACTTACACATACTGCTCATTTATACAAAATACAGATCAAGTTTGAATTTTGGTGGTGTCACTTTAACTGTTCTAGAGTTATGCCCTTTACAAATGGAAAAATTGCTGAATTATTCTTTTAGACTCTCTAACTTAAGTATGCCTCAACAAAATGTTATAAAACTTATAGACAATGCTTATTACCACAAAATACAGATCGAGTTTGAATTTTGGTGGTGTCACTTTTACTGTTCTAGAGTTATGCCTGTTTACAAATGGAAAAATTGCTGAATTTTTCGTTTCTGTTCTCTAACTTAAGTTAGCCTCAACCAAATGTTATGAGACTTCTACACAATACTTATTACCACAAAACTCAGATCAAGTACAAATTTGGGTAGCAGTACTTTTACCGTCTTCAGTAATGTCCCTTTATATTATTATATGATATGCAAGCTGGGGGCATCATCTGTGTCCCATGGACACATTCCCCATTTATTTAGATATTCAGGTTGTTTGCTTTATTTTTACACATTCTGTGTCATAACATGTAGTCTTTTGGTGATGTGTAAATAAACTCATATTGATGGGTGTCTATTGTTCAGCAGCAGATAGAACATGCATATGCATGATGATAATGAGTGTACCTTTTTTTACTAGACAGGCACAGTGATTCAAATATTTAATATTGAAGTCTGTAAGAAGACATATCACAAGTCTGAGACACATCATCCTGACTCAAAGCTAACCAGTCTTTGCTCTAGCTCCTAAATGCTGAATTTTTCAGTGAACAAGCAACTTTTGGTTTTCGCAAGACATTTTATCAGTATGTTTTTAATTGCCTTAGTTATACCTTGTCTAGATTGTTAAAGAGGTGTTATGTTTACATGGTTGTTGGTTATATTATTAAGGATCATTTACTGTATGTCTTAATTCAGGGTTCAGTTTATTCAGATTTCACTGTATATAAAGGCATACAAGACTCCAAGGACTAGATGTCATGTTTACCTGCCAAGGAGTTAATTAGACCCTTGTTTTAAGTTCTTTTTCCATTAGTGTCACTCAAGTTCTAGGTTAACTCTACTGTTGTAAGTATCCATAATCAAGCCTGGACTATAATGGTAATTTGACAATTTTTGGAAGATTGTATTTTTTTCTCTCCAAAAGATTGCAGCATATTTACCTATGAATGCTGTGTAATATATTTCATTTGGAATTATCTATATTTTCTTAAATAAATTTTCGAAAATTATTGCATGTTGCAAAGTGTTGAGAATTTAGATATTATTAGGCAAGTTTTTTATTAGGGGTAAGTTTCGTACTGGATAAACTGTTAACTGCATGTTTTGTTGTCACACTTTACCCCAAAAAAATTGCCATAAATGTGAATGAGGAAAATGTACGATTGCATGATTTCAAATCAGCAGGTTAAGCTTGAATTCAGCAACTCCTAGCATCCTTTGATATGGTATTGTTTAATATTATTTTGCTTGTATTTGTGTTTTTGTTTGTTTCTGTTTTGAATTTATCTTAGAGTTAAATTGTATTCCTGTACTGTATTTTTATTGTATCTTCTTTTATGTAAAATTTGACTTCACTTGTCTAGACAGAAAAGGGAAGTTGAGATCTTGAGAAACTAGTGCAACCTGCCATATGTTCATAAATAAAAGATCAGTAGAAGACTTTTTAAAAATGGTGAATTTTATATGTTATCAGATAACTCATAATTTTCACTGAAAACTGATTCTGAACAGATTTGTTGCTATGATATATGTCTTCAGTTAACAGTTTATGATACATTTCATTCTTTTTGTCCCCCAAATTATCTGTCACTTCATTCTTTTTGTCCACTATAAACATGATGATTTTGCCAGAGTGACACAGGAGCATTAATTCTCCATACAAGTCCCTTTACTTTACTGAGTACTTCAGTAACTATTTCAGATAATTGTCTAACAGATTTTTCAACACTTTCCTTATCTGTACCTCCTAAGAGGATAGTCACATGTTCACTCTCGGATCTGTTGTCATGATAACGAGTTATCAAAATTTGACCTTTTTCTAAATCTGCATATACAGCATCTTTCCAGTCTGTCCTAGATTTGACAATGTCTTGTAGAACACATACAAGCTTTTCAAAAGTTCCATCAGGAATTGTGAGTGGAAATTCATATTCGAATGCCAAAGTTTCATTATTTGTTGATGTCAAGGTCGATTGCATATCTACAAGATCAGTGCCAATTTCACCCTTATTGTACCATGGGAGCACCATCAACGGACGAATATAGTAACAGCCATCTGGAACTTCTGGTTCAACCAATGAGTAGCACATCTCGAACAAGGGTAGCAAGGTCAAAAGGTCATCATATTCATCTGATGAGAAATTATGGTAGAACCAAAGGCAGTTTAGCAATGGTCGTGGAATTTGACCTTGACTTTGAAATAAACTAACCACTTCTTTGTATTTTTCTAAAGAGAAATTTCCTTTACACACAAACAGGTTCCCAATTTTGGAATCTTCTCCAAGCTGGAAAAATTCCTCATAATCATGTCGGAAAAGAGATGTTATGATATCATTAAAAGCTCTTGGCAGATGAAAAATTATGTTTTTCAGCTTTGGATTTTCTTTAAGCCACAGAATTTCCCCAATGTCATGCAAATGTTTCATGCATTCATCCACAGCTGTTCCCATGACATCACACTTTTGGCAGATTTTGATGACCTCTTCCCTCGTAAGGTAGATATGTTTAGTTTGTTGTTTGATCCTTTTGCTGACTTTGGTCCAGGAATCTGATACATATCTTTTTGCATTTGGGAAATATGTTGAATTGAGAACTAAGAGTTCAAGGCTATTTACAAGTGATTTGAATCCAACTAACCAATCCATACTGCTGACAGTTGAAACATCTTGAATGACATTAACTGGATTGGTCAGTAACTTTTCCACAAGGTGGCGCTTGTCTTCCAGATGTGACAAGTAATCACTAGCATAGTCCTTAGCTCCTCTTGCTTCATTTATTTTCTGTCCAAGCAGTTGGAGCTCTAGCAGCAGTTTGTCTTTTGCTCTTGTTTGATGATTTGTCACCTGATCCAGTAAAATTTGCTTCGTTTGTTCAATTACTTCATGTTTCTTCTGTTGGTTCTCTTCTTCATCTTCTTCCTCATTTTCTGTCTCTTCATTTTCTTCTTCAGCCTCTTTTTGACCTGGATATCTGCAGAGGTCACTTTTCAAACCAACAAGTTTGATTACTGCCCCTGGAACATGTAAACTGAGGTAGTCAAGCCATTTGCCAATCATTTCCTGATGTTTTTCAATACTATAGCTACTGTGGTCATATGCCAGTAAAAACAAAGCTTTCTGATCCAAAAATAGGGCAGATGGGGCATTGTATGTTGGATCTCCACTGAAATCATAAATGATGAAGTCAACCATATTTTCCGATTTCCAAATAGTTTGTTCTACAAGTTTTGTTTTGTCCGATTCACCATTGGTCAGCATTGACTTGCTATGTACTAAGCCATTAACAAAGCTCGTTTTCCCACATTGCGATTCTCCAATGATAGCTAATTTTTGTCGTTGTAGATGCTCCGTTTTCATTATAGCCAGTTTCTTTAAGTAGTCAAAGATTTTAGTTGGTTCAGACGTTCTCCAGATTTCTTTAGGTGGATATTTGAGTGGGTTCCCATTCAACCACAATCCAAATTTCTGCAGTTTATCGTAACTGTGTGCCACAGTCAAATTTTCAAGGTTATGTAGATGCATTGGGAGTGAATGAATCTGATTCTTTGCAATGTTTAATGTAGATAATTTTCTTAAGTCACATATTTCATCAGGCAGTTTCTTGATTTCATTTTTTTCAACATCTAAAGTTATTAGATTTTTTAGACCTTTGATTGTGATTGGTAGATGTTTTAGTTTGTTGTCTGCTATGAAAAATTCACGTAAACTTTGCAAGTTAGATATTGTTGTTGGTATGGCAACTAGGGAGTTGTGACTAAGTTTAAGACTGACTAAACTTCTAACATTTCCAAGTTCATCTGGTAAAGTGCTGAATTGGTTCTTTGATAAATCCAAAACTGTAAGTCTCGTTAAGTTGTAGGTATTTTTTGGAAGTACACTTAAAAAATTACAACTAAGATTCATCTCACGTAAACCATAGTTTTCAGTCTTTGGTATATTGTTTATTTTGGTTGCTTCTAAATCTAGCACTTCTAGTGCAGGAAGTTCAAAAACAAATTCTGGAATAGAATCAGATGGAACCTGGCCTTTATGAAGAAATTCCTCCAAAACATCTCCAACTTTGCGACAGAAACTTCTGTAATTTAAAGCAAGGGTTTTTAACTTGTGAAGAACAGGAAGAGTTTCTGGAAGCGTTTCGATGGTATTACCCCACAATAGAACTTCTTCTAGTTCCTGACACAGTGCTATTTCTGGCGGTAGTCCAGTAATATTTGTATGTTTCAAGTTCAGTTTCTGTAAGTTTATAAGTTGGCCTACTTCTGGTGGCAGAAAATCAATTTTGTTTCGACTTATATCAAGTACCAGTAGGCTTGTAACTTGCCAGACTACAGGTGGTATTCTAGGCATATTACATTCAGCTAGTATCAGTTCTTGTAGATTGACCATTTGTTCCATTTCTTTTGGCAGGCCATATTTTAAACCATTTTTGCCTATATCTAATTTCCTTACTGTTGTCCACCGTTTTATGTCTGCAGGTAGTGAACTTAGGTTATTAGCTGATAGGTTTACAATACCAAGGTTTTTCTCTGAAATACAAGAAAATATTTTTTTATCGTCCAGAATTTAAAACAAATATATATATACAGTGTTACTGGTACAGTGTGACTAAGTTTGGAATGTTTTTTGAATGTACTTCCTTTTTACACAGGCCAAGGTATATATTATAAGGTCATTTTTTTTGGGCTTTAGAATTCAAAAATCAAAATTTATTATAAATCATAAAAAAAAATGACATTAGTCTGTCAGATATCAATATTTTTATTTTTAATTTTGTCTCACATGTTTGCTACAAACTTCTTAAATTTAGTGTAAAACTTCATAAACTGTCAAAATAGCCTCATTTTGTGAATTTAGGTATGAACCAAGGCTTTACCCAAAAACATATTTTGCTACATGATGTATTTTACAAAGATTTTTATATGTGCAAAATATCTTTTTGGGTAAAGTCTTAGCTCATGTCTACATTCAAACACTGTGTAAAATTTCAATATAGATCAAATATGTAAATTTCAACACATTTATGGCAAAATATGGACATCACAAGTGACCTTTCTGCACTTAAGTGTCCATATTATATAAACCTAATCTTTTATTAATAGAGTTAACAAAATTTTGAAAAGTGTAAATGGTATAATATTTTTAAATTTCCATGTCCAAATAACGGCTGTTATCATACCTCCCGCCCTCCTCCTTTAAATTTTTACTTGAAAATTTAATAAAATCATATTACATCATATTACATGTACTACCCCTTTTCTAGGCTTAAGTGCACATGTTTTTGTTTATGACAAGGTATTTTAAGTCCATTATGGTCTTGAAAAAATATGGTCTCCTAAAAAACTATTGAAGACTTTTTATCAAATTTCTAGACAAAGAACAACAGGAAAGACATCCTTTGATATTTTGTATCCAACTCGCTCAAGGTACATCTTATCTTGTATGAATTTTTTAAATTTGATTTGCTTGAATTATTAGTGTAAGGACTTATCTTTGGATGCAGTGCATAAAACATGTATTGATTTTTGGGAAGATAATTTATTGTTTTCTGCTAATTGGTTTTTTTTTATAAAGAATTGAAATTTCTTTTTTTATGTTTTGAGTTCTATTTTAGTTTGTAAAGCACCATTTATGTTTTAAATTAATTGTTTCTAAAATAAATATGTCTTTTTCTGTTTTCTTTCAAATTAAGTATTGATGTTTCTATTCTTTGAAAGAAAATGGGATGGATTGTAAACGATTGCAAAATGATATATTTTACGTTGGTAATAAGACAGAAAAGGTATAAACCAACACTAATTTGTTCCTACTGGTAATTTTTGTTAAGTGTATGTCTTGCCGGCAACAAAGTTGTAGACACAGGACTTATTTCAGCTGTCCGGGGTGTCGATTTGTTAAATTGTTAGTCAATGACTTTTGGTATTCATTTGTATTAGTATTGGTGTATCTCATTTCAAGGAGATTATTTGGATCTGCCCCCTCAGCTATGATCCATTTACTTTGAAAATTTTGCATAGGTAACATGTTAAATTTTTGCCATTAAAATTTCAACATTTATCAAAATAATATATAGGCAAGACATATCTCTGTGTCAGAAGTTTATTTTTTCCTTTTTAGCTCACCTGGCCCAAAGGGCCAAGTGAGCTTTTCTCATCATTTGGCGTACGTCATCCGACGTTGTCGTCTGTTGTCCTAAACTTTTACAAAAATCTTCTCCTCTGAAACTACTAGACCAAATTTAACCAAACTTGGCCACAATCATCATTGGGGTATATAGTTTCAAAAATTTATCCGATGACCCCGCCTGCCAACCAAGATTGCCGGCATGGCTGAAAATGGAACATAGGGGTAAACTGCAAGTTTTGTCTATTATTTTGAAAACTGTTATAAATAGAAAAAATCTGACTGGACAAACATGCTCAGAATGTTGAGCTCTGCCAATTGTTTGATAACGTCTAAACTGCTACGAGACTTCTTAAAGGAGTTATTGCCCTTAAATGACTAATTTTACCATTTTTATTTCATTTTTGCCTTTTATCTTGAAAACTATAATAGATAGAGAGAAACTTTAAATTGCAAAAATGATCAACTAGACAAGATCTACAAAGAAGTATAACATGGTCGAAATCGTCAGTCAACTCCTTATTAGAGTTATTGCCCTTTGAAGACAATTTTTACCATTTTTGGCGTTTTTGCCATATTTCTTAAAAATCATAATAGATAGATAGATAAAATGAGCAAAAATGATCAGCAAGACAAGATCTACATTTCAGACAATATGGAGGAAATTTTCCAACAACTCCTTATTGGAGTTATTGCCCTTTAATGACAATTTTTACCAATTTTTACCAATTTTGCCTTGTATGATAAATATTATAATAGATAAATAAAAACTTAATTAACAAAAATTATCAGCAAGGCAAGATCCACAAACAAGTCAAATTTTGCTGATATAGTTAGTAGACTGTCACTCATCATAGGAGTGATTGCCCTTTAATGAGGATTTTTTTACCCTCTTTTGTGTTCTGAGCAAAAACTAAAGAAGATTGAGAGAAACTAAACAGTCATGAATTCTTTTCTTGTCTACATTGTTGGAGAGAGTCCATTGTTGATTATGCACATAGACCTAGGTGAGCAACACAGGCTCTTTAGAGACTCTAGTTTGATGTTGCATAGCATATTTTAATATCAAAGGGATATATGTTCTTCAAAATATTTTCAGATAATCCTAGTACATTTTGTACCTTGAATTTTTTCCTATGTAATTACCTGTTAGAATAAATCCAGGTACTCTTGTCAATCCTTGATTCGACAAGTTTTTAATTTTCAAGCCATCCTCAGTCTCATTAGGTTCCTTTATTTCTACAGTCTTTTTCTTCTTGATAGCAGCTTCTTTTGTACCTTTCCCCTCCAATTCAGACTTTTTATCCTTTGGTGTAGAGGTCTTTATAGTCTTTGGACTAGCAGACTTGTTACTTTTTGTGTCTGATTTTCCTGATTCTGGTCTTTTTAGTGATTTTCCCGATTCTGGTCTTTTTGGTGATTTTCCCGATTCTGGTCTTTTTGGTGATTTACCAGATCGGGGTCTTGTAGGAGATCCTTTAGCAGATCGGGGTCTTGTAGGAGATCCTTTAGCAGATCCCTTTCTTGTTGGAGAAGGAGATTGCTTACGTGGTGATCTTGCCTTAGGAGATCCAGGCTTACTACCTGACTGACTTCTTGTTGGACTCTGAAATATAAAAAAAGGTATTTGTAATTTTTCTTAGTGTTAGAACTTTTAGTTTTAGTTGTGATGCATTGGCAGATTCTTGGACAACTTGTTATCCTGTGGTCATCATCAAAGGATTACAATGTGCTCTGTTATTAAGAGGAGTTAATTTGTTCCATAAAGAAAACCTAAATTGGCAAAATTTGAAACAGTTAAATCTTGGAAGTTCAATTATGAAATATTTTCACAACACTGGCTAGTCCACTAGTCCTTTTCTGTTAAATGTGAATATATATTTAAAACGTCCAGATAATAGTCAATGATCTCTCTTACAAGGGTGTTGGATCATTATGAAAAATGATACTGAAATATATATATATTTGCTGGGTTTCAATATCAATCTTTTATTTTATGTACTTGAACTTCTTATTTTTGTGGCTAACTCTGTTCCTAATACGACAAATCATTTTTGCATGTGTTTATTATTGAATGGTTTTCCATTGATAGTTGATAAGGTTTATTCTTACTATTGATAGAAAATTTGTCAGTTTACAAAATGAAAGTTTTCCCATTTGTATGAGTCCTTCATTGTTCAAACAATAAAAAATCCTCGGCTATAGAAAGTAAAAATCGTCATTGAATTTTTTTCATTATGTATATTTATCTAATAAGCAGTAATCTATTAAAACCTTGATAATTTATTGATTGTATTCTAAGTTTATTTTACTAAAGAGCTTAAATTTTCTGTCTGTCAAATGAAAATTAAATATTCATATTGCTAGGTCCTTTTTAAGTAGAAACTCAATATATATGTGAATGAATGTTTTATAAGGGTTACTTATATCTTGGCAGTTTGTTACACATTTATTTATATTTAATAGGTTTTTGATAGAGATTTATATTTGGTTGTAAATTGTTTCTTGAACTTGTCTAGGCAAATAAAATTTAGATTTGATTAAAAGGACATATTTAACATTTTTGTATTTTATCAAATGAATCTTGAGATTTATTTTAACTTGTGACATTGTGTGAAGAATGAACACAAACAATATTCACAAATTAAAAAATAAAGGTATTAAAAGGCTTTGATTTTTTATTTTTTTTATTAAATCTAAAATATTCTTATATAACAGATGTTTTAAAGAATAAAAGTACACTTCAGAATAAATTAAAGAATTGTTTTTGTATGAACTGTTGTTTAATGGAATAGCCTTATAATAGACAGTGGAAGTTTAGAATGTACAACCAGCTGAATCTCTTTCATCATTAAATAGATCTAGCACATCACTTCCTTATCATTGATGCCAAAGACTGATCAGATCTCTGTTTGATCTACTGTGGATTCATCTATTTTTGTGGGTTCCAATTTTCATGGATTTTGGAAAAATTGTATTTTCATGGATATTTAATTTCATGGTTATAAAAAATCCTGCTTACAGGCCTATGAAATTTTTTTCTTAGTTGAAAATTTGAATTTGTGGTTCACCTGTATCCACGAAATCCCTGAAGATTTGTATGAATAATGATGATTCCACAGTACTTTTCTACAAATAGTTGATTCATCAGTTGTGGATTGAAACTATATCTTTCAGGACTCTTTAGAGTGCATCATGCTTTATTACTGTCTTTGCATATTTAGGCATTCCAAGATTTGATTTGGTAAAAAAAAACATGTGTCATGCACATTGAAATTGATATTATGAAGAAAAGGTGATGTGGGTACACATCAATTAGAAAGCTATCAAAAGTCTACAGTGATATATATTGCTATTATTTAAGATCCCAGTGAGCTTGTCCATTGTAAGAATCTTTATTTTATTGTGTGATATTCTTATCCTGTCTTTGGGTATCATAATTATTTTTATTCTTGGAGTTCTTAGCTTCAATAAAAAATGAGAATTTTCAAAGCAAATATTTTATGAGAAACTTAATTTAAAGTACATTTAAATGTTTCCTTCTACATGTTTTATGTCAATGTAATTCTTTCAGAAATGAAAGAATTTAACATGAACAATTACTAAAAACTTTAAAAGTTCTAAAGTCCTTTTTATCTGAAGAATTTTCCCAAATGACCCCCAATAAATTATTGATCAAATGATTTAAATATCTTATTGTTGACAACTTTACAAACAAATATTAACAACATACCATTTAATTTATTATTTTCATGCTCCTTTAAACCCCTTCAAAGGCAAAAATAAGAGCAGATATAATGCTTTTTTTAATTACTATTTGGTTTCTAATCAGAACTGCAGGGAAGCTTTTCATACCAAGCAACATTATTGTAGAGTAGTTCTATTTATGAGATACATTAACACGTCTGGCTTACAAAATTTTAGTCCTGGTTATTTAATTGTAACAGTAAAGAAGAAAGAGTTAAATTGTACTTAATGTTTTTGGTTAGATTTGAAATACCTTTGTATAGTTACTTTATATATCTTTTTATGTGTGTATGATGAACTACTCAGATGACTGGATATTAAATGAGAGAGTTTTGACATTTTCCCAAAAAGCTAAAAAAAAAATGATGATTACTTTTCCCTGATGAAAGAATAACTTACAGTGTTTGCTTTTGAAAAAAAAATTAGCATATAATTTATTTGAACTACAAGAAGTTGACTTTTACTGAGAGTACGTTAAAATTTCGGACATATAACTTGACTTATTTGACTACCACTAAAAGACCAGGTTCAATGACAGTTTTATAAAACTTTTCCCAAATGTGGCTTTGATAGATGCGTAATGGTGCTTGATATTATTTAAATTATAAGATAAAACTTGGTATCAGGATACATTACATAATCTGATTTGCAGACGTTAAAACCTATTTATGGCCTATATTTATTTTGTATTTTATCTGATTGTAAGGTGGTATTTATATTTTGTACTTGTATGGACAAAACATTGATCAATGATTAATTAAATGAATTTAAATGTCTCTAAATCTATAAATTAATTGATTGAATGGTTACTGACATATAAGATTGAAATATGGACAATGACGGATGGGAGAATAAATGAATTCCCATACTGTCATGAATAGAGTGACATTTTTTAAATATTAACCTTACTATTTACTATTGTTTACAAGGACCTGTGTTTTTGTAATCTATCATACTAGTGTTATGGGGGTCAATTTTTTTTAAAACTTTTTTTTATTTTATAGGAATCTTTGTACCTTTTGATATACGACTGATCTTGTTTAAAAAGGGGGAGGGGGTTGAATGCTAGAAAAAAATAGGTCAACCCCACCACATTTTCATCTACCTGTCTTGAATTAGGAACTTACTCAGTAATTCTAATATATTTTTGTACTTTGGGGAATTAAGCCTTATTGGCTGATCTTTGAATATGTATAATTTATTCACTACTGTTCTAGACTACATGATCTAGAGCTTGACATATTATATAGAAACTTGTCTATTGTTGAAGACTTTGTGACTTCTAGATATCTGTAGATTTTTGCCACTTGAAAGAGAGTGTATGTTATATAGGGACAGAAATCTTTCCTAGAAAGAGACCACCTACTGACCTCACAGACAGATGTTGTGATTCTTTAACATGTAGAAATCTTGGCATTCACCAAACATGGAGCTTCTGATTTAATACTCCCTAGCCAACTGTACTATTTAGTAAAAGTTGCATGATTTCTGACATTAAGAAAAGGTTTGCCTAGTTCTGTGGAACTTGGTCAATAGAATATGCTTTATTCCATCAGAATAAAATTGAGAATGGGAATGGGGAATGTGTCAAAGAGACAACAACCGGACCAAAGAGCAGAAAACAACCGAAGGCCACCAATGGGTCTTCAACACAGCAAGAAAATCCCACACCCGGAAGCGGGCTTCAGCTGGCCCCTAAACAAAAATGTGTACTAGTTCATTGAAAATGGACGTCACACTGAACCCCAAAACATATAAATGAACTAAAATTAAAAAATTTACAAGACTTACAAAGGCCAGAGGCTCCTGACTTGGGACAGGCACAAAAATGCGTCAGGGTTAAACATGTTTTGTGAGATCTCAACCCTCCCCCTATATTGAAACCAATATTGAATGTTTTGTTTTTATTTTCTGATGTATCTTAATTCTGTCTTTGGCATTCTCGAAGTTTTGTAGTATTTACAAATCTTCTAAATAGATTATTCATTTTGAATAAAGTGTATTTGTTAGATAAGAAGGCGTAAACCAAAGATATATATAAATGGCATCCTGATGAACAATGTACCCCCAATTGAAGAACTGTACTGCATCAAAATAACCCAAATTGCAAAAAGTATAGATTTGTTACCTTCATTTCTTGCAGCCAGACTTCCTTCTGTGTAATATTGTGAAATTAATTTTGTCATATTGACTTAGTTACTTAATATATGTAAATAAATACAATTTTAAACTTGCAAATTTAATCTGTGGATTTAAGTATTTAAGCTTCTTTAATGAATTGTGTGCTATTAAGATCTAATTATTGTATTATGAAAAGTCATGGCCAGAGGCATAACGTTTTAAACTTTGCATGTACTTGTTATTAAAAATATCTTACATATGAAACAATTTTTTTCTTAGCAGACTTTTATTGTGTTCTAAGTATATTTGAAGAGTTTCTGATGATTATACATTTGTTGTATATCTAAACTTCCAGTTTCCTTTAGTAATTTTTAATTATAGAAACTGTAGTGCTATCTGCTTTTAACTTTTTACATATATACAAACATTTGGTATCTAAAGCATACCCTTATTTATTTTTTATGGAATTCTATACACTTTACTGGTAAAAACTGTTTTCTTTATCATAATGTTTGAAAAAGAAGATGTACATGTTAGATTGAAAAACACAATAAAACTTATGCTAATAAACAATTTTCGACTCTTACCTTAAAATTGCTACTCTTTTCATTGTTTTCAACTAAAGTTCTCTTAAATCTAGCCTTCTTAATCATGTTTTCCACACTTTGGTAAAGTTGTTTTCAAATATTTACAATTAGTAACATTTCTATCAAGATTTTACACAAGCCTCATGTTTTCAGTTGAAACGTTGTCAAAATGTATTTGATTTTAGGATTTAACTTGAGTAAAACCGATTATCAATGCCTCGATCTGTCAAACTAGGCTTTCGTTATTGATCTTTTTATGGTATTTTAATATCCCAGTGAGTGCTAACAATTTCGTCAATATATTTTATCTCAATTTTTCACTTGAACCAATTTTATCAGTCCTACACAGGTAGATATAGAAATCCATTTCTACTTATGTCAGAATTATTGGGGTACTTTTATTTCACCTGACAACCCTGCACATTTGGAGAGGTCTCACAAGGGAGATTTTCCTGGTTTCTTAGAATAGTAAAAAAATTAAAAAAAAATTTTTAAAGCTACAAAATATTCTTTAAGTATAAAAACTTTTATCATTAGTGAATTTACTCTTATGTTTTTGAAGCAGTGTTAGATACAGTGATAGGGTATGATAAAAGTATAATCTTTTCTTGAAATTTTAGTCCTGTGAAAAATATTAAAAGGATGCTACAGGGCTTCTTTTCTGCTTTGCCTGAAATTTTAATGTGAACAACTCTTTCAAATGTGGTTGAATTTTCTCATATATGAAGCTATAAAATTGATTGAGCAATAAAAAAAACCTTCCAGTAACCCTTGTAGGGTCAATTGGGGTAATTTTGAATCAATTGTTTAAGCATTTAATGCAGATAACAATCAAAGTAATAATTCATTGGCTTTCAATCATGTTAATTATAATAAATGGTTAATTGTTTTGGACATGATTTACAACCAGTTAGCTTGTTATATGTTAGCTGTAACAATTTCTTGTGTGACAGTGTTTAGAAAATCGAGAAAAAGTGTGATTGATTATTTCCAAGTTTGATTATCTTTGTTAATTATTCCGTTGACGGTTTAGGTGAAGAATTCTTGTTAGTACAAGGGATGTTTCTTGCCATTGTATATAAAAACTAATGACTTAAGAGACAATTGATCAGTTATATAAAGCAACAGTTTCAGACTTAGCACAAAAAAGTATCTGTACCCCACAAATACAGAAAATGGCTGGGACAACTACCCAACAGATACCATAGGACAGGGGTGTAAACAACTACAGGGCAACATATGGCCTTCAACAATGAGCAAAACCCACATTGTATAGCTGACAATAAAAGGCCCAGAGATGACAAAATGGAATACAATTAAAAAGAACAAGAGTGCACACACTAAAATGTCTCGCTTTCTTTACTAACCATTGATTTTATGTTGATAGTCCCAAATATAAAGCTTTACTACAAGTAACACATAAACTTAACATGATCCAAGAAAATGAGGTCAAGGTCAGATAAACCAAACGAGAAATACATCATATAACATGTACACCTAACAATCATTCAATAAACCAAACATAGTTGACCTATTGCTTATAGTTTCTAAGAAACAGTTTAACCAAGAAAACTAAACATTGACCAACGAACCATGAAAATGAGGTCAAGGTCAGATGAACCATGCCAGGCAGACATGTACACCTTACAATCAATTTATGCATTAAATATAGTTGACCTATTGCTTATAGTATCTAAGAAACAAACTTAACCATGAAAACTTAACATTGACCAATGAACCATGAAAATGAGGTCAAGGTCAGATGATACCTGCCAGACAGACATATACACCTTACAATCCTTCCATACAACAAATATAGTTGATCTATTGCTTATAGTTGAAGAAAAACAGACCAAAACACAAAAACTTAACACTGAGAAATGAACCGTGAAAATGAGGTCAAGGTCAAATAAAACCTGCGAGACTGACATGTACATCATAAAATATTTCCATACACCAAATATAGTTGACCTATTGCATATAGTACATGTATTAGAAAAAAAGATCAAAACTCAAAAACTTAACTTTGACCACTGAACCATGAAAATTAGGTCAAGGTCAGATGACACCTACCAGTTGGACATGTACACCTTACAATTTTTCCATATACCAAATATAGTAGACCTACTGCTTATAGTATCTGATATATGGACTTGACCACGAAAACTTAACCTTGTTCACTGATCCATGAAATGAGGTCGAGGTCAAATGAAAATTATCTGACAAGCATGAGGACCTTGCAAGGTACGCACATACTAAATATAGTTATCCTATTACTCATAATAAGAAAGAAATTAACATTACAAAAAATATTGACTTTTTTTTAAGTAGTCACTGAACCATAAAAATGAGGTCAAGGACAATGGACATATGACAGACGGAAACTTCGTAACATAAGGCATCTATATACAAAGTATGAAGCATCCAGGTCTTCTAGCTTCTAAAATATAAAGCTTTTAAGAAGTTAGCTAACGCTGCCACCGCCGCCGGATTACTATCCTTATGTCGAGCTTTCTGCGACAAAAGTTTCAGGCTCGACAAAAAACATGCTAAAACAATAATTATGGTTTGGGACATGTACAAATGAAAGAATGTGGTGGGAGTTAAACATATTGGTGAGTGTTTAACCCTCTCCCTGACTTGATTAAGTGATGTTACAGTAAAAACAATAGAACAAACAGTAAAAATCAGTTGAAAAAAGGCTAGACTCGTCAGACCAGACCTAAACAAATACAAGTGTTTAACAACTAAGGTAACTTTACTTTAATTTTACATTTGAATTTATTATCTCCAATCTAGTTTGAATAAATTAGTTATATTTTAAAGAAGTAATAAATGTAAAAATTGAAAGAAAAATAATAATCTCAGGTTATCCTATGTTTTATTAGCAACATTTCATATTTTAATTTTTGATTTAAGTCAATAGTTTGAATAGATTGTGTTAATATGTTGATAAGTGATAAATTGGAATTTATAATTGCAAAGAAAAACTGTGAATTCAAAAATTTTTGTAATGTTTTTAAGATTGCAACAAAGTGCAACTGGATAGGTTTCAAAAAAAACAAAAACTTGCAGTTTAAATTTGACAGCAATATTTGTATGCATGATGCAGCCTTTCCTGAAATCGTAATAATTATGTCACATTTTGTCCATTTTTCAACAATGGCATTGATAAATGCACACAGAAATTTTACATTACTTGATTGACATTTCATCAATATTCTGATTTATATTGATGTGTTTAGACAGGAAATTCTATTATTTTATCTTTACATTTAATTGGAAATTATGATTATGACATTTGATTATGATTCTATTTTTAAGAAATAGAAATTTAAGAAATCAGTATAAAAGAATTGATTTGTTTACCATAAACTAGAGATACCCTGCCTTCATGAACATTCACAACAATGAATTTTCTAGTTACTTGTGATAACAATGCAAAATCTTACTGTATTATATGTCAGATATTGACTGAAATATCATAAAAGAGAGGCGAAAGATACCAAAGGGACATTCAAACTCACAAGTCAAAAATAAACTGACAACGCCATGGCTAAAAAAGAAAAAGTCAAACAATAGTAGACAAAACACAACATAGAAAAATAAAGACCCAACCAAAAACTGGGGGTGATCTCAGGTGCTCTGGAAGTTTAAGCAGATCCTGCTCCACATGTGGCACCCGTCATGTTGCTCATGTTAGTACAAACCTGGTTATAAGTCTAATTCGGTAGGTCACATTCGGGAAAAGGGGATAAGTATATCACAAAATGCATCATAATCCGAAAAATAAAATCAGATACTAAATTAAGCTGAGGTCATTAAAGCATCAAATAAAAGTCATAGAGTCGATAATGTGTTGTTTTATACAACATGATTATAAAGATGAATATAACAATCTTGGTATTCAAAACTCAAGCTTAAATATAGGTCATAGTGACATTGTTGATAAATAACAAGTAGTTGAACAGAAACAACTACATGAAAGACAGAATAAAAAATTTGATTCAAATACAATACATGATCAAGACAAATCAAAAGCTATAAGACAAATGCATGAACAAACGACAGCAATGAAAGCATGTGTTTGTTTTTGGCTTTTTTCGTATGCATGTAGTGATGTGTCATGAATTGATACAACATATCCTGTCTGCTCCATTAAGACGAGAAAACCTTTCAGAATGGCTAGCACTTACAAATATAAAGTGACTAAATATGAGAGGTATAGTGTTGAAATGTTATCAATATACATCATTAAAATTCTAGGGACAAATGTAAAACTCAATCAAAGTCACTTAAGTTTACAATGTAGGTCACACTGACAAAGTTGTAGAAAAGTGATATATGAAGGCTTGTAGCAAATGATGACCTAATAAGTATCAGAGATATCATACCTTCAAAATTTAGTAAAAGTCACTCAAGTGTAAGATGTATGTCATAATGCCTCAAATGTAGTTGGTTCTGTTGTAATATATATCGGGATAATAGATGTATACTTTCATTGATATACCATAGGGGTTTCTGAAGTATATACTTAAACATAGTACTTCAATAAACCTGTGGACATGTCAGCCAGTATCAAAGATAACAGCTTCCATTTTCATGAAGAAGAAAAAAGAAGATTTTTAGAAAATACAAATGATGTCTTATACTGTTGTATTTATATTTAAGTTTGAAGCTAATATTTAAAATCTTGAAAATTTATTAGATAAAGGATATTGAAAGTATATTTGATATTTAAACTGGAACACGTTAGTCGTGAAAAGTATTGGAAAATACCCTAGTATTATGTTAGTGTTTAGACTTAATCATTGTAACCCAGGTTTTAATACCCAGACAAAGTCAAAACCAAATTGTGTAAAGTGATAATATTACATATAGTAAATCCTAATCAAATCGTAATCTGTCCTATATAATAGCACTTAATTAAAATCTAAGTAATCTTCAGAACAGCAAAGAAATTTTAATTGAATTAAAAATGAAAATATACCTGGTAGCGAGGATAAAATGAAAAGGTATTAGACTCTAAGCTTTTAATTTTGTGCATATCTATTCTTTAATGCTACATATATTTCACTTAGTAACAGGTATTATAATGCAAGGTGAATAATGACATAATGATTATTGTTTATTGCTTAATACAAAATTTTGATGTTTTTTTGTTGTCTTAGTTTAAGCACTAATGGCCTGTTACTGAATCCCAAATGTGAATATGTGAATTTATATTGTAAAAGATATATTGTTTTCATTTCATAACATACTATTGTTTACACTAAACGTTATGTGTATTCATTTTAAAGGAATGGTTGATATATTTTTGAAATATCTTTGGATTAATTTCATAACCATTCTATTACTGAATTACAAAATTGGTATAGTAGTAGAAATAGTAACATCGTAACTGTGTATTATATGTCGTTTTCATTTTTGATTTGTTATGTTATGCTCTGTGAAAAAAATCCAACATAACTTTTTCCCTTTTTTATGATGTCTCCTTTATCCTAAGTGTGTGATATTTCTTTGCAATAAATACTCAATTATCAGTATGATGTTTGTACAAGTTTGAAATAAGATCGCATCATGCCCTTTTAAATGAAAAAAAAAACCATAATATAAGGTTGTATGTAACCTTGTGGATTCAATTCGTTCAAATTTATAGAATCATTATTATTTCTTTTTGGTCAATAATTATATAAAAAAAATTGATGGTCAATCCGAAACTGCATATATTTGAATGACTAACTAATACATGTAAGTGGTCAAACCATACTGAATTCCTGAGATGGTTCTTATATGAAGGAAAGTGTAAGGAGTGAAATATGGTTATAGATATTTTGATTGTTTTATTGATTGATGGCTACTATTGTCCAATGGCAAATATTACATCCATATTCAGGACAATAACGTGTTAATGTGATATGACTCTAATCTGTACCAGACCAACAAACTGAGTTTGATTTTAACATGATTTTAACTTTTTTTATTTTATAAACTGAAAGGTATAATAAAGTAATTTCAGCTAGTATAATAGAACTTTTAAAAAAAAGTGAGCAGTCTTGTACTTCTTTAAAGTACATTGTTTTGAATTGGTGAGGACGTGTAAATATATGGAATACCATATCTTTTTACACATTTCATTTCATGAACCAAAAATTAATTAGTTACCTCCATAGTTGAGAAAATGTAAATATGTCCCAGCAAATAAATGAATAAATAGTCTCCAAAAACTGATCTAAGTTAATTCCATCTTTACAATTGGAAGTTCCTAATCACCTCAGACATAACAATAACGAGTTGGGTATAGGTAACCATGCAATTGACAACTAATCAAAGGATATGCTAATTTCCAAAGTGAAAGGCAAATCTGCCCTGTGTATTTAAATTGGTAGTAGATAAACAGAGATTTTTATTTGTAAAATGTATTTCATTTAAAGAAATTGTTCAAGCAAGTGTGACATTTAATCTGGTCTATGATTGACTTGTATATATATATATATTACACTAGTACTTGCATTGACCAGACATTTTATTTGTACATTTAAATTTCTCTTTAAATTTTTCATTTCATATCATGTTTGTGTAGGTAAATTGAGAAATTTATTGATAAAAAATGAAGGATTTTATTGATTTTATAAAAGGTTTATATACATAAGGATATCATTAAAAACTTTAAAATGAATTTCATAAATTTATTGCTAAATGAAAGCATTTGTTTTGTAGTCATATATATATTTTTTTTTAAATGGTAATATATTTGATGACTGGGAATTAGCAGATATTTTAAGGAATGGGTAGATTTTAATCAATTATTAAATATTTCTCATCAATATAGGAAATGATTAAATCAACTTGTGCAAAATTAATGAGTTTTTGTGAATACATGATGAGCTTTCATATGTATCATTTAGATGAAAGGACTGTTTTTACATGAATCTATTCATCAATATTTACCCTATGACCTTCATAAATCAGTTTAACTTGTTCATTGTGATTATGCAGATAGATGATATATCAAATACTATGCATCTGTATGTACATGGAAATGGAAGAGCTTTGGTAATCTGGTTGAATGTGTTTATAATTTGAATGCCTGTATCCAACAACGAGCTGGTTTAAACCTTACACATGAGAATTTGTTTTTAGTTTGTTTCCCTATTAAAGCGTAAGGTCAAAGATTGATTGTCTTGGAAAATATTGTCCACTCAGAATGGCATAATTTCCAAGCTATTAAACCAAGAGTGGTGAAGTTGAAATCATCCCTTCGTAAATTTTACGGACGCCATCACAAGTTGGTTGACATATACGGAATATCCGTTTCACAGATGATAGCGGATATGTTCATAATGTTGTAACTACAATCCCGTCCCCTTTTCCCGAATGTGACCTACTGAATTAGACTTATTACCGGGTTTGTACTAACATGAGCAACACAATGGGTGCCACATGTGGATCAGGATCTGTTTACCCTTCCCCAGCACCTGTGATCACCCCCAATTTTTGGTGGGGGTTCGTGTTGCTCAGTCTTTAGTTTTCTATGTTGTGTTTTGTGTACTATTGTTTGTCTGTTTGTCTTTTTCTTTTTTAGCCATGGTGTTGTCAGTTTATTTTCGACTTATGAGTTTGAATGTCCCTGTAGTATCTTTGGCCCCTCTTTTCCAGGGAATTGTTACCATATGAGCTATTAGTTTTACTTTGCCTAAACAAAGTTGATTGGCACTATAGGAATACCCTGGTGTCCATGTCCTCATCAATATGCACAACCATTTCTCAGAAATTTATAAATCAACAGTAATACAATCTGGTCAGCAGATGCTTCCCAAAGAAACTAACAATATGTCATAATATTTAAAGTCATATGACCCATATTTCTGGTTCATTAGCTTTGATAAAGCCTTGTGTCTGTCATCATCAGTAGTGTTGTAAACTGAAAACAAGAAATCTTCACTGAAACCACTGGATGTTAGTTTCAGCCAAACTCAATCTGAAGACCCTTAGATTATCTAGTATAATGTATTAAGGTTGTGGTGATATTTGTCCCTACCAAACAAACCAATGTTACTGCCATGGCGGAAAATAAGACATATTTTAAAAGTATAAAATGCAAGTCATTATCAAATGTTTTGAAAACTATAATTGCAAAAGAAAATCTGCCAAGTGCAAAAATGATAAAAATCCAAATTTCCCTTCTATTAAAATTTTGAGATGAATTCTTTTAGGAGTTATTGACCATAAATGACATTTTTTACAAGTTTTAGGTTTTTTGCCTATTATCTTGATAACTAAAGTAGAAAAGCAGAAACTGTGAGCAGCAAAAATGATCAGCAGTACAAGATCTACAGAACTGACACTATAACAGAAACCAGAAACTGTCAAATGACTCTGTATAGGTGTTTCTGCCCTTAAATTGAGATTTTTTTACCATTGTTATGTTTTTTGCCTATTATTTAAAATTATATAAATAGATAAACATGAATAAGAAGCTACAAAAATTATCATCAAGGCAAGATATACAAATAAATCACATTGTCATGAAATAGAAGTTCCTTCGTAATATTAGTTCCAAACGGAACAAATATTCTGGAATATAATTTCCATTGGAACAAATATTACAGTGCAAAATGTATTTGTTCCGAACAGAATAAAGGGTATAGAATACTTTTTTCAACAGGAACAAATATATTGACATTGTTAATTTCAAAGTTTCCAGGGGAACTTCTGTTAGGTGGAACAAATGTACATTGACAAAATTACCAAAAAAGACATTGGTTGTTTATTGGAGTTATTACCCTTTAAACAAGGATTTCTGTGAAAATCGTTTAACAAATCAATACATCTGAATTGTAAATTGAATATATTTTTCACTTGTAAACAGAGATTAATGCAAGTTTAAATGACTAACCATTTGGTACCTCTTGATTTAGGCTGGACATTGAAGAAACCAGATTGCTCTAAAGAACAAATTCATACAGCTTGGCTTAAGATAGACTGAAAAACACCAATTCAAATCTAATTCCTGATTGGATTTTGAATATCAAAAACACTTATGCTAATCCCCCTTTGTTAAATGTTTATAAAAGTCATAATACATAAAAGTTATAACATAAATCGTCAAAAAAACTGCACAGTACAACAAACCTCATCAACCACCAACACACGACTCCTCTGACAAAAACTTAGACATACAGACAAAGTCTGTCTAGCCGTCAGTCCGGCAAATCAGTTTTCCACACTTTTTTCTTCATTCTTGAAGATATTGATTTGATATTTGGTGTATTGTTTTATCATGACAAGTTACAGATCAAGTTCAAATTTTGTTCCATTCTGATGATTTTGTGCAGAGTTATAGTCCTTTGACTTAGAAAATTCACTAAAATAATCAGTTTTCCACACTTTTTTTTGTTATTCTTGAAGATATTGATTTGATAATTGGTATATAGTTTTATCATGACAAGTTACAGTTCAAGTTTTAATTTTGTTCCGGTCTGATGATTTGGTGCAGAGTTATGGTCCTTGGACTTAGAAAATTCACTTAAATAATCAGTTTTCAACACTTTTTATCGTCATGCTTAAAGATATTGACTTGATATTTGTTATATAGTTTACACCTCGACAAGTTATAGATCAAGTTAGAATTTTGTTCCAATACAATGAGTTTTTATCTGGTAGGGGACTATGTATTGCCATGCAATACTCACAGAATGCTTGTTATAAATTTTTTTTCAATATTGTCTATTTTCAGCTATTACTACAGATCTTGATCATAGTGACAGGGAACTATAATTTCTTCAACCTTTTGACAATAGTGCTATGTATTCCTTTACTAGATGACCAGGCATTTGGAAAGAAAGGTAAAACAGATTAAAAGATTTTGTCAAAACTCATTTAGAAAAGAATTTTAGAAAGTGAAGTAGGTTTTTTGACCAATAAAATTATGAAGATAAAAAGTCAACTGTAAAAACTCATCAGAGATACAAACAGTTGTGACAGATCTGGCTAAGGGTATCTATGTTTAGGGGTAGAAAAAGATACACAAAGTTGTGACAGATCTGGCTAAGGGTATCTATGTATAGGGGTAGAAAAAGATACAAAAAGTTGTGACAGATCTGGCTAAGGGTATCTATGTATAGGGGTAGAAAAAGATACAAAAAGTTGTGACAGATCTGGCTAAGGGTATCTATGTATAGGGGTAGAAAAAGATACAAAAAGTGACAGATCTGGCTAAGGGTATCTATGTATAGGGGTAGAAAAAGATACAAAAAGTTGTGACATATCTGGCTAAGGGTATCTATGTATAGGGGTAGAAAAAGATACACAAAGTTGTGACATATCTGGCTAAGGGTATCTATGTATAGGGATAGAAAAAGATACAAAAAGTTGTGACAGATCTGGCTAAGGGTATCTATGTATAGGGGTAGAAAAAGATACACAAAGTTGTGACATATCTGGCTAAGGGTATCTATGTATAGGGATAGAAAAAGATACAAAAAGTTTGTGACAGATCTGGCTAAGGGTATCTATGTATAGGGATAGAAAAAGATACAAAAAGTTGTGACAGATCTGGCTAAGGGTATCTATTAATAGGGGTAGAAAAAGATACAAAAGGTTTGTGACAGATCTGGCTAAGGGTATCTATGTATAGGGATAGAAAAAGATACAAAAAGTTGTGACAGATCTGGCTAAGGGTATCTATGTATAGGGGTAGAAAAAGATACACAAAGTTGTGACAGATCTGGCTAAGGGTATCTATGTATAGGGGTAGAAAAAGACACAAAAAGTTGTGACATATCTGGCTAAGGGTATCTATGTATAGGGATAGAAAAAGATACAAAAAGTTGTGACAGATCTGGCTAAGGGTATCTATGTATAGGGGTAGAAAAAGATACACAAAGTTGTGACAGATCTGGCTAAGGGTATCTATGTATAGGGATAGAAAAAGATACAAAAAATTGTGACAGATCTGGCTAAGGGTATCTATGTATAGGGGTAGAAAAAGATACAAAAAGTTGTGACAGATCTGGCTAAGGGTATCTATGTATAGGGGTAGAAAAAGATACAAAAAGTTGTGACAGATCTAGCTAAGGGTATCTATGTATAGGGGTAGAAATAGATACAAACAGTTGTGACAGATCTGGCTAAGGGTATCTATGTATAGGGATAGAAAAAGATACACAAAGTTGTGACATATCTGGCTAAGGGTATCTATGTATAGGGATAGAAAAAGATACAAAAAGTTGTGACAGATCTGGCTAAGGGTATCTATGTATAGGGATAGAAAAAGATACAAAAAGTTGTGACAGATCTGGCTAAGGGTATCTATGTATAGGGGTAGAAAAAGATACACAAAGTTGTGACAGATCTGGCTAAGGGTATCTATGTATAGGGGTAGAAAAAGATACAAAAAGTTGTGACAGATCTGGCTAAGGGTATCTATGTACAGGGGTAGAAAAAGATACAAACAGTTGTGACAGATCTGGCTAAGGGTATCTATGTATAGGGGTAGAAAAAGATACACAAAGTTGTGACATATCTGGCTAAGGGTATCTATGTATAGGGATAGAAAAAGATACAAAAAGTTGTGACAGATCTGGCTAAGGGTATCTATGTATAGGGGTAGAAAAATATACACAAAGTTGTGACAGATCTGGCTAAGGGTATCTATGTATAGGGGTAGAAAAAGATACAAAAAGTTGTGACAGATCTGGCTAAGGGTATCTATGTACAGGGGTAGAAAAAGATACAAACAGTTGTGACAGATCTGGCTAAGGGTATCTATGTACAGGGGTAGAAAAAGATACAAAAAGTTGTGACAGATCTGGCTAAGGGTATCTATGTATAGGGATAGAAAAAGATACAAAAAGTTGTGACATATCTGGCTAAGGGTATCTATGTATAGGAATAGAAAAAGATACAAAAAGTTGTGACAGATCAGGCTAAGGGTATCTATGTATAGGGGTAGAAAAAGATACAAAAAGTTGTGACAGATCTGGCTAAGGGTATCTATGTATAGGGGTAGAAAAAGATACAAAAAGTTGTGACAGATCTGGCTAAGGGTATCTATGTAAAGGGAAAGAAAAAGATACAAAATGTTGTGACAGATCTGGCTAAGGGTATCTATGTATAGGGGTAGAAAAAGATACACAAAGTTGTGACAGATCTGGCTAAGGGTATCTATGTACAGGGGTAGAAAAAGATACAAACAGTTGTGACAGATCTGGCTAAGGGTATCTATGTATAGGGGTAGAAAAAGATACACAAAGTTGTGACATATCTGGCAAAGGGTATCTATGTATAGGGATAGAAAAAGATACAAAAAGTTGTGACAGATCTGGCTAAGGGTATCTATGTATAGGGATAGAAAAAGATACAAAAAGTTGTGACAGATCTGGCTAAGGGTATCTATGTATAGGGGTAGAAAAAGATACACAAAGTTGTGACAGATCTGGCTAAGGGTATCTATGTATAGGGGTAGAAAAAGACACAAAAAGTTGTGACATATCTGGCTAAGGGTATCTATGTATAGGGATACTAAAAGACACAAAAAGTTGTGACAGATCTGGCTAAGGGTATCTATGTATAGGGGTAGAAAAAGATGCACAAAGTTGTGACAGACCTGGCTAAGGGTATCTATGTATAGGGATAGAAAAAGATACACAAAGTTGTGACAGGTCTGGCTAAGGGTATCTATGTATAGGGGTAGAAAAAGATCTGGCTAAGGGTATCTATGTATAGGGGTAGAAAAAGATACAAAAAGTTGTGACAGATCTGGCTAAGGGTATCTATGTATAGGGGTAGAAAAAGATACAAAAAGTTGTGACAGATCTGGCTAAGGGTATCTATGTACAGGGGTAGAAAAAGATACACAAAGTTGTGACAGATCTGGCTAAGGGTATCTATGTAAAGGGGTAGAAAAAGATACACAAAGTTGTGACAGATCTGGCTAAGGGTATCTATGTATAGGGGTAGAAAAAGATACAAAAAGTTGTGACAGATCTGGCTAAGGGTATCTATGTACAGGGGTAGAAAAAGATACACAAAGTTGTGACATATCTGGCTAAGGGTATCTATGTATAGGGGTAGAAAAAGATACACAAAGTTGTGACATATCTGCCTAAGGGTATCTATGTATAGGGATAGAAAAAGATACAAAAAGTTTGTGACAGATCTGGCTAAGGGTATCTATGTATAGGGATAGAAAAAGATACAAAAAGTTGTGACAGATCTGGCTAAGGGTATCTATTAATAGGGGTAGAAAAAGATACAAAAGGTTTGTGACAGATCTGGCTAAGGGTATCTATGTATAGGGATAGAAAAAGATACAAAAAGTTGTGACAGATCTGGCTAAGGGTATCTATGTATAGGGGTAGAAAAAGATACACAAAGTTGTGACAGATCTGGCTAAGGGTATCTATGTATAGGGGTTAGAAAAAGACAAAAAAATTGTGACATATCTGGCTAAGGGTATCTATGTATAGGGATAGAAAAAGATACAAAAAGTTGTGACAGATCTGGCTAAGGGTATCTATGTATAGGGATAGAAAAAGATACACAAAGTTGTGACAGATCTGGCTAAGGGTATCTATGTATAGGGATAGAAAAAGATACAAAAAATTGTGACAGATCTGGCTAAGGGTATCTATGTATAGGGGTAGAAAAAGATACAAAAAGTTGTGACAGATCTGGCTAAGGGTATCTATGTATAGGGGTAGAAAAAGATACAAAAAGTTGTGACAGATCTAGCTAAGGGTATCTATGTATAGGGGTAGAAATAGATACAAACAGTTGTGACAGATCTGGCTAAGGGTATCTATGTATAGGGATAGAAAAAGATACACAAAGTTGTGACATATCTGGCTAAGGGTATCTATGTATAGGGATAGAAAAAGATACAAAAAGTTGTGACAGATCTGGCTAAGGGTATCTATGTATAGGGATAGAAAAAGATACAAAAAGTTGTGACAGATCTGGCTAAGGGTATCTATGTATAGGGGTAGAAAAAGATACACAAAGTTGTGACAGATCTGGCTAAGGGTATCTATGTATAGGGGTAGAAAAAGATACAAAAAGTTGTGACAGATCTGGCTAAGGGTATCTATGTACAGGGGTAGAAAAAGATACAAACAGTTGTGACAGATCTGGCTAAGGGTATCTATGTATAGGGGTAGAAAAAGATACACAAAGTTGTGACAGATCTGGCTAAGGGTATCTATGTATAGGGGTAGAAAAAGATACAAAAAGTTGTGACAGATCTGGCTAAGGGTATCTATGTACAGGGGTAGAAAAAGATACAAACAGTTGTGACAGATCTGGCTAAGGGTATCTATGTACAGGGGTAGAAAAAGATACAAAAAGTTGTGACAGATCTGGCTAAGGGTATCTATGTATAGGGATAGAAAAAGATACAAAAAGTTGTGACATATCTGGCTAAGGGTATCTATGTATAGGAATAGAAAAAGATACAAAAAGTTGTGACAGATCAGGCTAAGGGTATCTATGTATAGGGGTAGAAAAAGATACAAAAAGTTGTGACAGATCTGGCTAAGGGTATCTATGTATAGGGGTAGAAAAAGATACAAAAAGTTGTGACAGATCTGGCTAAGGGTATCTATGTAAACGGAAAGAAAAAGATACAAAATGTTGTGACAGATCTGGCTAAGGGTATCTATGTATAGGGGTAGAAAAAGATACACAAAGTTGTGACAGATCTGGCTAAGGGTATCTATGTACAGGGGTAGAAAAAGATACAAACAGTTGTGACAGATCTGGCTAAGGGTATCTATGTATAGGGGTAGAAAAAGATACACAAAGTTGTGACATATCTGGCTAAGGGTATCTATGTATAGGGATAGAA